GAGCTCGAGCTCGGGATATATCTCGTCGCGTTGGCGTATCTCGCGTCGAAACCAGGGGTGGTGTCTTGGATATTCGATCAAACGGTCGCCCGGGCGGTGGGGCGGGCGGTCGAGCGGACGTACGATCGAGCGGCGGTGCGACGAGGACGTAAACTCGGCGGCGGGAGTTTCGGCACGGCGTATCGGGCGACGGACGCGAAGCGGGGGGAAGAGATCGTGATCAAGGTGGCGAACGATACCGAAGGGGCGGGGGCGTTGCAGATCGCGGAGGCGTACATCAATCGACGGATCGCTCGGGCGCCGAACGTCTCGGGTGGGTGCGCGCGGTTTTTGGGGACGTACGACGAGGCGGAGGGCGCGCGGACGCCCGTGATCGTCTGGGCGTACGAGGAGGGGAGCGAGTACACGCTGGAGGATTACTTGGTCAATAGACGGTTCCCGGAGTCGCTCGAAGAGGCGCTCGGGATCCGAACGCGCGATGGCGAGACGGAGGCGAAACGCGTGAATAAGGTTGCGAAAAAAATCATGCGAGACCTCATGCGCACCGTCGCCGGCTTGCACGACATCGGCATCGTGCACAGAGATCTCAAGCCGGCGAACTTGGTTCTCATGGGTAACAGATTTAAGCTCATCGATTTCGGTGCGGCGTGTGATTTGCGTAGCGGCGAGAACTACGATCCAGAGCAAGGCTTGCTCGATCCAAAATACTCGCCGCCCGAGCAGTTCATCATGTCGCAAAAGACGCCCGCGCCGCCGCCGCTCATCGCCGGGTTCCTCGCTCCACTCCTGTGGACCGTCGCGCAGCCGCAGCTGTTTGATTCTTACTCCGTGGGATTGATTCTTTTGCAGCTCGGATGTCCGCAGTTGCGCTCGAGCAACGTCATGGCTCCGAACGGCGCGTTCCAGCGAAGACTCGAGGAGGCGAACTACGACCTTCGCAAGTGGCGTCGAGACGTCGAAGATACCCTCGGTTGGGATTTCTCCGCCCTCGACGTGAGCGGCGGTACGGGGTGGGACCTCGCGTGTCGCTTGGTCACCAAGCGCAACGCTCTCAGACGCGGTCGCCTCGATGTTGGCACCGCGTTGGCGCACCCGTTCATCGCCTTGCTCTGAACGATGACGCCGTCGCCGCCGTCGAATCGCGACGAACGGTCGACACTTTATACCAACATCTATTTATTTCGCGCCGTCATTCCTCGCCTCGGCGCGTCGTCGCGTCGTCGTCGATTCGTAACCGTCTCCGCGCGTCGCCCCGTCGCCGCACTTCGCGTCGCGTTCTCCGACGTCTCGCTCGACGCGCGCGCACGTCGTTCGAGCACGATGTCTTGAGCGTCCTCCATGTCCTCGAACGCGCGCTCCATCGTCGCGAGGGATGTCACGGGACGAGAGGTCGTCGTCACCGTGGACGCCGAGCGAACCTCCATCGACGACGCGCGCACCGCGATCGCGCGCGCGCTGGGCGTCCCGAACGCGCGCGCGCGCTGTTACCCGATCGGTTCGAGCGACGAACTGCGCGGAGGGGCGATGTGGGGCGACAGGGACGCGCGAGTGTACGTGGTCGGGTACGCGCGCGCGCGGGCGCGCGTGACAAAGCGGCGCGCGCGCGGCGACGAATCGATCGAAGATACCGGAGCGGAAGCGCGGGTGAGGGCGACGAAGACGGATGAAATAGAACCCATGCGACCGGTGGATGCGCTGTGGGCGTCCGTGATGGCGGACGCGCGACGCGCGTCGAACGGAGAGGCGACGGGGTCGGGCGCCGATTTCGCGACGCCGATTGAATCGTTGCAGCGGCTGAGCGGAAAGTACAGAGCTTTGGCGCGAATATCGCTGTTTTTGCATCGACAGAACATTCAGCCGACCATGCGTTTGATCACGCGATCGATGGCGAGCGAGGTGGCGGTTACGACGGAGGACGCGCGCGCTATGGAGGCGTTATGTCCCGGGAGCGTTCGGCTGATCGAGCGACGAAGAAGCGCGGAGGAGGAAGCGGGCACGGATAAAGAAATCGTGGTCGACGTGACCGCGCCGGATGAGACAGGACCGAGCGCGTTCACGACGCCGGCTTATCGTATGGCGCTCACGAACGCGGACGGTGCCAGCGAGGCGATAGCGCTGCAGGGTACGCGTCGATCGATGAGGAGTATAGGCGGCTACGTTCGCATGGCGGAGATGACGGATCGCTTCGGCGCAAATTTTGGACGCGTCGTGGATAAGTACGCGGCGGCGTTCGAACGCGGTCTCCGCGATGTCATCGAACGCGCACCGCTCGATGCGACGAAGGACACACCGCTACGCGCGTTCGTCGACGCGGTTTTAGAGATGCGCGCGAGCGAAGCCGCGGAGCGAGCCGCGGCAAAGCGCGAGGGCATCTTGGCGCCACCAGAGGCGATGGACCGACCGCCAGCACCGCCTCGCGCGCGGGCAAAACGGACGAAAAATGGAAATACAGATGGTAAAGACGGGCCGTGCTGCAGTACCGAACCGATGAACGTGGACGAATTCGTCGGACATCTCAGAGAAACGCTCGCATCGAGTGGGCAAATCGTGCACGTGGAAACGATGGAAGCCAAACCCGCCGTTCGCGCGACGCTCTCGGAGAGCGTTTCGCTGAGCGACGCGACGATCGCCGCGTTCAAAGGCGGTATCGGATTAGATCTTAAGAGTAGACTCTTCAGTCATCAGGCGAGTGCCATCGAATCGATTCTAGGGGAGACTACTCCGCGGAAGCACGTTATCGTTTCCTCCGGCACTGCTTCCGGGAAATCGGTGTGTTATAACGTGCCAGTGGTGGACACTTTGCTAGCCGATCCGAATGCTACCGCGCTATACATGTTTCCCACGAAAGCCTTGGCGCAGGACCAACTAAGGGCGCTGCGGATCATCTTGGCCAACGTCCCAAAGAGCGAAGAGACAGTGTTTGGCATTGGCATTTATGACGGGGACGTTCGGAGCAAAGAGGCGAGAGCTGAAGTGCGCTCAAGCGATCGCCTCATAATCACCAACCCAGACATGTTACACGTTAGCATTCTCCCGTCACACAAACAGTGGGTTCGTTTTCTCTCTGGACTACGATACGTCATCATCGATGAGGCGCACGCGTATTCGGGGGTGTTTGGTTCGCACGTGGCGCTCATCGTCAGACGCTTGCGTCGTTTGTGTTCCGAGTTGTACGGCTCATCGCCGCAATTCATTATAAGCTCCGCCACCGTCGCAAATCCACTGGATCACGCGCGAGATCTCATAGGATTTCACGGTGTGCGTCCGGATGAAGATACCATCGAGACGGTGACGAACGATGGCGCTCCTCGAGGGGTGAAGACTTTTTTGCTGTGGAATCCGGCTCTCAAACCAGGACAGTCGCATCAGACGAACACGGAGAGAAAATTTCGCCGTGTGACGTCGATCGAGCGCGGAAAGGCGGCGCTGGCGAAAAAACTTCGCGAAACGTCAACACTCGTAGACGTGCCCGCCGAAGTTGAGGATATCATCGTGGCAGATGTCGAAGGAGCTCGCACGAGTCCAGTGGTGGAAATTTCACAAATTCTCGCAGAGTGCGTGCAACACAATCTGCGATGCCTCGCGTTCTGCAAGACGCGCAAGCTATGTGAACTTGTTCTCGTGTACACTCGAGAGATACTCCGATCATCGGCACCGCATTTAGCGGACAAGGTTGCGTCGTATCGGGGTGGCTACGAAGCTGGCGAACGCCGCGTCATAGAAAAAGAACTCTTCTCCGGTGTTCTCCTCGGCGTCGCCACGACGAACGCCCTAGAGCTTGGTATCGATGTCGGCTCTCTCGACGTTACGCTCCACTTAGGATTTCCCGGGTCGGTTGCTTCCCTTTGGCAACAAGCCGGACGAGCAGGTCGGCGCGAAGGCAGAGCGTTGTCCGTCTACGTCGGCTTTGATGGGCCGCTCGACCAGCACTTCATGAGACAACCACGAGCGTTGTTTGACGCCCCGCACGAATTCTCCTACGTCTGGGCACAAAACCCGACCATCGTTGCGCAGCACATGCTGTGCGCCGCGTTTGAGCGGCCGCTGTTCGCTAATCCGGGCGTGGATGAGGTGTACTTTGGTTCCACAGCTCGAGAAGTCGCCAGTCAAATGGTGGCAAAAGGCCGACTCACGGTGGATCCCGGTTCGTTCGTAGCGTGGAATCCGGCGGCAAAAATCGCTCAACCACTCCTTGCGTGCACCGATAAGTCTCCTGCTCTCGACGTAAGCGTGCGAACGATTGAGGAAGAGCATTTTGACGTCGTGGACGTGAGCACGTCGCGAGAGAAAATCATCGCCAGTGTCGAAGCCTCAAAGGCGTTTTTCGAGGTATATGAAGGCGCAGTTTACACGCATCAAGGACGTACGTTGTTGTGTACAAAGCTCGATCTTGAGCGTCGACGTGCACACGTGCGAATGGCGGACGTAAAATACTTCACTCGCGTGAAGCACGAAACGACGTGCTCAGTTCCGGGCGGTATGCGTGTGTACGGTGAGACAGACACCTCGCTTCCGATGTCGCAGTGCGTCAAATGTGATGAAGTGAACATCTCAACCGTCTTCACCGGCTTCAGTCGCGTCGCCCGCGGCTCACAGGCCAAGTTTGATCACGTGTCGTTCCCGCCTCGTTCGACAGAGTTTCACACGGTCGGCGCCTGGCTCCGGATCCCGGATGATATCGTCAGCAAAGCCTCGGAAACGGTGGATCTGCGCGCGGGCGTGCACGCAGCTTCCCACGCCGTACTCAACGCCCTTCCCTTGCGCGTCCCATGCGGAGAAAATGACGTCGGTTGCGAGTGCTTCTCCGCCGACCTCCACGCCGAACGCGGTCGCCGATACAAGCCGCTTCGATTTCTCATCTACGACCGCCATCTTGGCGGCGTGGGCATCACTCGTCGCGCCGCCGAACTCCTTCCAGAGCTCATCGGGATCGCTCGAGACCTCGTTCGAGCGTGTTCGTGCGCTCGCGCGGACGGATGTCCATCGTGCGTGCAGCGCCTCTCGTGCGACGCGCACAACGCGCACGTGAACAAACGCGCCGCCGAGTTCGTGCTCGACAACGTCATCGCGGCGTTCGCACCCGAGCCCGACGAAAAATCGACGCGTAGTAACATGTAGCCATCTTCATAGCGTCGACGACCCGAATTCCCGCGAAGAGTCCCACAGTTCGCGTCTCTCGCCGCCTCGCGCGCAGCCGTCGCCCCGCGCTTTCCGCCGCGCGCCACTCGACGACGCCCCATCCCTCTTCACCACCACCCTGAACGAACGATGACCGCCACCGCGCCGCGCGCGCCCGAAGAGCTCGAGCGCGCGCTCGCGACGTGCGAGCGCGCGCTCGCCGAGCAGCGCGCCCTCGGGGCGCGCGCGGCGGAAGATTTCTCCAAACATCACGCGCGCGCGCTCGCGGAGGCGCGCGAGCGAGGACGTCGACGATCGCTCGGGATGAAAATCGCGCTCGCGGTGACCGTGGTGTTGACGTTAATCAGCGCGCGACGCGGCCGGGCGGTTCGAACGGTGACGAGGGCTCGGGACGAGGCGCTGCGGTCGCTGGGGACGTGTCGGGGCGACGTCGAGGCGCTGCGGGCGCGAGGCGGGAAAGTCAGTGGAACGCGCGATGGAAGTGGACGTGGGACGGGAGATTCGACGCCGAGGACGCTGGGACAGTGCGTGGAGACGCTGGGGGAAGCGCGGAGGGAAAACGAGCGGCGGGCGAGCGCGGTGGAGGCGTGCGAGAGACGCGTGCGAGCGCACGCGACGGGCGACGCGTCGTATTTTCAAGACGCGAGCGAAGCGCGAGAGATGCTCGAGGCGATGAAAGCGAGGATGAGGGATAAGGATGAGGCGCTGAAATTGGTACAGACGCGCATGCGGTTGATGCAGTACGCGGCGACGCTGGTGGTGATGGCGTTCGCCGCGGCGGCGGCGCATCCGACGGTTCGCGAGAGTTTCCTCGACCTCGTGCGATCGAGCGATCGACGGACGATCGAGCGCGTGGCGCGAGATGAATTGGCGCAAGCGCGCGAGCGATCGCGGTCGCGGTCACCCGCTCGCGCGGCTGTTGAACCGACGAAGACGCCGCCGTTATCGCCCACGCGTTTCGTCCGCACGGCTACGAAGACGCGCATCGAGTGAGCGACTGAGCGACGAGACGTACCGACGACACACGACGCGCCGCGTCGCCGCGGACGCGTTCGGTGATTAAGCATGGAAACGCATGACTCAGACCATTCCGATCGCCCTCTTCGCGCGCGCTCGAGCGTTGACGCGTCGTGCGTCCCGCGCCCGTCCCGCGCCCGTCCCGCGCCAACCGTCACACACCACGGCGCGTCGCATGCCTCCCAAATCCCGTGCGCGTCCTCCGAAACCGCCCGAACGCGCGCGACACCTCTTTACGCGCCCGTTCGCTCTCTTTCTCGTCCTCAGGATCGTCAATGCGTTCGTCGTTCGGACGTTTTTCGTCGCTGATGAGTTTTGGCAGAGCGCGGAAGTCGCCCACGCGCTCGTCTACGGGTACGGACACGCCACGTGGGAGTGGCGCGCGCGCCTGAGGAGTCACGCGCATCCTTTGTTATACGCTGCGGTGTATAAACTCGGGGATGTGGTGGGATTGAGGTCGGATGCGTTCGTGCGGAACGCGCCGCGGGTCGTCGGCGGATTCATAGCGGCGGCGCACGACGCGGGATGCGGACGCCTGGGACGACGATTCGGCGGAGAGAAGTGTGAGTTTTGGAGCTTGGCGTTGCGAGCGATGAATTGGTTCGTGTTTTATTGCGAAACAAGGGGTTTGTCGAACTGCGCGGAGGCGTGCGCGACGACGTGGGCGCTCGCGTACTGGCCGCTCGACGGATTGGGCCGAGCGAAGGGCGGGGCTAGACGAAGACGAAAGGCGTTGTCGTTCGCCGCGATCGCGTGTGTGATGCGACCGACGAGTGGAATTTTATGGCTCGCGTTGGGGGCGTCTGCGTTGGCGCGAAGGGGGGATCCAGTCGGGGAAAAAGCGCGGTTCGCGTTGCTAGAGGCGGCGCCCATCGGCGCGTTCGCGCTCGCAGCTTCTGCGTGCGTCGATAGGTATTTTTACGGCGAATGGACGTTCGTGCCTTGGAATTTCGTAAAGTTCAACTTTTTGAGCGGGAAGAGCGCGATTTACGGCGCCAATCCCTGGCACTGGTACCTCACTCAGGGATACCCGGCGGTGTTGGGGACGATGCTCCCACTCGCGCTCATCGGATTTTGGAGGAACCGAGTGAAGAACAACGCGGCGTTCGCGGTGACGTTCTGGACAATATTCGGGTACTCGCTCGCCGCGCACAAGGAATTTCGATTCATTTTGCCGTGCGTGAGCGCCTCCATCGTGAGCGCGGCGTCGGTGTTGACGGAGATGACGCCGAGCCGAAGACGGCTCGTCTTGCTCGCACTCGCGCTCACGAATGTTCCCGCGGCGCTGTACATGTCCCTGCGTCACCAGGCTGGGACGATTGCCCTTATGCCACATATCGCAAACTTGGCGAAACAAGGTGCCATCGTTGACGGCGGCGTGCTCTTCGCAGTGCCGTGCCATCAGACGCCGTTTTACGCGCACGTGCACCGAGAGATTCGCATGGAGTTCCTCGATTGCTCGCCCGACATACCCGAGGGCGAGGACGACTCCGCGAGATTCGCGAGCGATCCCGAGACGTGGCTCAACGCACGTTTCGGTCGCACCGTTGACGATTCGCACCGTACGTGCGCCGTGGCCTCCGCCCTCGCACCGAGCCACGTAGCGCTCTTTGACGGAGACGCTCGCCGCGCCGCGCCTTGGCTCGAGCGGTGGAATTACGCCCTCGAGCGCACGTTTCATCACGCCGACGTCGCCGTCGATCGTGAGATTCAACGCGCGCTGCACCTGTACGCTAGACCACCCCACGACGCGAGCGCGTGTCGCGCTCAGACGTAGCCAATGACGTTAGACCGTCCCGCTGAGGCGCATTGGTAACCGTCTTCGCCCGCCCGCGCGCCCCACTCTCGGACGCACGCTCGCGATGCCCCGAAAACGCCCCAAGGCGTCGACGTTGATCAGCGACGACGCGTACGCACGGGCGTTGCTCAAGAAGCTCCGTCTCGCGCGCGTCGTCGTGCTCGACGTCGAGCAAAAGTTGGCGGCTGGCGGCGAGAAAAATCAGAAAAACGATGACGACGCGCGACTGAAGCGCGCTTTAGGGCAAAGAGCGAACGCTTTGGAGAAACTCAAGTCACTGGGTATCGATGAAACAGACGCGCGGGTGACACAGGCGGAAGCGGACGCGGTGGACGCGCTGCAAAGAGAGATTGTCAAAAAGCGCGCGCGGGACGCCGAGCGGGACGCCGAGCAAAGAGCTCGAGAGGATGCGAAAATGAAGCGCGGGAAGAAGGGAAACGGGAATGCCGACGGTGTCTGGGCGTTACACAAAGCGGTGAAAGTCGGAGAATTGGACGGTGTGCGAGCGGGCCTAGAGCGCGCAATCGCGGATGCGTCGCAGGTGGATCCCCGGGCGTGCGGCGCCGGGATGTGGGCGTGCGCCAAGCTCGCGACGCGATTAGACGAGAGTGGGAAGGAGTCGGACGTCGATTTCGTGAAGTTGACGGCGAGAGCGATGCAGGCGTTGATGCGAAGGATGGTGGAGTTTGAGTCGGGAATCGTGGACGCGCGCGGCGCGAGCGGGACGCTTTGGGCCGCGGCGACGTGCGGACGCACGCGTTGCGGGAACGAGTTGGACGACGTCGCGACGCGCCGTGCGGTGAACGACGCGGCGACGCGTTTGACGTCGTACGCGAGTAAGGCGAACGGGCAAGATGCGGCGAACGCGTTGTGGGGAGCGGCAAAGTTGAGGAAGACGTTGGACGAGACGTGCGCCACCACGCTCGCAAACGCGCTCGCGGAGAGCGCGGATGCGAAGATGGAGGAAATATCAATAGCGCTTTGGGCGTTCGGCACGTTCGCCGGCGATGGATGGAAAGCAGCGGTGTCGGCGTCGGTTCCGTTGGTGCGTCGCGCTAAAGATATGGCGAAGAATCGACCAAAAGATTGGAGCGCGCAAGCCATCGCGAACGCCGCGTGGGCATGTGGGAAACTCGCGACGAGCGATCCGAATCACAATCTGAGCGACGCTAAGTCACTCGTTGGGGCGCTGTTAAAGATAGCAAAGGACACGAAAAATCTGTCCGCGCAAGGGTTCGCGCACGTCCTCCAGGCGGCGGGGGCGGTGGTCCTCGACGATAGGCTTCTCCCGGATTGCGCGAAATTCACATACGAAGGCTTGCGTTCTCGATCTGCACAGATCACGGGCGCGGATTTAGCCTGCGTCTCGGAGACCACCGAGATTTTGAGACTTCACACGAGTATATCGCACGGCGAAAAGTTACTCGCCGAGATCAAGGGTGCGATCGAGCGCGGGTTAAACGCGTTCGATTGGCAGACTATTGGACGATTGGACGTCATCGTCGACGGCATCTTCGGCACCTCCGTCGCGTCGGCTATGCACGAGGCACTTCGTAAACGCGGTCTCGCGGCGTGCGACGAAGTGAACGCGAGCAGAATGGACACCGAGCGCGGAAGCGCGGACGCTTTGCTGGCGCAATCGATCGCGGCGCCAGTGGCCGAGGCATCATCGGCCGCGCTCGTTGTCGACGACGGCCATCGCCTCGTGACGAAACGACTTCGACGGATCGGGTGGAGCGTCACCAATTGGCAACGATTTAGCCGTGGCGAGCATTCGAAGGGGACGTGTTGGCCGGAACTTCCACCTAACGGTGATTTCTTTGCGGCGGCAGTCGTTCGGTTGCCGCCTACCAAGGCGTCTCTCGCCATGGTTTTACACGCAGTCGCAGCAAGCGTTCGTTTCGGTGCGCCAGTTTGGATTCACGGCGCCGTCACGGAAGGTTTGCGCGCTGTCATCCCTGATTTACCCACGGTAAGTTCGTCAGTGATTGATATTTCTTCGTTTTTCGCACCAGCATACTTCGGCGCGCGCTCGCCATGCGTGAACGCCGAAGCCCGCATCGCGGATGGTGCTACATAAAGGACGGGTCGCGACTGCTGCTGCTATTCAAACGGGCCATCCAACCCGAGCGCGCGTCGTCCGTCCATGCGGATCATAATGAGCCTCGATCGATCGTCACCGAGCGACCTTCGAGTTCGTAACGTTCGCTACATTCAACGCTCAGATCCATGACTGACTTTTCGCTTTGTGACCGCCTCGCAGGGGTTGTTTGAGCGTGCGAGACTTACGATGCGCGATGTCGAACACGGCGTGGTGCTCTGCCATCGATCAAGCACGCAGCCGGATAAAAAGGGTAAGGAATTGAAGAAATGGCGAGAGAAGCAGACTCTCGATCTCAGTGATGTGGTCGGAAAAACGAGCGCCGTTTCGTGGATCTCCTATCCCGGTCTCTTCGCCGGGGGCGGTCTGGACGTGATGACGGATCTCTTGCTCCGTCGCGTGCTCCCGACGCTGAACAAAAAGTCCAAGCTCAGGGTCCTTGATTACTGCTCCGGCAACGGCGTCATCGCCTCCGCCGTTCGTCTCGTCGCGAAAAAGTCCAAGCTCACGCTCCTGGATGCCGACGCGCTCGCGCTCGAAGCCGCCAAGAAAAACCTTGACAGCGACGCCGATTTCGTCCTCTCCGACGGCTGGACTTCGCTTCCGAGCGACAAAAACTCCTCGTTTGATCTCATTTTGAGCAACCCGCCGGTACACCTCGGCTTACAGGTTGATTTCTTGACGCTTCGTGACTTTCTCTCTGGGGCTGGCGCGCGCCTCGCGCCCGACGGAGTTGCCTACTTCGTCGCCCAACGCTACGTCCCCTGCGCCGCGCTCGCGGGCGACGACGTCCAAATTTCTCTCGACTTTAAAGATTCCCGTTTTGCCGTCTGGAGATGCACCAGACGCTAGACAAACCACCCAATCTTGTTGTATCATTGCGAGTAGTCCAACGCGCGCGCGCAATGCCAACGAGAGCCACTGAGTGAAGAATTCATCGTTTCCACACACCTCGACGCGTCGCTCCTAGTACCCCGCGTCGCGACGCGCGCGCGGCACCTAGGCAAAGCGTGAACGTCACCCACGCGCGGTCGTCGTCCGCTTCACGCGTCGGAGGACGCGAAACCGTCGACGTTTCGAGTTGAATCTAAAGTTGAACGAAAAGATGAATTCAGAAAATGAATCAGAGCTCTCCGTGTCGTACAATCAAGACGGCGCGTGTTTCGCGTGCGCGCGTTCGAACGCACGGGAGGGTGGATTCACGGTATACAACGTGTCACCGTTTCGGGAGACGTTCGGACGCCGATTTCGCGACGGCGGCGTCGGCACGACTGAGATGTTGTTTCGGTGCAACATCTTGGCGCTCGTCGGCGGAGGGAGAGAACCAAAGTTCTCGCCGAATAAAGTGATGATATGGGACGATCATCAGGGGCGATGCATCGGGGAGTTGGTGTTTAAGGTTCCAGTGCGAGGGGTGCGGTTGAGGCGAGATAAGGTTGTCGTCGCGTTGGCGCATAAGATTTTCGTGTACAATTTTTCCGATCTGCGGTTGGAGCAGCAGATGGACACGGCGACTAACGAGAGTGGGTTGTGCGTGATCTCTCCGACGACGGAGAGAACGGTGTTGGCGTGTCCGGGGTTGAACAAAGGGCAGGTTCGGGTGGAGCTGTTTGATTTAGGGACGACCAAGTTTATCGCCGCGCACGAAACCGCGCTGGCGTGTCTCGGTCTGAGCGCGGACGGCTCGCTCTTGGCCACGGCGTCGGAGAAAGGGACTTTGATCAGGGTATTTGACACGCACACCGCGTCTTTGCTCCACGAGTTCCGGCGCGGAAGCGATCGCGCTCGGGTGTACTCGCTCGCGTTCTCTCCCAAGAAGAACTTGCTCGGCGCGACGAGCGACAAGGGCACGGTGCACGTCTTCAAGATCCCCGACCGACCGTCGGCGTCCTCAACGTCCGCCACCGCATCACCCGCACCGGCATCGAGACCGAACGGCACCGCATCGCCCGCCACCGACTTCGCCAAAAGATTCCTTCCCAAGTACTTCACCGCGGAGACGCGTTCGCGGGCGCAGTATCGCTTACCCTCCGCCGCCCGCTCCTTGGTCACCTTCCCCGCCGCCGATCCCGACACCTGCGTCGTCGTCAGTGATTCCGGCGAGTACTCTAGGCTCGTCTTCGACCTCGACCGGGGCGGCGAGATGTCCCTCGTCGAGCGTCACGATTTCTCCGCCGCCGCGCCGGCGCGCGCGTGAGCGCCCCCGCCCCTCGCCCATCCACCGCACACGCGCACACCGCTGTAAAAATAAAAACACCACCACCGCGCGCGTCGTTCCCCGCCATCACGCCGACGCCGCCGAGCCGCGCGCCGCGTCCGGACCCGCGGCGCCGCCGCGCCGCGCCGTCCGCCCCATCCATCGCCCATCGCCCATGCAGACCTCGTATACGACCATCACCGGCGGCACACATCGCACGCACACGCCTCGTATACGTCACCGGCGGCACACATCGCACACATTTACTCGCACACGACGCGCGCTGAACCCTAAAAAGGCACCACACACAAACCAACCACGGTGACGTCACCACGCGACGCCGACCCATCGTCCATGCGCGCGCTCGCCCCCCCCGCGTCCGTCGCTCGACGCCCCCCCCCGCGCGGGCGAAGCGTTCGCGCCCGCGCCGCCGGCGACGACGCCGCGCGACGGGCGCGGGCGCGCGCGGACGCGCCCGAGGGCGTGCCCCCGCCCCCGTTCGCGCCCACGATCGAACCGGCGACGTTCGGGTTCGTCGAGAACGCCGAGCGGGCGAACGCGCGGGCGAGCATGGTGGGATGGTGGGCGCTGTTGCTCGTCGAGGCGGTGGCGGGGAAAGGGATCTTGGAGCTCGCGGGGGTGACGGTGGGGAAGGGGATTAATTTTACGTTTTAGGCCATTGGAGGACTTCGGTGGAGCGCGGTTGTAATGCACGTCGAAGGTCACGCGCGGTGTCGATGCGTCTCGCGGGGGGGGGTGGAGTGATTCGCGTGGGTGGGATTGTGCGCGCGGAGGCGGCGGCGGGCGACGCGACGCGACTCGATAACGCGGGCGACGCGACGCGACGCGATAACGCGGGCGACGCGACGCGACTCGATAACGCGGGGCTCGTGAGATTGGTATTAAACCCGGATCGTGATCACTAACTGTCGATGAGGCGAAAAGGATGTGCTAGATCGATATCGTTCGTTTGGGGTGATGCGTGTTGAAGTGGTTGAAGAGTCGATCACGAGACGATGAACATCGTCGCGTGGTCTCGCGCGGCGGCTTTCGCGGATGGTACTCCAGAGACTTGCGCGCCAGAGTTGCCGGCGATTCCGAGCGATGCAAACTCGGGGATCATCGCACCCGAACTCGCGATGAATCGCTCGATGATGGTTTGCGCCGACGACACCTGTTCGCTCGTTCCGCTAATCTCCAAGAGGCGCTCGGAGTCTTGCGCTCGGCGCGCGCCGTTGCGACCAGACGCGCCCGGGTAGAGCTTAATTCGTGCACCGCTCACCTGACGAGCGATCGAGATGTTGCATCCGCCTCGTCCGAGCACGCTGCCGATGTGTTGCGAGGAGATGGTCATGTGCACGCTGTTCACGGTGGTCACGCCCGGGATCTCCACCGGCGGCGCGCTCAGGGACAATGACGCGAGCGCCGTGTCCACGGGCTCCGTCTCGTACGCCGTCATGCCGTACATCATGAGTTCGCTCTGTTGAAGCGTGGGGGTGTCCTGGACGGCCATCGTCGGCGTCATCGAGGCTGAGTAGACGTTGGATTCCACGTTGAGTCGCTCCGCCGCTTTGTGGCGCATGTTCCCGCGAAGTCGTCCGCTGACTATGCGAATACCGAGCGCGCACGCGTCGGCGGGCCATTGACCGATCTCCAAGAGCTCGTCATCCGCGTTCGCACACGCGGGGAGGGCATCGGAGGGAAGCACGCGCACTGTTGCGCCGGTTTCATTTCTGATTTGTCGAATGATGCTGCCACCTTTTCCAATCAAGCATCCGATTTGCGATGTTTGCACGAGCAAGCGGAACGGAAGCGGAACGTCACTTCCAGAGCTATCGACGATGCATCGATAGACTCGGAATAGAGCGACCTGCGCAGCGAGCATTGGGGCCAAGCCGTCGTCGTTGGACGAGACGCAAATGATGCGCTCCTCGGCGTTGTTGATTTGCTCGCAAACCTTCACCTTGGCTCCAGTTTCGCTCCGAATTTGTTGAATCACTTCACCGTTGCGCCCGATGACGCTCCCGGTCTTCGATACAGGACAGAGGAGCCTAAACATGATCTCCGTCCCTCCCGGAACGTAGACGCCGTTTAGGTTCATCCGCGTCGACATGTGACCGCCGCTCGATCCACCGGCGATTCCGGCACCGTTCCCGCCATCCCCGTCAGCGTTCGCGCCTGGTTTGATACCGAGCATGAATGCCTCGAGCGGACTCCGAAAGCTCTCGCTCGTCGCCATCTTGGTCGGGTACTCGCGCAAGTTTTTAGCCACCATTCGAAGCGCGCTCTTCACGCTCGCCAACGCGAGATCCACGTCGTTCCCGTCGGTGTCCCGCACCGGTGCGGTGATTTGCAGCAACTCGTCACCACGACTCGCGCACGTGGGCAGCATCGTCGCCGGCATCAGGCGCACGGTCGCGCCGCTGCTCGCTCGAATGGCGCTAATCACCGCGCCACCCTTACCGATCAGACTTCCGACCTGCGCTCGCGGCACCAAAAGACGACAAATCGGCACCGCGCGCCCACCGTTCATCGATCGTTCTCCTCCCGTGGACGAGGACTCCGGGACGCCGCTACCGCTCTCGCTGCTCGTGCCGTCTCTCGTCCCGTCGAGCGCGCCGCCGGACTCGCTCGCCACCGTGTCGAATATCCGAAACAGCGCCCGCTCCGCCGTCGTCACCGGCACATCCGACCCATCGCCGTCATCCATCATCAACTCTTCCCCGCTCGCCACGAGCACGACTCGCTCGTCCGCCCCTCGCGTCGTCGGCGCCACCTTGACCCTCGCCCCCGTCTCCGCCCGCAGCGCCTTGATCACCCGTCCCTCCTTCCCGATCACTCTCCCGATGCGCGCCACCGGGCAGAGCAACCGAAACTGCACCGACGCGTTCACGCGCCCCCCCTCCGTCGCCCACCCAGCCACCGCGCTCCGATCGACCCCACCGCGTCCGTCGCGCGCGAACGCGAACCCATCCGCGTCCGCCTCGCCGTCGCTCGCCCCCTCGCGTTCGTCATCCGTCAAAAACCCCATCGCCCGTCGAACGACGTCCGAATCATCCAGCGTCCCATCGTACCCGTCGTCCACCATCGCGTCGCGCCCGTCGCCCGTCCCACCGATCGCCATCGCGCGTTGACCACCCGTCACCGAATGGTCGATCCCACCGCCGACGCCGCCGATCGATCGTCCACCGCGTCACCGCCCACGCGCGCGCGTTCGTCGCGTCCGTCACCGGAGACCTCGCGCGCGTCCGTCCGCGTCGTCCGCGCCCCTCGAGCGCGCCGCGCGTCCGTCGCGCGCGCGCGTGCGGGCGATCGTCGACGTGGGCGTCGACGCGACCCCCGGGGTCGGTCACCGGCGCGTCGCGACCGGTCGATCGATCGATCGACCGGTCGATCGGCCCTTTCGACGTCGATCGCGCCTTTCGACGACCGCGTCGGCGGTCCTCGCGTCGCGCGCGCGACGCGAGCGGTCGACGCGCCGGCCGCGCGCGGGGTCGACGGGACGGTCGGCGCCGGCGACGACGACGTCGGGACGGTCGGCGCCGGCGACGATGGGCGCGCGGGGGGAGGGGGGGACGCGGCGACGCGAACGCGTCCTCGCGTGGACGCTCGCGTGCGCGATGACGATGGGCGCGTTCGCGCGCGCGCGGGCGCAGACGGCGACGACGTCGTGCGTCGAACCGGGGGAGAGGGCCATCTTCGTGAGCTACTCGGAGAACGCCCCGGACGCGGTGTTTAAAACCGTGGACGGGGACGCGTGCTTGGCGGGCGGCGGGCGCGGCGTCGGATGTTGCCCGGGATCGGTGTGTCCGAGGGAGAATTGTGAGCCGGAGGAGAACGAGGTGGAGGTGAAGGAGGGCGTGAACGTGACGCAGAAGTTTTACACGTGTCGGTGCGAGCGGTGCGCGCGTGGGACGGCGCAGCCGCTCGCGGCGCGGAGCGCGTGCGTGGATTGTCCGGCGGGATGGTACAACGACGTCGAGGGCGCGGCGACGTGTAAACCGTGTCCGATAGGGACGTATTCGAATAGGGTGAAGAACGCCGAGGGGTGCGCGCCGTGTGGAGAGGGGACGAGCGGGACGAGCTCGTTGGAGGAGTATTACGCGGCGACGACAAAGTCGCTGAGAGCGCCGCCGGCGGGCGAACCGGGGTCGACGTTTGATTCCACGCTCGCGGCGACGTCGTGCACGGCGTGTCCGGCCGGAACGTACGGCGGGGGCGCGGGTTCGGGGTGCACGCCGTGCGCGCCGGGATCGTATTCTCTCGGGAGCGCGACGTCGTGCGCGCCGTGTCCGGCGAACACGTACTCCACAGAGTCCGGCGGGACATCGCTGAGGAGTTGTCTACCCTGCGCCGCGGGCGAAGCCACGGACGGCACGGGATCCACGTCGTGTTTCCGCGTCTGCCCGTCCACCGCGCTCACGTGCGCCGCGGATGAAAAGAGAGCCGCCGGATTTTACGAAGCCGCCGAATCCGGCCGACGACCCGTCGTCTCCTCGAGCGCCGCCGACGACATCACCGCCTACAAGCTCGAGCGATGTCGAAAAGGATGCGTGAAGCTCCGAGAGAGATGTCGCTCCGGGTGCGACACCGCCGCTTTCGATTTCTGGTGCGACTCCAAGGACACGCCGAACGAAAACGATTGCGACAAATTCCCGCTCGCCGTTCCGCCGCCACCACCTCCCTCGACCGCGGCCGTTCCACCGCCACCACCACCCTCGACCGCGACGTAGCCCACGCGCGCGCCCTCGAGCGGCGCGCGCGTCGTCCCGTCCTCGCGCGTCCCCACCGACCAATCAATCACATCTTTCCACGCGTCCCCACCAACCAATCACATCGTCGTCGTCCCCACCGACCAATCACATCTGTCCACGTGTCCCCACCGACCAATCACATCGTCGTCGACGTCCCCCGACCCCCCTTCCACGAGTCACGACCCACGCCACGGACCCACCACCCCTCCGTCGCCCCATCGCGTCGCGTCGCGCGCACACGTCCACGCACGAATCATGGCCGCCCCCCTCGCCACGCTCTCCGGTCTCACCGCCCCCGCCCACGTCGGTCTCCGCGCGCGCACCGCGTCCAAGCGCGCGAGCGTCGTCGTCGCGGCGAAGAAGTCCGTGGGTGATTTACAGGTGCGGCGATCGCGCGACGATCATCGACGACGTTCGTGCGCGTCGTCGGGCGCGCGTCGACGCGCACGGGAGGGCGACGCCGCGGACGATGGACGCGCGCGGTGGTGTCGACGCGTCGAGGGGTCGTGTGCGGCGTGAACGGGCGGCGGGACGAGGGATGGATGCGACGCGCGGCGAGGGATGGATGCGGATAAGAGGGCGCGGCGAACGCGGGCGCGACTGGCGTGACTGACGGTGATGCGGTTTTACGCGATGTAGGAAGCCGATCTTAAGGGCAAGACGGTGTTCGTGCGATGCGGTGCGTTCGGGGGTGGGGGGGGATGGGTGTGAACGTGGCGGGAGACGCGCGGGGAGGGCGATCGCGCGACGCGCCTTATCCGAACGCTTCGGAGGATCGGACGAGACGGAGGACTGACCGTGCGCTCGCGTTCGTTTTGGTTTTGTGTGCGCAGACTTGAACGTGCCGCTCGATGCTGACCTTAACGTGCGTTATTTGTGTGATCTCTCGTCGTGGTTTCGTCGACGAGATGCACGGACGGCGACGACGGAGCGCGCGCGGCGAACGCCCGACTGACCGCGCCGCGTTTTATGCATCGCAGATCACCGACGACACGCGCATCCGCGCCGCCGTCCCGACCCTCGAGTACTTGACCAAGAACGGTGCCAAGGTTTTGGTCACCTCTCACTTGGGCCGCCCGAAGTCTGGCCCGGAGGACAAGTTCCGCCTCACGCCGGTCGCCGCGCGCCTCTCCGAGAAGATGTCCTGCCCGGTCGCCAAGGTTGACGACTGCATCGGTGATGAAGTCGCCTCCGCCGTGTCCAAGATGGCCAACGGCTCTATCCTCTTGCTCGAGAACACCCGCTTCTACAAGGAAGAAGAGAAGAACGACCCGACCTTTGCCCAAAAGCTCATCGGCTCGGCGGAGATCTACGTCAACGACGCCTTCGGTACCGCGCACCGCGCGCACGCCTCCACGGAAGGTGTGACCAAGTACTGCAAGACCAACGTCGCTGGTTTCTTGCTCCAAAAGGAACTCGATTACCTTGACGGTGCCGTCAAGAACCCGCAACGCCCGTTCTGCGCCATCGTCGGTGGCTCCAAGGTGTCCTCCAAGATTGGCGTCATCGAGTCCTTGCTCCAAAAGACCGACAAGATCATCCTCGGCGGTGGTATGATCTTCACCTTCTACAAGGCGCTCGGTAAGTCCGTCGGCTCCTCCCTCGTTGAAGATGACAAGATCGAGCTCGCGAAGGAACTCATGGCCAAGGCTGAGGCCAAGGGCGTGAAGATCTTGCTCCCGACGGATGTCGTCGTCGCCGACAAGTTCGCCGCCGACGCCAACACGAAGATCGTCTCCGTCGACGCCATCCCGGATGGCTGGATGGGTCTCGACATCGGTCCGGACTCCGTCGCTTCGTTCCAAAAGGAACTCAACGAGTGCAAGTCCGTCATCTGGAACGGTCCGATGGGCGTGTTCGAAATGGAAGCCTTCGCCAAGGGTACCTTCGCCATCGCGGACACCCTCGCCAACTTGAACGGCATCACCATCATCGGTGGTGGTGACTCCGTCGCCGCGGTCGAAAAGGCTGGCCTCGCCGACAAGATGTCCCACATCTCCACCGGTGGCGGTGCCTCCCTCGAATTGCTCGAGGGCCTCGTCCTCCCGGGTGTCGCCGCGCTCGACGAAAAGTAAGCTCGCAACCGTTCTTTGACCTCCCGGAGTTCTCACGTGAGTTCTTTGTGTCCGTCCCGTAGCGCGCGCGTGACGCGTGGTATTACTAATACAGACGCATCGTCGACATAAGTAAACGAATCTCTCACGCGATGCCTCAACCGCGACTCGCTCGCGTAACCGCACAGCGCGACGCCATGGATCGCACCGCCGTCGCCGACGTCACGCCCTCCGGCGCGTTCGCCAGAAAAGAGTCCACATTTCGAAACTCATTTGACGTCCACGGCCCACATCCGCCCGAGCGCGATCGTTACGTCCTCGTCGTCTCCCTCGCCTGTCCCTGGGCGTGCAGAGCGCTGAGCGTGTTGCACCTGAAAGGACTGGAAAACGTGTTTAAAGTGGTCGTGACGCACCCGGTGTGGGCACGAACGCGACCTGAGGACGCGAACGATGCACACTGCGGATGGGTGTTCGTGAAGCCGGGAGAGTCGATCGCGAACCCGGCCGGAGTGGGGCATTTCGTCGCGGATGGGCGTTGCTCCTCGAGCGCACCTGAAGACGCAAAGTTCGTCAGGGATCTATACGAGTTGTGCGGAGCACCGAAGGAGCAGCGATTCACGGTACCTTTGATTTGGGATACGAAGGCGCGGACGATCGTGAACAACGAGAGCTCGGAGATCATTCGGGAGATGAACACGAATTTTAACGCGTTTTCGTCGTCGCCCGAGCGCGCGGCGTTGGATCTATACCCAGAGGCGCTTCGGGAGCGAATCGATGATATCAACGGTTGGGTATATCATCGGGTGAATAACGGTGTGTACAAATGCGGTTTCGCCGTTACCCAAGAGGCGTACGACCAAGCCGTGAAGGATTTATTCGAGGCGCTCGACGACATCAACAGCATTCTGAGCGAGTCTCGATACCTGTGTGGCGACGTCTTCACCGAGGCCGACGTTCGATTGTGGCAGACGTTGATTCGCTTCGACGAAGTCTACGTCGTCTACTTCAAGACGAACAAGAAATTCATACATCAGTACGAACACATCTCCGGATACGTCCGCGAGCTGTGGCAGATGCCTGAGCTCCGAGCGGCGACGAACATGGATCACATCAAGACCCACTACTTCGCCTCACATCCGTCGCTCAACGCGCACGCGATCATACCAATCGGTCCCGACGTAAATTTGGACGCCCCACACGGCCGTGAAGGCGACTACCCGAGGAAATAATCCAACAGTTGTAACGCCGTCGAAACGACTGACAACCAGTCGCCTAGCCGCGCGCGCGCACATCGCGACGCGATGTCTCCCGAGCCCGACCCCTCGAGTGAGGCTTCAGACGAACGAAAGGTGGTCGTGCTATTCAAAGCCACCGGTGACGCGCCGATATTGAGACGAAACGTGGTGAAAATCCGAGCGAGCGCGAAATTCGAAGAGATTCTCGCGCACCTGACGAAATCGACGCGGTGCGAGCGGGCGTTCGCGTACTTGGGAGCGGCGTTCGCGCCGAGGTACGACGCCACGATAGGGGCGCTGTGTGACGGGTACGGGGAGCGGAACGATGAGGGCGGGAAGTTGGTGGTGTTTTACTCGACGACGCCGGCGTGGGGGTGAGCGAGCGAGCGAAGAATAGTACGCGCCGAATAGACGCGCCGTATGATTGTTGTTGTTGTACGATATTGATATTGAAAGAACGCGATATGATTTTCGCGCTCGTGACGGATGCGTACTCTAAGGCTTACGCGACGGCCGGACCGACGTTGTAGGCTTTGAAAATGTTGAACCCGTCGAACGCGGTGGTGACGCACATGCCCGGAATTTGCTTGTGCCACTTAATTTCCTTCGGGTCCTTCAGCCCTTGATGGACGAACATGAGCTGCGCTGGGAGGTCCTCGGGGGGTAACGCGTTGTCCCTGGCGGCGAGTGCGGCGGCCTCTTCCTCGGCATCACGCTCGACGGCTAAATCCCACACGCAGACGGTGTTGTCGGCGGACGAAGACGCGAGCATCGCTGAGTCAAATGGCGCCCAGTCCACGGACGTCACGGCGTCGCGGTGGAACGTAAAGTTGGCGATGAACTGTGGGTTCGTTTCGCTGAAGTTTCGAAGGTCCCAGATTCGAAGAGACCCGTCGTCAGCGCCAGTGGCGACCATGCAGTTTGCCAGACGGTTCCAAGACATGACGTTGACGTCCGAGTCGTGCGTCTTAACCCGCATCGCCGGTTTAGCGCGCTGACGTACGTCCCACACGCACACTGTTTGATCGGCCGAGCATGACATGAAGACGTCGCGCTCTGTGGGCGACCACTGGATGTCCTCCACGCTCGACGTGTGCCCGGTGTAGGGCGTAGCGCCGACGTCCCACTTACCCGCTATGGGCTCCCACATGTGAATAGCCCCGGCGCAATCGCCGCTCGCGAGCCTTCCCTCCGTCGCTGGAGACCAATCTAAGGCGTATCCTTCATCCTTGTGTCCTGTGAACACCTGCGAGGGCGTCACGCGCGCCGGCGCCTCCAACTGCCCCTTTGTGTCGTTCGTCGCCGACATCACCTTTAACATTTGCACTTTCAGATCCCAAACCATTACGTGCCCCGAATCGCTCCACGTCGCCGCCACGGTCGGCGTTTGCGGCATCGCCCGTACTCTGTTCACGCACCCGTGATGAATCACGCTCGCCACGTGTAACGTCGGCGCGTTCGCGACGCCGTCGTCCTCGCTATCGCTCGCCTCCATGTCCTCGTCCTCGTCCGCGTCCGCGTCCTTCCGCGTCTTCTTGATCCGACTCACCCGCATCACGCTCACCACGTTCTTCGTCGCCTCCGACGCCTGCGTCCCGGTCACCAAGAGCATCTCATGCGGGAACAACTCACGAGTCTCCCCTCTTTCGTCCCGCAACACGTCCACCGTCAGGCACGGCCACTCGTGCGAGAACGCGTGCAACGCATCGTACGCGCTCTCATCGTACTCCAGCTCCACGTCCGCGTCCTCCGTCGTCGTCGGTCGCCACACCTCCGGTCGCGCCCCCCTCGGGCGCGCGTTCGCGTCCTTCGCGCCGTCGTCGTCGTCCATCGCTTCGCAATCATCCTCCGAGCTCTCATCCTCGCCCTCACCGATCGCTTTGTACTCCTCCTCGTCCTCCTCGCTCCCGTCTCGCGCGCTCGTGCGCTTGGGTAAACGCGGCATCGTCGATGTCGTCGCTTCGCGCGCGAGAGATCGAGCGCGCGCGGCGACGCGGCGAGGAATGCGGTCGAGCCGCTTTTTTTTTAATGGCGGCGCGTCGCCCATCGGCGCGCGTCACGCGGCGACGCGCGCGCCGATGGGCGTGATCGTCGCGCGCGGCGCGCGCGCGACATCGCGCGCGATCGCGGGACGGAGGAAAGGGCGAATCTCGCGCGCGCGCGAGCGACGGCGCCCGCGACGAGTGCGAGACGCGGGAGAAATCAACCCTCGCGGCGTCTCAACCGTCGTCGACGCGGCGCCGGCGCCGCCGGACGGATACGCGGAGTTTGCGATCACGCGATCGATCTCCCTGGGCGTTCGCGACGCGCCGACGGTGTCGAGGTCGAGCGTGACGTCCACGAGCGTGCGCGCGTGGTTGGAGGACCCGGTGAACTTTGTGGGGGTCGTGTTCGGCGTCGCGGACGTCACGGAGGTCGCGAAAGAGAGCGAACGGGGTGGACGGGCGTTTTTAGTGCGGGTGCGCCCGCGCGAGCTGTTCAAGTGGGAGATATCGCCCGAATTTGCGATCGAGGCGGTGCGGGCGAGCGGCGACGGCGGAGCGCGATTGATCGGCGACGAGCTTCGATTCGGCGGTGATCGCGCTCGTCTACCCCCGGGATTTCGCTCGATGGGGGTGTGGGCGAGAATAGACGCCGTTGTGAGCGTGGACGAGGAGAATTCGACCGAAGACGAGACGACCGTGCGCACGGAGGTGAACGTACGCGTGGCGGCGGAGATACCGCGACTGTTGCGGGCGATTCCGGGATTTTCATCGGCGGCGACGATGACGATCGGGCGGTCGATCGATATCGTCGGCGGGTCGATCGAGGAGGCGACGCAGGCGACGTACGATGCGTGGGCGGCGAAGCGCGCGAGCGAAGCGGATTAAGACGAGACGACTTTCGTCGTTGCTGTACCTTTTAGTTTAGTTTTAGTAGACTGTGCTTTTAATCGATTGTTTTCCATTCTTTTCTCATTTCATCAATCATCTAACCTGCACGATGCCCGCGTTGATGAGCTTTTGCACCTTGGCCATGATCATCGGATTCTTTTGGTGCTCGGCGGCCGCCTTCGGATCGGTGGACATGTCCTGCAACACCTGTCGCATCACCGGGTCGCTCAGGATGGCTTGGATCTCTGGGTTCGCCATCGCTCGCTCTTGTCGAGCCTTCATCTCTTCCTCCGAGAGCTGTCCCGAGGCACCTCGAGAGATTTGCTCTTGGCAACGTCGCAAGCCGTCCCTAAGTTCCTCGTTCGTCGGGTCGTGCTTCAAGCCCTCGGAGTAGGTGGTCATCGCGTCGTCGTACTCCTTAACGAAGAACTGCACCGCACCCTTGCGAGCGTAACCCTTCACAAAGGTGGGCTCCAGCTCAATGCATTTCTCGGCGTCCTTCAGCGCCTCGTTGAAAGCGGTAAGCTTGGTGTACGAAGCCGCGCGGTTCGAGTACGCCTTGTGATCCTTCGGGTTTCGCGCGATTGCCTCGGTGTACTCCTTCACCGCCTCCGGGAACTTTTGATCCTTGAAGAATCCGTTACCTCTCTCGCGCGCCTCCTCGCCCTTGACAGGGTCGAGGTACGCCGCCTCCTTGGCCTCCTTGAGCGCCTTTTCGGCGTCGTTCAAACGTTTGAGTGTGTCCGCGGTGCGGTGCTCGGTGAGCGAGCGCTGGTACTGATCCACTGCCTCCTCGAGCTTTCCTTGCTTGACGAGCGCGTTACCCTTTCGCGTCATCGCCTTGGCGATCACGGTGTAATCGGCTCGAATCGAGCGTCCCTTCTCGATCGCGGCGTCGCAATCGCCGATGCACGCGTCGAAGTCGCCCTTCTCCAGGTTGGCCGCCGCGCGGTTATTAAGGAAAGAAATGTCCTCCGGATCGAGCTCGATCGCCTCGTCGTACTTGGCGATCGCGGCGTCGAAATCGCGCTTTTTGTACGCCGCGTTACCCGCATCCTTGGCCTCGAGCGCGCGCTTGCGCGACTCCGAGATCTCGGGCTCGGGCTCGGGTGCCTTCTTCGGAGCCTGCTCGGGCGCCTTTTTTGGCTCCGACGCCGGCGTCGGCTTCGAGTCCGCCTCGTGTTCGCCGAACTCCTGCGCCGCCTCGTCCCCGCTCATAACTTTGATCCCCATCGCCACACTCAGCACGTTCATCATCCTCGGATCAGCGAGGTGTTTATTCAGCGCTGATGGATCCTTTTGCACCTCGCTCAACATCGCGATGAAATCGGGTTGACTCAAATAACCCCGCGTCGCCGGATTCGTCGCCAACTTCGCCATGAGATCCGGCGCTCTGAACATGTCCCCAATCTGTCGCATCCCATCATCGCTTCCCTTCTTCGCGTTCATCGCCAGCTCGACGTCCTCCAATCCGCTCTTCAACAGCGCGTTGTCCGGCTCCTTCTCCAATCCGAGCGCGTACGCGCTTCGCGCTTCGTCAAACTTTTGCATCCCGAACAGCGCCGCTCCCTTTCTTCCGTACCCCTTGCCCCATTCGGGCTTCAATTCGATCGTCTTCTCCGCGTCTCTCAGCGCCTCGTTCCACTTCTCCGCTCCGGAGTACGCCGCCGAGCGATTGGACCAAAAGACGTGATTCGTCCCATCGCACTCGATCGCGCTCGTGAACGCATCGATCGCGGCCGCGTACTCGTGCTTCGCGAAGTGCGCGTTCCCACGAGCCTTGTGCTCGTCCGCGGCGGACATGTCCACCGTCACGCGCGCGCTGATGTCTGACCACGGCGAAGATTCCAAAGATTCCAAAGTCTTCGTCGACGACGCGTTTTTATGTCTCTTTACCACGCCTCGACACAGCGTTACGGCCTATTCCTCTACGTACACACAGCGCGTATCTAAACCCTACATAAAAACCACAGATCGTATTCGGACATGCAATACATACAGAACACCAATGTATCCCTGTATACATACACGTCGCACACCAACCACCGCGCGCGCCGCGCCGACGCCGCGCGCGCCGCGACGCCGCGCGCGAGCGCGCGACGCCGCGCGCGATGCGATCGGCGCTCGCCGGGGATTTTTCTCTCCACCGCCGCGCCCTCGGCCGCGGGCGTGGACGTCGTGACGACGCATCGCGCGCGATTCATCGACGGCGCCGAGGCGTGGGTGGCATAAAAAATGAAATTCGAACGCGCGACGCGGTCGAGCGCGCGGCGGCGCTGCTCGGCGTGAGCGAACGCGACGCGAAGGACGCGCGAACGCTGAAGCGGGCGTTTCGAGCGGCGGCGCTGAAGACGCACCCGGACATCGCGGGAACGCGGAGCGCGGAGGCGTTCAAGGCGACGCAGGCGGCGTATCGCACGCTGCGGGCGGCGGCGCTGGAGACGGAGGGAGAGATCGGTGCGGCGAGCGCGTTGGAGGAAGATGACGTCGCGTGGGTGGAACACGATTGGAAGTGGCGGTCGAGGATGCACGGGGGAGATGCGGAGACGAGTCGAAAGAAGACGGATGAGGAGAGACGAGCCGAGGCGTTCGCGCGGTTGGAATTCGTAAAGGCGAGCGCCGAAGGTAGGGTGAGAGAGGGTGAGGGTGGGCCGAAGAAGCGAAATAAGCGAGTGATTAAACCAATTTCTCAGCAACGCGTGCCCACGAAGGAGGAGATCGCGGCGATGGAATCGGGGGCGACGGCGGTGCCGATCGGGAAGGGTCAAGCGTCGAGGAGCAGCACGAGCGGCGCCCACGACGCGCTGAGCTCACAGTTGGATGGGCTACATCGCGTCAGTCGCATGAGGAGACGAGAGTCGGTGGGGGTGACGGATGAAGCGGAAAAGTACGCCACGCATTACTCCACCATCAAGGCTATCGAGGACAGCGAAGAGGAGCGGTTCCTGCGCCTGGCCAAGCTCGCCCAGGAGTGGCGATCCAAGCAAGCGAAGTGGAGGGAGACCGGGAGCACGCAGAAAATGTCACCGCGAGAGCTTTTACAGGCTGCGGTGCACGGGGCGTCGCTCGGGGCGTGTGCTTAGATTTTACGTAGCGAATTTGTGTGAGTACGACTACAAAAATTCGCAATTTGTTGATTACAAGGCAAAATGAATCAGTGAAGGAATGAAAAAGAATCGTTCTTACGTCCGTTGAGTGAAAAAATCTGTTCAGTTGTGGTACACAGAAGGCTTATTCTGTACAAAAAATCGTATCATCCGGACGGAGAGAGAAAAACAATTGAAACTTCATGGCGCGAGAGTCACCAGTGTTCAAAGCTCGCGACTGCGTACGTCGACCCATCGACTCGGCACTCGCTGTCCGCTGGCATGGCGGCGTGATGTCCCCCGCCCACGGGCTTGCGTCTGTTGCGACGGAAATTGCGTGGAGCGAACGTCACCTTACCATTGTACTGTTCCAACAAACCAGCGACGACGACCAAAGTCGAGCTCTCGCGTGGTTCAGGTGACGTCGATGGTGACCTCGACGGCGACCTCGACGGCGTTCGCGTCTTTGGACTGGCCGCAAACTCTCGTTGTTCAGCCCTGCCGATCCTGGTCTCCGTCGAACGCGCACTGTGAGCGCTCCCGCTCTGCGCCCCGCTGGCAGTACGCATGAGCTTCAAGTTCGTCGGGTCGCCCTCGAGAGTGGACATGGACACAGTCTCTGGCTCGGCGGACGAGCGATAGTCATCCGCTTCCCAGCTCGGCATCTCATTCGAATTTCCTGGAACGAGCATGCGTGGCATACGTCGCTTTTTTAATGACTTGGGTGGGGGCGATCCACACTTCCCCCCAAGCGTCGACGACGGCGCACTCGATGTCGCTGAACTACGTTTCTCAGCCTTGCTCACGAACACCGTCGTGGTGTCTGGCATGACTTGATGTCCGGCGGCGACGCCCCAATCGTCGTTCCCCAAACGCCTGAATCTCGGTGAAGTGTACAGCGCGTGTCTAATCTGCGATTTCCAGTGTTCGTTCGCCGTGATCAACCTCGACCCGTTTCCGTGCTTGCTCGCTATTCGCCCTTCTTTCTGACAGATGGAATAAATCATTCTCAGGCTCGCCGCACTTGTCGGCTGGGACAGGATCGCGTAGTGCACTAAGTCGTGTACGCTATGAAACGCCCGCTCCGCCGCTCGCTCGTCGTCGTCGTCCATCGGAACACTCTCATCGAGCAACTGCTCCGCGACGCATCGCGTCACTTTTGATAAAGTCTCTGCGACATCGTCGAAGAGCCACGCTCGGTCAGTCGTCGAACCCTCCAAACGGCACGAGCGCGCGAGCATCGCACATCGAAAGAGGAGCGGTCTCCATCGTCCAAGTTAATCACCGCGTCTCGACACGCCTCGTCCGACGAACGTCGCCCAAACTCAGCCATCCAGAGTCCTCACTCATCGAACAGTCCCCCCCGTGTGACAACCCCATCCAATCCACCGTCGCGCGTTTCGCTCGATTCCCATCGCGACGCACCTCTGTTCCCGCTGTACCTCGCCACCGGACGCCGCACACGAAACTCATCCTGATCGCCGTCTCGTCGTCGCCCGGCGTCGACGTTCGCCCCTCGCCCGTCGAGCATCCTGGTGCCGCCCACGGACGGCTGACGCGGCGGAGGTCCGGCGCGCGCGAACGCCCCCGTGGGGGCGTGATGAAACATTCCGCGCGCGCGAAAACCTCGCGTATAAAATCGTCGACGGCGCCCCGGGCGCGCGCGCGGTCGACGCGTCGTCGCGCGCGCGCGCGTGTGCGGAATCGCCGCGGCGCCCTCTCGAATGCGCGAGGGCGCTTTTTGGTCCGGGATAAGGGGGTCTTTCTGAGTCTTCACTCGTGAATCAATCCACAAAAAGTGGGAAAAGTACGAAAAAGTGCTCGCGCGTCGCACGGTTTCGAGATCTCGTATCGAGGGACGTATACGACGATTAAGCTGAACATGATGTTTCCCGGGAAATCATGCATCCCTCGACGGGCAAAGTTTTCTGTTTCTATGGCACTGCAGCGGCGACGACGTCTACAGAGAAGGACGAGGACGACGCGCGAGACGAGCGATCGAGGGTCACGCGCGCGCGTCGTCCGTCGATCTCAGACGATCCCGCGTCGGCGCAGCGCGGTCCGGTGGTTTCTCGGAGGCGAAGCGGAGAAACCCGGAGGCGCCGTACGCCAAGGCGGCGACGCCGAGAGCGCCGGCGAAGATGTCCTGCCACACCACGCCTGGACGCGTGACCCAGAGTCCAGAGATCTTTCCCATCGCCCGTTCGCTCCGTCGCACCGTCGCCGAGGCCTCGCGCTCTCTGAACTCGACTCTGCGGCGCTCCGCCTCTCGCTTTTCGTGTTTCCACCACCGCGCGGCGTCCGCCTTCGCCCGCGCCCGCTTTCGCTCCTCTGTTTGTCTACGCTCGATCTCCGCCGTGGTCCAAGCCGTGTTGCCGTCCCAATCCTCGTCGTCGTCGAAAGTGTACGAGTTCGCTCGATGCCTACCGAACCCGTCCCTACTCGGTCCGCGGCGCCAATTCGCGTTGACATCCGCGGCGCGCGAAGACGTCCGCCCGCTCCCCGAAACCGTCGTCCCGATCGTCCCATCGTACGCTCGTCGACGCATTGGGTCCTTGAGTACGTCGTACGCGTGCGAGATCGCGGCGAAGATGTCATGGGAGTCGGAGTCGGTCGCGTCCGGGTGATGCCGCTTGGCGAGACGCAAGTACGCGCGCTTGATCTCGGACGGTGACGCGGACGCGGAGACGCCCAAGACGTCGTAGTGCGTTCGAGCGCTCATCGTTGATCAGTGGACATGGTTTGTCTTCGTTCGCGTGAGGTACGAGCGTCGACGAGTGAAGGAGAGGGGTGCGGAGATGCGCGACGCGGAAGCGTCGCGCGCGTTGTTACAGCTCTCGTTTGAAAGAATGGTGTGCGCGCGACTCGAGCGGTGCGCGCCGTTGAGGTCATCAGATCGGTTCGCGTCGGGAATGAATCGTTTCGGTGAAGACGGTCGTAGATCACGATTGTTCGGCGAACATGCTCTGGGACATGGACTCGCTGACGTTCGTGCGCAGCTCCTGGGCGTCGTCTGCGACGACCCGCGTTTCGATCCAGCGTCCGTCGGTGGGAAGCTCGCCGACGGTCGATCCTGAACCGAAGTTTTCATCTAAAGTTTCGTCCACGAGCTTGCACTCGCGCTCGAGCCGAGCGACAGTTTCCTTGGCGTCGCCTCTGGAGAAGAAGCCGGATCGATCTGACTCGAGGCGGACGTTGTAATCGTAGAACACCGCGTCGGAGGTCACGACGGAGAGCTGAGCCTCGAGCTGTCGATTCGGCTGGGAGGAATCTAAAGACGGGGGCGCCCATTTATCGGCCGCGCTCCCGGGCGTGGGTTGTAAAGCGCACAAAGACCACTTCGTGGACGATGTGTGCGGGAGCTTCACCACCGCGATCGCTCTCGTGGGCTCCATCGCGCTTCTCGCCGCGGTCAATCCGCTCCTCACCCTGCTCGTTATCCCCGAAACTGCCGCTCCCGCGAATCCCGCGATTCGTCCGAGCCCCCCCGCCCGCGCGCGCGCCAAAGCGCTCGAGATGTTGGCCGCCGCAGTCGCGTTCGACGCCGACACGTCGTTCGCCGCCGTCGTCTCGCCCACGCGCTCTTCGACCCAATCCGCGTCTCGCGGCTCTCCCTCAACCGCGAACACGTGCGCCGTGCCCTTGTCACTCGACACGCACAGTAAAGGCGGATGAAACGTCGTTGTACCAAAGTTTAAGCTCTGTATCGCCGAGCTCGTCGTCCCTCTTCGAAAACTCCACATCTTCGTTCCGCTCGGCAGCGACGTGACGCGAATCACCGTCCCTCGCGCGCTCGCCGTGGCCAGCATCGTCCCATCACTATTCAGCGCGATCGCCGCCAGCGGACTCCGATGCGGTCGACACTCTGCGATGCCGCAAAGGTTCAACGCGTCGTGCACTTTGACCGCGTTCCCATCCGCGTACGCGAGCACCGAGCTCTCCGCGTCCGCGCTCAGAGCCATCAACCCCAGAGGATCGCTCGCCGTTTCAATCGTCTGCAGCGCCCGAAGAGTCCCCAACTCGTGTATCGTCACTCGATTTAACTCCCTCGCCGCTATTCGCGCGCGGTTCAACCGTACGCCCGTGACGCTACTCGCGCACTGAATCTCCCCGAGAACCCTTCGCAGTCGCGCGTCCAGCACTTTAATCGTTCTCGGAGACAACGCCGGGACGTCGCCGTCGCCGACGACGCACAGCAGAGATGACGAGAACAACATCTCGCAGTGTCGAAGCGATCCGAGGCTGTCGTCGTGATGATGTCGCTGTCCGTCCGCCGTCCCGTGCACCGCGTACCCGGTTCTCGTGGCCACGCACACGTACGTGAAGTCCTGATTGTAACTCGCGCATCGTACGGGCGGCGCGTCGGACATCACGACGCGCGCGCGTCGACGTGTGGAGATCATCTCGGAGCGGTTACGCGCGCGCGACGGTTCAAACGTCGTCGGCGGCGACGCTCGCGCACGCGGATGGAAAGGCGTCGTGCGCGCGCCGATGACTCTCGACGCGCTCGATCTCGATCAATTGGCGTTCTTGACGTTCACCGTCGAGCCCTTGGTGAGACGGCGTGGCGAGCGTCTGGCGCGCGCGTCGACGACGGCGTCGTCGAGCCAGCGGAGCTCGCGGAGGGCGGCGACGAGGACGTGACGGAACGCGTCGACGGTGCCGGAGACTGGATTGCCCTTGGAGACGTGTAAGAGCTCGATGTTGGAGAGATTTGAGGCGATGGCGTCGACGACGGTGGGGTCGGTGATGTCGTTACGCGTGACGTCCAGAGACGCGAGCGACTCGACAGAGCGGAGCGGCTCGAGCGCGGACGACGCGGAGCGCAGACGGTTCCCGGCCACGCACAGCGTCTCGAGCGCGGTGTGCCCACGGACGTGTTCTAGAGACTCTATCATGTTATCGTTCGCGCTGAGATGACGGAGTTTCTCCAGGTATTGAACGCCTCGTAAGTCTCGAAGCGCGTTGCCGTCGACGTGCAGCTGCGTCAGCGCGACGAGCGCGCGCAGTCCCTCGAGCGAGGACACGGCGTTGTGCTCGAGGTGAAGGCATCGCAATCGAGAGTACGGTTCGAAATGTTCCAATTTCGAGATCCCTCTGTGATGGAGGTAGAGAATCTCGTTGAGCTCTGGGGTGGCGTACCTGCGGCGGCGGTCAACTGGAGTCAGGCTCGAGCGCTTGAGCGCAATCACCAAATGGCTCGCTGGCGACGCGTGCGCGGGGAGGAGTAGCGAGCGAGACGAACCCTTTTTGATCTAGGCAGGCGCGCTTGAGCGCTCGCGGAGTGATCTCGAGCGCCATGCGTCGCGGACTGCCGTGTCATAAACGGCCTTTCTCTATCGTTGACTCGTCAAAGATCTACGGTAAATCATGAATACACGCACTCTAAATCAACGCGCCTCGCGTCGTTTGGTTCACTATATCATCGCATCACCGCCAAAGTGCGAGACGTCGAGTAAATCTGCACGAATTTCGCGGGGTAGAATCAGGTGCTGGTGCCTCTTCCGCGTGTTTCGCCCTCTCGAACTCGGTGAAGAGAGCGCCTTTGGAGCGTTCTGAATTCGAACCATGCGAGCAATGTAACCGAGACGATCGGTCGTCGCCTCGCTGTTCACGGAGCGTCCGCCCAAACAGTCCGCCAGCGCACGCGCGCGCCAAGTCACGTGCATAGACCCACGCTGATCGGCGAGTGGAGCTCGAGTGGAACCTCTGGCACGCTTGGACGCCTTCGCGGGAGTCGACGGAGCGCACGCCGGCTGAGACATCGGCACAGACTCTGGGTATCGTTCGCCGAGCACTCGTCTCGCGTCATGAAACTGCCTCGCACATCGCTCTGTTAAAAAATCAGACGCCAGAAAGCTGACGTTATCGTTGCCACCGAGCGTCTGTCTCGCGGGTCCATTGCTCAGGTAGAAATCTTCGCTCGCGGCGCAGTCCTCTATGGCTTCGTGATCGCCGACGGTCTCCTTAGTCCACGGAGCGTCTACGCGACACGGACCGGTGATACCAACGCGCACGGTTGAACGCATGACGTCGACTTGGGACATCGTTCGAGCGAGCGCCGCGAGTGCGGAGAGTTCATCGCATGCTCGATTCCAACCGCCCTCGGGCGGACTCGCGTCGAAAGTCAACCAGTCAGGTTGATTCTCGGGCTCAGTAGGATCGAACGCCGCGATCGCGGCTGCGATCTTCGCCTTGAGCCCGTCGCCGTCTTCATCGTTTGATTTCGCAGTCTTCTCCGCGTCTTTGAGATCGAGCGGCGGTTTTTCATATCCAAGCAATTTTGCCTTTGCCTTGACGCGCTCAACGCGCTTTGCCTCCTTTATGGCCTCCCACCGAGCGAGTCTATCCTGATGCCTGACGAGGCCCGCTTCTACCTCTCGAACCATGGACTGATGAACTTTACGCTCTGACTCAATAAGCTTGGTGTGCACGTCCTTCGCCGCGTCCAAAGGCATCGCGCCGATACGCTTTGAGCCATCGAGCGCCGCCTTTCGTGCCGCGGCGATGAGCGCGGTGGAGTGTCGATCGAAATCGATCGAATCAAGCTCAACGACGCCATCGCCGAACGACGCGAATTGCGCGTTGTGCACAGTTCGTCGCAAATCACCCTTGCACGCGAATGCGATCGACATTGTGTCGCTTGGTCGAAGAGGCGCTCCGGCTGCAGCAGACACGAGCGCGCCATACGCAGCGCACTCACGAATTGTTGGCGGATCTAGTCGCACTCGAGCTAAAGGCAAATCCATGGACAAGCTGTGCAAGACGGGCGTGTTCGAAGTGAGAATAACCGGTCTTTTGGTGCTTTCCACGATTTGCGAGAGCGCCGCCATGAAACCGCGCTCAGAGGCGATTTCAATGTCAACCTCTTCAAACAAAATCAACGACTGCGCATCTTGCTTCTCTTGCGTCTTCTCCTTCGGTTTCTCATTGACCACGTTCGCATCAGCGCTCGTACCTGCGAAGAAAGCTTTCAGGCCGGTGTTCGGAGGACGAGCAGGCTCAGATGTCTTTTTTTTGTTGAAACGCTTCGACTGCGTCGCCTCCATGAACTTGCCGAGAATTTCCTGGCCGCTGCGTTTATCCAGTGCGTTGGCCTCCAAAACTTTGAACCCAAATTCATTCGCCAGCGCGTAAACCATCGCTGTCTTCCCACATCCAGTAGGCCCGGTCATCAAGACGCCGTTTGCCACGGATTTCCCGCCGCCTAAACCGTCATCCTCATCGTCGCTCTCCCAGTACTCGTCGTCGTCCTCTGTGTACACCTTTCGAGGTAAACACGGTCGTGTCGGTGACGGTGGAGTCTTACCAGCCGCCTGCATGTCCATGCGCCGTTTCCAAGCTCCGAGCCAGCTGCGTAGCGACGCGGCGACGACGGCTTGCTGCGTCGGCGCATCCGCCGTCTCTCCCGGTTTGTACCTATCCACCCACTGCGCCTCGTCGCCAGCACCAGCACGAAACTTCAATCTCGCTAAATCGTTTCTAAATACTCCCTTCGCGCGCACGAGCTCGTCGTCACTAGCCAGCGGCGCGCCGTCGAGCTCCACATCGACTCGATTCGCCGCGACGGCGACGGCGCGCAAAAACGCATCCTCTTCCTCCTCCGTCTCCACGCGAGGTCGTGGCGCGATCGCCGCTCGGGCTGACTCTAATTGTTTTCTATCGTCGTCATCGATCACGCACAATCGCACCGCATGCGTGGTCGCACACGGCGCGAGCGCGCGCGAAGCCCACGCGTCCACGCGCGTCGACGCGCTCGCGCCCGATCCGTCACGCGCGACGTACTCCACGTATCCCACGTGTATCGGTCCCAGCGCCTCCTCTATAGGCGCCGGTTTCACCTGTACGAACTCCGCGATCGTCTCCGACGCGTTCGTCTCGCCCCTTTCCCTCGCCTCTCGCGCGGCGTCTCGCCGCTTCGCGAACTCGCTGAAAAACGCGTGCACCTTTTTCGCCCCCCCCCCCCCAGTCGTCGCGGCGCCCCCCACCCTCGCGTCCGACGCCCTCCTCTCCCTCCCCCCCCCGACGTCGACGACGTCGTCGTCCTTCGCGAGATCCGTCGTCGCCTCGACCTCCGCCGTCGCCGCCGCGTCGTCGTCCGAGTCGCTCAGCGCGATCACCACCACCCCATCCCTCTTCCCGCGCTTCGTCGACGTCGCGTCGACGTCACGCGCACCCTCCCCCGGTCGTTTCCCGAGCGTCATCCGATCCATCGCCCGTCGCGCGCCGCGTCGACGCCGTCGCGTCCGTCGACGGTGATGTCGAATTCAAACACCTCGACGGGCGTCCACGCCGCGCGCGTCGACCGATCGTCCCGCGCCCGCGCCCGCGGTGTCGCGCGCGGCGACCGAGGCCCGTGGTCGGCCCCGCGCGCGCGTCGCGACGCCGCGTCGACGGCCGCGCGCGCGTCGACGCGGGCGATGGGCGTCGCGACACCCGGGTGTGGGCGCGGGCCCGGCCTCGTAAAGAAGACAAAACACCCCCATCAGACGCACAGCATGGCGTGTACTCGTAAAGAAGACGACATATCTCTAACAGACACACAGCATCGCGTGTACTCGTAAAGAAGACGACAGATCTCTAACAGACACACAGCATGGCGTGTACTCGTAAAGAAGACGACATATCTCTAACAGACACACATCATCGCGTGTACTCGTAAAGAAGACGACAGATCTCAAACAGACGCACAGCATGGCGTGTACTCGTAAAGAAGACAAAACACCACGAAGAAGACGCGCGCCGCCACATTTCCCGACGCATCGCCTCGATGTCGAGCGACGAACGCGAATCCTACGGCGCCGAGACGTTCGCCGAGGGAAACTGGTACCACGAACTCCTCGAGGACGGCCTCGCGCTGTCGTACCGCGTGCGTGCGCGCGCGCGCGCGTCGAACGCGCGGGAGAGGAACGAATCGCGCGCGTGAGGGTTCTCGAGGGCGACGCGTGAACGCGCGCGTCCGACGGGACGCGCGACGCGACGCGGCGACTGACGGGGCGATGGACCGCGGTGCAGGTGGAGGAGGTGTTGTATGAAGGGGCGAGTAAGTTTCAAGAGGTTGAGGTCGTGCGCACGGTGCCGTTCGGCTCGTTGCTCATCACGGATGGGTTGATGCAGAGCAGCGAGCACGACGAGTACGTGTATCACGAATCGCTCGTGCATCCGGCTTTGGCGGCGCACGCGTGTCCGAAGAGGGTGTTCATCGGTGGTGGTGGTGAGGGAGCGACGCTTCGAGAGGTGTTGAGGCATCCGTGCGTGGAGGAGTGCGTCATGGTGGACATCGACGGCGACGTGGTGAACATGTGCCGACAGCACACGCCGTTTTACAGCGCGGGCGCGTACGATGATAAGAGAGCTAAATTGGTGATCGGAGACGCCAAGGCGGGGTTGGAGAGCGAGGCGGATGAGAGCTTTGACGTCATCATCATGGATCTCAGCGATCCGCTCGACGGCGGTCCGTGCTACCAACTGTACACGACGGAGTTTTACGGCATGGCGAAGAGGAAGCTCGCAAAGGGTGGAATCTTAATCACGCAGAGCGGGTGCGCGTCCGTGCGCGACGCCCACCACGTGTTCTCCCCGATCCACCACACGCTCAAGCAAGTCTTCCCCAAGGTGTACGGATACACCATGTGCGTCCCGTCCTTCACCTCTGAGTGGGGATTCAACCTCGCCGTGACGGATGAGAGCACGGACTTGAGCGGTGAGAACGCGGACGCGACGCTCAAGGAGCGCAACTTGGACATGCGATTCTACGATTCCATCTCACACAGGCGCATGTTTGCCCTTCCGAAACCGCTTCGCACGCTCATCGACGCCGAGAAGCGCGTGATGAACATTGAAAACCCGCTCTTCATGTGCAGCACGGAGACTCACGCCGGTATCTTCGAAGAGGGCGCCGGCGATGCGTAGATGTAAACGACGGACGTGACTAGTTTTGTCCTCGTCGGTCCCACGTAGCGTCCTGATTTAAAATCATGAGAGACTCTCGCAACGTTCCCACCGTCGATTCCGACTATCGTTGTGTACATAATGATTACATGATGATTATTTACTCGCCTCTTCCCGCACCCGCGCGACGACATCCATCGGCGACAACGTCTCCCCGGACTTTCTGAGCGACGCTTTACGCTCCTCAAAGAGCGAAAGCGTGCACACGAACAGCACGTTGAGCGTGTAGAGGCCGTAGACGCGCGTCTCGAGCGGGAACACGCCGTAGACGATAAAGTTCATCGGCACCCAAAACACGACGTTCGACTTGAACAGCTCCAACCAATCCCGATCGAGATCACCCTTGACCTCCTCCACCGTCTTCCTCGACGCCACGCCCATGTACGCGATGAACAAGGCGGCCCAAAACGGATTATACACCGCCGCGTCGATCAACACTTTCTCCCCAACCGTCGCCAGCTCGCTTCGCATCGGGTCGTCTCCCACCACCCAATCCACCCACTCGTACCACAGGTACGACGTCCCCCCATCCAGCGCACCGAAACTGACGTACCGTTTCCGTCGTCCATCGTCCCGGACGAACCCCATCGACCTCGACGCGTCGTCCGCGTCGTCGCCCTCCGCCGCCGTCGCCGTCCCGTCCCCCCCCGTCGCCCCCTCCATCCTCTGCGCCAGCTCATCGCTCAACCAGTAACACGCGGCGCCACACAGGACATCGCTCACCATCTCCTCGAGCGCCAGCGCGCGCGCGCACGCGTGGCGTCCGTCGTCGCCCGCGCGCCGCGGTCGCATCCATGCCCCATCATCCCATCGTCCGCGTCCCGTCCCTTTTCGCGCACGCGTCGATCCGGCGCGCGCGCGGACGGCGACGAGGCGTCGTCGCGCGCTCGCACCCGCGCGTGGGGGCGCGAGGCGTCGCATGCGCGCTGTGCGCTGTGCGGACGCCGCGCGCGCGGTCGATGGGTGTACGTGGTCGTATATATGGGGGTATCGTGTCTACAGTATGAACACACGCCATCCCGCGCCACCGCGCGACGCTCATGTACAACGGCATCGGTCTCGGCTCCGCCCGCGGCTCGGGGACGAGCGGATACGTGCAGCGGAACGCCTTCTTCCGCGACGCGAGCCGATTGACGCGCGACGACGGCGGACGACGCGACGACGGGCGAGATGGAGAAAATGCGCGGCGCGCATCGAAACGCGCGCCCTGCGCCGCGCTAGCGCGCCACGAGGCCATGCGCGCGATCGAAGTGCGATGCGCCGAGCTCGAGGAGTCGCTGCGCGCGTCGGGGGCGAGCGAGGAGACGATCGAGGCGCGCGTGGCGGCGACGCGGGCGGCGGGGCGGGACGCGGCGGCGGCGCGGGACGCGGCGGGCGCGACGGCGAACGATCGGGACGCGAAAGCGGTGACGGAAAGAAAGGAAAGGGAGATGGAGAAGCTGGCGCGGGCGTTCGGGGTGGATAAGGCGGAGAGAGACGCGCGGGAGGGGGACGCGTTTGATCAAGATTTGCAACGGCGGCTGCGGGAGGAGAAACGCGAGGCGCGCGAGGCGGAGGAGCGCAGACGAGAGAGAGAGCGACGGAAGAGTGAGAAGCGGGCGAAGAAGGAGAGAAAACGGGCGAAGAAAGAGTTGAAGCGTCGGGAGCGGGAAGAACGTCGGGCGAGGGAACGCGTGGAGAGAGACGCGCGGCGAGTCGAGGAGGATCGCCGCGCGGCGGAACGCGCGGGCGCAAAGGCGCGGGATTTGGAGAGAGAGCTGGCGATGCTCGACGCAGAGATCGCTCGACGCGGTCTAAAGCCACTCGATGTGGAGGAGCGGCGGGTGGAAGTTCCGCCGCCGCCGCCGGGGGCGCGAGTCGCCGCCGAGGTTCCGCCGCCGCCGCCGGGCGCGCGGCTACAGATGATGGAGGTTCCGCCGCCGCCACCGCCGCCCGGAGGCGCGCGAGGGCGCTCACCCGATCGCGACGATCGCAACGATCGTAGATCTCGCGGTCGAAGCTCGAGTCGGTCGTACAGCAGCGACGACTCTCGGAGTCGCTCTCCGTCACCTCCGCGCCGACGCCGGCGCGACCCCTCGAGCAGCGACAGCGGTGGCCGACGCCGACGCCGTCGACGCTACTCCTCGAGTGATTCGTACTCGAGCTCGTACTCGAGCTCGTACTCGCGCTCGCGCTCGCGCTCGCGCGATCGTCGACGATAGCGTCTCTCGTCGGATAGCGTCTCACATCGTTCGTATGAGAGCTATCGACTGACGTCGCGAAGCTGTAACGACGATTTTCGACCGTGATTAGGCGCGCATACGGTACCGGTACAAGTGTGATTGACAATTTCAAATGAGGACGATTCGCGCTTACTTTTTATCTACGCGTCGCATCGCGCTCGCGACGGCGCGAACGATGAATTCTCTCGTTTCTTCGGAGAACGGTGCGAGCTGTCGCTCCGTCATGGTCTCGCGAACCTTTTCGATTTGTGTCCGGGACATCGTTTCGAGAGTCGTCGCGAGACGCTCTCTGAACTTTTCTTCATCCACGGGCTCGTTGTGGTTTGGACACTTTGCCCACGCGCGTTTCGGCCCCATGCCGTGCAAGGCGTTTTGAAAATCCTCCTCGTCCGCAATGATGTCATCAACCTCAGATTTCGCGATGGCGTTCACTCGGGAGACGATGAAGAGAGACAACATGACGACCAATAGGAGAATCCATCCGAGCAGCGTCATGATGTTCCACGGCTTGCCGTCGAGTCTCGTGGAGACGCAATCAGTCAACAGATATTCGCGCATGACTGACTCCTCACCGAGGAACGAAGGTGCAAACATGATGCCCCAGAAGGAGATGATAATCATAAACGTACTGAAGGACAGTTGTCGACGCGTCGTGGCGGACAACTCGTCCCAGTGAATTATTGCCCGCATGAGCTCGTTTCGATGTTCCTCGCCACGCTCAACCTCGAGGACTTCGTCGTCGTACGGCATCGCGTCGAGCGCGTCGCGTTCTTGTGCAGCGGTCTTTTCAATGAAGTATGCGGCGGCGATGAGGGCCAACCCCTGAGCGAGACCGGTGCACAACAAACCGATGTCCGCGATGGACGTCCAGGGGCCCGATTCGTCGGCGACAATGGAGTCGACGGACGTTTGGCGACAAATCACATCGGCCGAGCTTCCTGCGGCTCTCGATGCTTTGAGCATAAACGCTCCCGCGAGTGTCGTGGGGGCGATAAGGAAAAATACCGGGAGCGTGCCGATGAGCATCTCCACCACGTTTAGGCGTAAGATTCCCGTGATGACGCTTGTCGGCCAATCCGGTCCGCCGACAAGGATGGTCACCTTGGGGAAATTCAAGCCTGGCTTGGTGAGTAAGAACCGAATCGAGCGCATCGTCGTACTGTTGACATTCACCATGCTCCTAATCCAGACTCGATTCCCGAGTCGTTCACCGATTCCCTTCTGTTGCATAATCACGGCGATAAGCTTGATGACAAAGCACAGCGCCACCGCACAAACGCACGCCCAGGCGTACCCTTTCGATCCTCCACCGAAGGCGCGCACGAGCGGCTCGTCCGTCAGTATTATACCCCCGGTGATATACACCGGCAGACCAGGAATGATGGGAATCAGGAACATTGCGAGGCCAACGAAGGTGAATATGATGTACACGAGTACCACAGGAACCGCCGCGAGCTGCACGCGCAGAGCGCTCAGGAATACGACGGTGAACGATCCCGCTACAACCTGGAAAGCGATGACGACGGCGATCCAATAGTGCACGTTGATCATGATTCGCGACCAGTTCCATCTCTGAAGCTCGTCGAGCTGTTTGGAGACCTTGGCCGTGACCCATCGAGAGCCACTTCGCTCGTCCGGCGCGGTGCCAAAAATCGTGCGGACGCGTTGATTGACAAAGGACAACATGAGATACACCACGAAAGCCAGCGTCAGCGGCGTCGACAGAAAGACTGCCTTGAAAACGTTTGCGTATTTATCTGTCACGGCGTTCATAATGGACGCGAACAAGGGCACCGACGTCACCTTGGACGTGATGGCGTCCAGGCCGACAGTGGCTGCCAGCGCTCCGCTGAGAACGACGAGTGCCGACATGGAGAAGGTGACCAAGATGGCCGACAATGCCTTGGCCCCGCCGGCGATAGAAACGGCGACCCAAAGACCAAGAAATACGAATATCAAGCCCGACCCGAACGCCTTGATGGTGAAGTTCATGACGTTCTTTTCGCTCGAACTGTTCTCATCGCACGAACGCATGGAGGACGCGAGCAAGGCGCAAAACGTGGCAAAGATCAAGCTCGCGAGCACCGCCAGACACGGCGAGAACCACATAACGTACGCCGACAGGCACTCCGTGGCGAGATCGTCGTGGCATCCGATTGCTTGTCGGTACTTCAACTCCAACGAAGTCGACCACCAGGCGTCGGTTCGAGACGCCTCGGCAATGAAAAGCATGGCGATGACGCCAGCGCACGCGTACAGGCTTCGAGCCATCGCGCTCAGATAACTTGACATCGATCGATCCTTGAAGAATCGCATCTTGAAGTACGCGTACACGAGCGGCGTGGCGATGAAGTACAACGTCGGTGGTGCCTGCGGGTATCGATGCGCGCTCAGGCCGATCGACAACATGAAGAGCGCTGAGGCGGCGGCCACGATCGCGTCTCGAGCGACGCGCGTCCGCGCGCCTCGCCAGTGCGACGCATCTGCGATGTACAGAAACAGCGCCATCGCCACGCTCGTTCCGAACATTAACTTTTCCTGCTGATCATCCCTCAGCGCTTTGAAAGTATCAGCGCCAAATCCGATGACTGAGGAGAACGCGACGACGTACGATCCCAACACCGCGCACGTCCCGACGAGCACCAAGACGCACTCCCAGAGCGTCAACTCACCGCCCTCGAACGCGCTCACCGCGCTCATATACCGACTCGCGCGTGGTGACGTTCCTCGCTCGACATCTTCCTCGCTCGCCGGCGATGCCGCGGGCGCGGTGCCGGACGAGATGGCGGAGTCGGAGAATGAATTCCTTCGCGGCATTGGTGAAGGCGAACCGTCGCGAGCTCGCTTCTCGCGCACCGACGCGTTCACGGCGATGAGCGCGCGCTTGAAAGGTGCGCGCGTTCGTCGCGCGTCGCGCACCTTCGAGTTTCTCGGCGCACGCGCGTCGACGACTCGCGTGACGCGGCGAGCGTTATTTTTGGAGCGCGTGGGAAAGGGAGACGAAGAGTCACGCGAGACGGGCGTCGGCGCACAAAAAGTGTAAAACTGTCCGGAGACTACGCGCTTCAGTCATCTACGGGATAGACGTCCTCGACGAACAACGGTTCGACCGGAACGCCGTCTGGGTGCTCTCCTGGGGCGCGCTGAGGCACGCGCTCTCCTCGACGCTCCGCCGCCTCTCGATCCTCCTCCAAGAGGCCGACTTGCGCGATGCGAGCGAGAAAACGGTCGTGCTCTTCGCGCTCGCGCAGATCACGCACGTCGCGAATGAACTCACACGTCACTTTCCGATGCACGAATCCCGTGCTGAGGATCTCCGTCGATTGGAGCGCGCGCATACACACTTCAAAAGTCGGCGGTAGACCAGTCTCCGGCGTCGGCTCAGAGCAATCGAACACGAACGGTTTCGGCGCGAGATTCGCATGGTCGACGTCGATCTCGTACGCCGTGCACCGCAAGAGTCTATCTCCCGGCGCGATGTCGGCGTGTTTATCGGCCCATCCGCCCGGGACGACGGAATCGACGACGGGACCGCCGGCGCCGACGTCTCGAAAGACCAATCCTTGGTTCACCGCGGGGAGCGTCAAGGTGTAGACGATGACGTATCTCTCGGTTCGCGGGTGCTTGAACAACACGCGATGGCCGTCAGCCATTGTGTGGTCGCCGCGATGCGTGGCGGCGCGCGCTCGCGCGTCGCGTCGCGTCCGAGGAGCACCGCGACTCGGCGGACGCGGAACGGCGCGCGCTCGCGCGGCGCGCGGCATGGAGAGCGGTTCGACGAAGCGCGGTGCGCGTCGACGCCGTCGAGGCGATCGATGGGCGCGAACGCGCGTTCGTGCGTTCGCACGCGGCGCGCAGTGCGGAGACGGACGCTAGATGTGTTTGTCACGTCGCGCGGCGCGACGGCTCGTTCTTACATGGTCCAATAAAATCTTTAGCGGTAAAAGCTCACCAGACCGGCGAGGACGACCCCACACGCGGCGCTGACGAAAACTTCCTGGTGCAATAGCATCCACGCCGGAACGGTCAACCCGAGGACCTCGACGATGAACTGCGGCAACCAAAACGTGCAGAAGAGGGAGACGATGAACGTGCCCAAGACGACGCCAAAGGATCGAGCGAAACGCATATTGTTGTGCTTCGTCGCCCCCGCGGGATCGAGCGTGGCGTTGGGACCCGGATCCACGTCCACGAGCTTGACAAAAAATCTGAACACCATCAAAAGCGCGGCGAAGATGGTCACCTGCAGCGTCCGCATCTGCGGCGGCGTCACCAGCGTCACCGCCGCGCACGCCATCGTCAACCCAAAGTTCACGACGACGTCCTTCATCGGGCTCGCGCACGGTCGTGGGAGCCACTTCGATCGGACGACGCGATCGGCAAATCGCACGTCCGCGCTCACGGACCCTCCGCTCAATCTCGCGCTCAGCTGTCCCTGCAAGATTGCCTCGTACGCCCGCTCGACGTCGTCCAGCTTGCCCTTCTCCCCCTTGTACAGCATTTGCTTCGAGTTATACGCTCGCTTCACCGCCACCGCGTCCGCGTCCGGCTTCACCCCGAGCACGCCGTACGGGTCGTACGCGGCGCCGCCGTCCGCGGCGCTCCGCGTCTTCACAGCGACGCGACGGGTGATTCCAAACTCATGACTTTGCCTAAAGTTTGAGGTTTTAGTCAATCGGACGGCGTTTTGTGTGCGGTTGTTTCGCGTTCGCGCGAGCGGCGCGACCGCGGAGGAGTGGGAGAGGACGATACGCATGCGTGGTGCGGTCGACGGTGGACGAGTGAGACCGCGCGTGAGGGAGTCGCGGTGTGTGGTCGATCGCCGCGGAGACGATGCTTCTCCGCACGCTTCCGCTTCCGTAAGGCTGAAATATTATATTACGCGACGGATCGATCGATCTAAGGCTTGATCACCATGGCGTCCCGACCCGGTCCGACGCCGATGAACTTGCATTCAACACCGGCGAGCTCTTCGACGCGGAGGACGTACTTTTTGGCGTTCTCCGGGAGGTCGTCCCAGGTGCGAACCTTGGAGATGTCCTCCTTCCAGCCGGGGAGGGTTTCGTATACCGTTTCCACCTTTTCCAACGTTGCGATGTCGGCCGGGAAAGACTTCGTGGTCTTACCGTTGGGAAGCTTGTACGCGACGCCGATCTTGAGCTCGTCCATTTCGCTCAGGACGTCGAGCTTGGTGATGTTCAAGTGCGTGAAGCCGTTGATCAGGTTGGCGTAGTTCAACGCAACCATGTCAAGCCAGCCAATTCTTCTCGGACGTCCCGTGGTGGTACCGTACTCGTAACCCAACTCCCGAAGCTTATCGGCGACGTCGCCGAAGAGCTCGGTTGGGTACGGGCCGGCGCCGACTCGCGTCGTGTAGGCCTTGGCGACGCCGATGATGGTTTTAAACTTTCTCGGCGCCAAACCGAGACCGTTGCAAACACCGCCGAGAGCCGGGTTGGACGACGTCACGAACGGGTACGTCCCGAAGTCCAAATCGAGCATCGTCGCGTTCGCGCCCTCGACCAAGATCTTCTTCCCGCTGTCGTGCGCTTCGTTGATGTACTCCACTGTGTCCGCAATGAAGGGTTCAATGCGCTCGGCGATTTCCTTGTACCGCACAATCTCCGCCTCGACGTCGTACTGAAACCCTTCGAACCGCGCCGCGGCGTCGGCTGCGAGCGCTCTGAGCATCGTCGCGAATCTCTCTTCATCGCGAATGTCCCCCAATCGAACACCGTTGCGCGTCGCCTTGCTCGCGTACGCTGGGCCGATGCCGCGCTTCGTCGTGCCGATTTTGTTCCCACTCAACTCCTCCTCGCGCAGGCCATCGATCTCCTTGTGTAGGTCGAACAACAAGTGCGCGCGATCGGACACGATCATGCGCCCGCGAGCGTCCACACCCGCCTGCAAGAGTTTATCAATCTCTTCGAACATCCCCGGCAGGTGCACCACGACGCCGTTCCCGACGACGCACGTGGCGTTCTCATTCAAAATCCCGCTCGGAACGAGATGCAGGGCGTACTTCTTCCCATTATCATCGTAAATAGTGTGCCCGGCGTTCGCCCCGCCCTGGCATCGAGCCACGACGTCGTACTCCCGCGCCAAAATATCCACCAACTTCCCCTTGCCCTCGTCGCCCCACTGGCTTCCGAGCACTACGAACGCGACAAAAATCCATCGGAATCCCTCGTCAGTCCACGAACGCGCACACATCGCGTCCACACCATCGTCCACCCCCCCGATCGCGCGATCGCGTCCCGAGACCGATCCGTCCGCCTCCGTCCCGCCGTCCCGCCGCCGTAGGGTCTCATCGATTCGCGTCGCGCCCGTCCCCCCCCCCGTGGTCCCACGCATCATCACTCGCGATCGCTCGACGTCCTCAACGCACCCGCACACACGTTCCCGAGCTCCGCGTACGCCCGCTCCGACGCGCGCGCGACGACGACGCGCGCGCGCGATGGGATCCCCCTCGCAATCGTCACCCGTCGCCCCTGGTCGTCCCTTCGCGCGCGCGTCGCCGTGGTCCCCCCGAACGCGCGCGCGCGGTCGGCGACCATCACGCGCGCGGTCGCCATCGCGCGCGACGTCCTCGATCGCGCGCGCGGTGTCTCGCGCGCGCGATCGCGCGCGCGTCGAGGGTTCGGCTCGCGGTGTGCGCCGTGACGGGCTTTGTGTGTCTTTATATACGACGCGTGCATCGTATACGACGGACGGTGTGTGCTGTGTGTCGCCGGCACCGCGTGTGCGCGCACTGTATGGGTCTATCCGTCGGTATACTATGTGGATATGTGTGTACTGTGTGTGCGCGTCGTTCTATCGGGGCTGATACGTTTTCGCGCGCGCGCTGTACGGGTCTGTACCGCATTGTACTATGTGGATACATGTGTACTGTGTGGCGTGATAGTGGTATCGAAGGCTCACGCGTTTTCGCGCCGAAATCGCGCGCGTCGCCGTCGCGCGCGTTGACTCGTCGACCCCCGTCGACGGCGCGACGGGCGCTCGGGCGGGACGACGCGATCGGTGCGTGACGGGCGCGACGCCGAGGGGTGGACGATCGCGTCGCGTGGCGCGGCGACGGGCGAGGATCGATCGGGTGGGAATTCCGGAAATTCCGTGATCGTCGCGCGATGACGCGCGAGGGGCGAACGCGGGACGCGAGCGCGGTGACGCCGAATCGACGGGCGGTGAAGCAGGCGAAGATGGCGACGACGCCGACGGGCGCGCGTGGGTGCGGTGGGGTGGAGGTGACGCCGCCGTGTAGCGCGGCGCCGTTCACGCCGGGACCGGGACGAGAGGCGGGATCGAAGGTCGAGACGAACGCGTGGACGCCGGAGACGCCGATGTTTGGACCGCCGAAGACCGTGGACGCGCGCGAGGGGACGTCGAGGAAGGGGATCGTGGGTGGGTTCGATTCGCCCGAGCGCGCGCGAGGGACGGCGGACGCGCGAACGGCGACGACGGAGGCGGACGCGAACGAAGCGGCGTACGGGACCCCGCCGGCGTCGCCGCGGGCGACGGGTCGCGAGAACGTACCGTTGGCGTGTCCGGCGACGCCGATCAAGGCTCGGAGGACGCGTGGGGTGTGCTTTGCGGGAGAGAATGAATCCGCCGCTCGCCCGCGAGGCCGCGTCGTGCGATCGCTCTTGGAGGAGTTCAACGCCGCGGCGCGTGAGTTGGACGACATGCTCGAGGAGAAGAGCGAAAATACGATCATGCAGACCTTTGACGACGGTTTTGATCCTTTCGATGAGCCCGAGTAGACGAAGGATCCGTTTAGGTTGAAAGATTTCGAGTCGACGAGAAAGCGTTTATTAGATGTTGCTGTGTAATTTGTGTACGTACTGCGTTATCATGACCAGGATACTCGCGCGACGACTACGGAGACGAAGACACCGGTGCATCGTTCGCGTCGCTTGTCTCGAAAGATTCAATCACCGCGTCAATCTCTTGACCGAGCGCGTCGAACGCGGCGACGTGTAAATCCGGAACCTTAACGCCGAGCCTCTTCAGCGTCGCGTACGCCTCACTGAGCTCATCGAACTCGCGTCTCGCGCTCTGTGCGCGCTCAAACTGATCGCTAACGTCGACTTTGCCCGTCGTGTCGAGCTTCATCTTGGTCAATTTCGTCGCGATGACGTTCGCGCGATCCGCGGCGTGCGACACGGCGGCTTCGCCCGCGGCGTGCGACTCTGAAATCGCCGCCGGCCGGAGCGCGCCCTTGAGCGCGCGCACGTTCACGGCGAAGCAGCATCCATCCGGACGAATCGCATCGGGCGTGTCGTCAATGTCCCTTTTGAACTCTTTCGCTCGCGATGACACTTGGACGAAGCGCTCGATTGGGTCGTCTTGGTCGTTCCATTGACCAAGCGCCTCGACGCGGTGACGTAACGACGATGACTCGCGCTTGACTGCGTCTCGCGCCGCGGTATAATGTTCACGAATCACTCCGCACACGTCGTCGACTTTTCGCTCGTATTCACTCTCATCCTCGAGCGCATTCCATCGCTCACCGAACGGAACGCTCGCTCGCAGCGACGCCGACGTCCACAGAGCGGCGCCACGGCGAACGACGCGCTCGAATGCATCGACGCTCGGCTCGAGCTCCAACGTAGTTTCGCACAAATTAACGTCGAACAGCGCGCCGATATTCGATCCCAAAGAGCTACACGATCTCACGTGCGCGGAGAACTCTTCGAGAGATGCGGATCTCGCGTTTGAGAGCGCCGAGCGCACGCGCATGAAAGCGGCTCGCTCGAACGAATCTAACTTGGAGCGAAGCGCCGCGGTTAGGGCGCGTTCGGTACACGGATACGCATCCTTAGGCGTCGCTCCGCTCGACCCATCGCTAGTCATCATGGATGATTTGATCGTGGTTGCGCTCGAGCGACGCGGGCGGTAGCGCGTCGTCGCCGCAATCATCGGACGCAGTTTTTCGTCCAAGTCATCCGAAAACCGCCGCTCGATACCATCCCTCGCGACTTTAATCTCGTCTTCAATCGCACGAATCGACGATGCGATGAGTTCTCGAGATTCATCGGCGTTTGATTGAAAGTTTGCCAGCACCGCGTCCACGTCGTACGACTTCATCTCTGTCGCGTCGTGTTCGTCGGCGGCATCCACGTCGTCGAACGCAAACACATCCGGTTCGTTGTCCACGCGCTCGACGCGCTCACGACAAAACATGCGCGCTCGCTCTTCCATCTGCTCGCACGCCGCGCGCACGCGCGTCGTCGCCGGACACGCGCGCTCCGCGAACGCCGAACCAAAAATCGCCGAAGCCTCATCGAACGCGCGTTTCGCTCGAGTAAACTTTCTCCGCCGCGCGTACCGCCGCATCACCGCGAACGATTTCCACGCGCGATGGAGCGAAAACGTCCGCATCTCGGACATCGCCTCGAACGCCGCGCGCTCTCGAAACCACCGCTCGAGATCCACGCGCTCGAGCGCCTCGCACGTCCGCGCGTCGAACGTCGTCACCCCTCTCACCGACACCGTATCGAAGAACGTCCCGTTCGCGGTCGCGTACGTCGCCTCCGCGCGCGTCGCGCACCGCCTCGGCGCGTACGTCTCCCTCGCGTCACCGCGTCCTCGAACGTACGCGAATCCATCCTCGTCTTCCCGAGCGACGCCCTCGACGCGCGCGCGCCCGTCGCCCACGCGGGCGTCGGCGCGAAACACGTCGCGCCACGCGGTCGCGCGCCCGTCGCCCACGCGCGGCGTCGCGGCGCGCGCCATCGCCCGAGGGCGCGTCGCGCGATACGAACCGTCGCGCTATTTTTACCGCCCACGAGCGCCGCGGTCGATGGACACCACATCGCCGATATCCGCATGTTGTATGTACCGAGTCCCTATGCACGAGTCACGACCCATCGATCGACGTCGCACCCTAGGGTCTCCGTCCCGGCGGCTCCCAAGTGCGACGACGCGCGCGACGCACACGCGCGCGCGCGGCACGCGAGGACGCCCACGCGATGCGTCCGATCCTGCTCAAGGGCCACGAGCGCCCGCTGACGTTCATTCGGTACAACCGCGAGGGTGATCTCTTGTTCACGTGCGCGAAAGATCATCACCCGACGCTGTGGTACGGTGACACGGGCGAGCGCGTGGGCACGTACGTCGGACACAACGGCGCGGTGTGGACGTGCGACGTGAGCGATGATAGCTCGACCCTGCTCACGGGGAGCGCGGACACCACGGCGAAGCTGTGGGACGCGAAGACGGGGGAGTGCTACTTTACGTTTACGTTTGACCAGCCGGTGCGGGCGGTGGCGCTGGCGCACGGAGGAAAACGCGCGGCGATCACGACGGATCCGTTCATGGGCGTCCCGAGCGCGATACACATCGTGGAGATTGATTTGGAGGATCGGTCGAGGCAGACGGCGAGGGTGATTCGTCGGATCGATGGACCGCAGGGACGGGTGACGCGCGTCTTGTGGGGACCGCTGAACCGAACGGTGATCACGGGGGGCGAAGATGGGATCATCCGGTCGTGGGACGCCGAGAACGGGGAAGTTTTGAAGATTTCTCAGGAACACTCGAAACAGATTCAGCACTTGTCCATGAGCGAGGACGGAAGTCACTTTATCAGCGCGTCGTTGGATAAGACGGCCAAGGTGTTCGACTCAGAGACGCTGGAGTGTATGAAGACGTACTCGGCGGATCGTCCGGTGAACGCGGCGATTTTATCGCCGATTAGGGATCACATCGTTCTCGGGGGCGGACAGGACGCCATGTCCGTGACGACGACGAGCTCAAAGGCGGGGAAGTTTGACTCTAAGATTTACCACAAAATTTTCGAGGAGGAAATCGGCGGCATTCGCGGTCACTTCGGTCCGATCAACGCCCTGGCGTTCAACCCGGACGGGCGAAGCTTTACGAGTGGAGGGGAAGACGGTTACGTGAGAATCCATCCCTTGGACAACTCGTACTTCGAGATCCCATGATAGACTGCGGTTGAATACGCGACTTGTGAATAGAATGCAAAGAGAAACGTAACTCGTACGCGTTACACGTTCCATTAAAATCGTCATCTACGGTACCTTTAAGCCTATGACCCACGCGAGCTTCTCCGCGAACGCGAGTAAGGCCTCATCGGTGCCTCGTCTCGACATGAGCATCAGCCCGACCGGTTCGCCTTCGATCTCCACGGCGGGAATGACGACGCACGGGAGTCTCGCGAGAGACGCCGGCGCGCCGAGCGCGAGCGCTACGCTCCGCGCCTCCGCGAGCTTCTTGAGCGATGCCTCGGAGTTATAATCAGTCGCCGCAGGCGCGGGACCGCGTGCCGCGGGGAGAATCAAGATTGTACCGTCGGCGAGGAGCGCGTCGAGGTGATTCGTAATGCGCTCGCGCAAGGCGACGTGATGGTCCATCGTCGCCGCGTCGACGCCGATCTCGGCGGCGCGGAAACGATCACGAATCCCCGGTCCGAACACTGGTTTGTGTTCCTTGATCCACCCCCCGTGTGCGTCCCAGACTTCGCGCGTTTGGATCACGCGAAACGTTTCGCTCCACTCCGTGATTGGCGGCAGCACGCGCTCGCCGCTCTTATCGGTGAGCGCGAGGTCGGACAACACCAGGTGCACGATTCCCATGGCGTCGGGCATAGCGTCGCCTCGAGCATCTTTGAACACGCGTTTGACGCCCTCGGAAGATAACACGGCGTTCATCGCCTGTTTCACCGCCGGATCGACGAGCCTAAACGCGTCGCTGCACGCTGCTAAGCGTCCGCGTCCAATCTTCGCGCTCGTCTCCGCGTCTCGCGTCTCGGGATCGAGTAAAATCTCACCCATCACTCGCAGCGTCTTCGCATCCTTCGTGAACCACCCCACGGTGTCGAAGCTGTGACTCAACGGCACGACGCCCGTCGCGTCGACGCGCCCGTGCGTCGGCCGCGCGCCGTACACGCCGCAAAAACTCGCCGGCAATCGCACGCTCCCGATCGTGTCCGTCCCTATCGCCACGTCCGCGTGTCCGCAGCACACCGCGCTCGCGCTTCCACTGCTCGACCCACCGGGAATCCTCCCCGGAATTTTCCCTCGCGCGTTCGTCGGCGTCCCGTAATGAAAATTCTCCCCCTGCAAGCTCCACGCCAGTTCATCCATGTGCGTCTTCCCGACGAACCGCGCGCCCGCGGCCAAGACTTTGTCCACGCACGGCGCGTGCGCCGTCGCCGGTTCGCGGCCTCTCGTCTCCAAGTACGTCGGATTTCCCGCCCCCGCGCGCATCCCGCGCACGTCCACGTTATCCTTCACCGCCACCCGCATCCCTCGCAGCGCCCCGTGCGCCCCCCCGGGCACGTCCGCGTTCGTCGTCTCCCCCGCGCGCGGGTTCTCGACGAAGCAATTCGCGTCGTCGCGTCCGGTCGTCCGCATCGCGAATGTGTCTCGGACGCCCCGACGCCGTCGCGCGCGTCGCCACCCCTCGCGCTCGCCGCCGCACCGCGCTCTCGCGCGCGCGATCGTCGGACGAGCCGTCGCGCGCGCGCGCATTCGCGGTCGCGACGGACGTCGCGCGGTGTGACGCGCGTGCGGTGGAGATTTGAATCGAGATTTGAATCGTCGAATCGTCCGCGACGGCGCCGTGGCGCGTGGCGTCGGCACGCGCGCACGAACGCGCGCGCGCGTCGACGAGCAGGCGACGATGTCGACGCTGGAGATGTTCGTCGCGCGCGAGCGCGGATGGGAGGTGTTCACGCGCGCGGTGGCGACGAGATTGGATGACGCCGAGCTGTTGATGACGCGCGCGACGTCGCGGACGATGCGAGACGCGGTGAACGCGCACGTCGGACGCGAGCGCGCGTTGACGCTCGCGCGCGTGCGATTGTTCGGTGATCCCCGGCGGTTGGACGCGACGGTGGAGCCGGAGGTGGATGATTCGATGGAGACGTTTTGGCGAAAGGCGGCGCGCGGCGCGCTCGGGCGTTGGGGACTATCGATCTCGACGGAAACGATGTTAGAGACGATCGAGCGACCGCCGAGTGGACGGGGGGATGAACACGTGAAACAGCGATTGATGTACCTGAGAAATCGCTTGGGGTGCCCGTGGGATCGTCGCGTCACGGCGTCGCTGTTGCGAAAGGGATACATGTCGTCGTGGGCGTGGGCGACCGATCCGACGAAGAATGAGAACCCGTGCCCGTTCGATCGAGGCGAGCCGCGAAAACAAACTTGGATCACGAATCACGGGATCGATCCCGATGAATACTTTGAAAAGCTAAAAAAGGAGTTCACGAACGAAGACGAACGATTGGTCGACGTGTACGTCGACGAAGTCGGCCGAACGACGTTCGAAGGCGCCGATACGTTTCGAGAGCCGATGGACGACGACGAGTTCGACGAGCGGTTCGCGGCGCGGATGAAGGAACTGGCGACCCTGCTCGTCGAGGAGGGCATCATCGATTTCGTCTCCAAGAGCAAATTTTTTCACGACGCCCTCGAGGAAGCGACCAAACACGAACAAGACGAACCTTTTGGAGGAGAGCTCTTCAAAGAACTGGCCAAAAAATGAGATGATTTTTTTCTACGATACAATGTCAATTAGCCCACCTTCTACATAGCTCGACGCGCGGTTCGTTTTAATTTACTTCTTCGGCTGCGGAGCGACGATGTTCAAAATCTTGCCAGGGACGTATATGATCTTCTTGATGTCGGGGCCGAGGAATTTCTGCACCGATTCCATCGCCGTCGCCAAGGCCATCGCGTCGTCTTGAGACGTCTCTAAGCTAACCTGAATAGTTCCTCGCATCTTACCGTTCACCTGCACGCCGATGTCCACCGTGTCCTCGACGAGGAAGCTGTCGTCGGCGACCGGCCAGGAGGTCTTCGAGTTCGAACCGCTGTGGCCGAGGCGCTCCCACATCTCCTCGCTCAAGTGCGGGGCGTACGGGGACAACAGCAAGGAGAAGGGTTCTAAAATGTCTCTCGACACCTTGTCCATCTTCGTGCACGCGTTAGTGAGCTCCATCATCGCCGAAATGGCGGTGTTGAAGCGCATCTGCTCCGTCTCCTCAGTCACCTTGGCGATGCACTTGTTGAGCGCCTTGAGGCCCTCCTCGTCGGGCTTATCATCCGTCATCTTGTCCATCAGGCGATGCGTGCGAGCTAAGAATCGGAAGCAACCCTCGACGCCCTTAGTTTGCCACACCTTGGTCTCGCGCAATGGACCCATAAACATTTCATACAGACGAAGAGAGTCAGCGCCGTACGCACTGACGATATCATCCGGGTTGACGACGTTCCCGCGCGACTTGCTCATCTTGTGCGCGCGGGCGGAAACCTTAACCTTCGGGTTCGCCGTGAGCACGAAGCCATCGCCCTTCTTCGTGACGTCTCCGGAGGCGACCTTGATGGTGGACATGCCGCTAGTCTTGTTGCCCTCGACGAACTGCCCGTTCTCGTCGACGTGTGCGGAATACTCAACCTCACCCAGAATCATCCCTTGTGAAACCAGGCGCTGAAACGGCTCCTTGGTGCTGACGACGCCAATGTCGTACAGGACCTTGTGCCAGAAACGCGCGTAGAGCAAGTGCAGCACGGCGTGTTCGGCGCCACCAACGTACAAATCGACCGGCAGCCAGTACTTTTCGAGCGAGCCGTCGATGAGGGCGTCCTCGTTGGTCGGATCGATGAATCGAAGATAGTACCAGCACGAGCCCGCCCACTGGGGCATCGTGTTCGTCTCGCGCCGAGCAGGTTTGCCCGTGCGCGGATCGACCGTCTTAACCCAATCCTCGCAGTTCGCGAGCGGGCCTTCGCCGGAGCCACTCGGCTTGAAGTTATCCGTCTCTGGGAGGATCAGCGGAAGTTCAGACTCCGGCACAGGCACGGCGAGGTTCGGCTCGTCCTCGGGGAAAACCACCGGGAAGGGTTCGCCCCAGTAGCGCTGACGGGCAAAGAGCCAATCTCTGAGCTTATAGTTGGTTTGCTTTCGACCAATGCCGTTCTTGTCGAGGTAAGCGGTGATCTTCACCCCAGCCTCGACGTTGTCCATGCCGTTGACGTCGATCGCCGAGCACGCGCTGTTCATCATCTTCCCGCCGCCCGAGTGCACGCCTTCGACGCCGTCGGGTTTGCTCACGACCTCGGTGATGGGCAAATCGAACGCCTTGGCGAAATCATAATCGCGCTCATCGTGCGCCGGAACGGCCATGATAGATCCCGTACCGTACGAGCCGAGCACGTAATCGGCCACCCAAATCGGAACCTTGTCGCCGGTGAGCGGATGCGTGGCGTACGAGCCGGTGAATACGCCCGTCTTTACTTTGCTCAACTCCGTGCGCTCCAGGTCGCTCTTTCGCGAAGCTGTTTCGCAGTACGCGACGACTTCGTCCTTCTGCGATTCCGTGGCCAACGCGTCGATCATCGGATGCTCGGGCGCGACGACGAGGTAGGTTGCGCCGAAGAGCGTGTCTGGTCGCGTCGTGTACACCTCCAATTTAGCGTCTGCCATACCATCCACGGAGAAACCGAGCTGCGCACCCTCCGACTTACCGATCCAGTTGCGTTGCATCTCCTTGATCGAATCCGGCCAATCGAGCTCGTCCAAGTCCTCCAACAAGCGGTCGGCGTACTCGGTGATTTTGAGCATCCACTGCTTCATCGGCTTACGAATCACCGGGTGGTTCCCGCGCTCGCTCAATCCGTCGATCACCTCCTCGTTCGCGAGCACAGTACCGAGCGCTGGGCACCAGTTGACCGGCACCTCAGCCTGATACGCCAAGTTCTTCTCCAACAAACGCAAGAAGATCCACTGCGTCCACTTGTAATACTTGGCGTCGCACGTCGCCACCTCGCGATCCCAATCGTACGAGAACCCGAGGCTCTGAAGCTGCTCCCTGAACCGCCCGACGTTCTTCACCGTGGTCTGACTCGGGTGCGTCCCGGTTTCGATCGCGTACTGCTCCGCGGGCAATCCGAACGCGTCCCAACCCATCGGGTGCAACACGTTGTGTCCCGTCATCCGCTTGTACCGCGCGACGATATCCGTCGCCGTGTACCCCTCCGGATGCCCCACGTGCAATCCAGCCCCCGACGGATACGGAAACATATCAAGCGCGTAAAACTTCGGTTTACTCGCGTCGATCTCCCTCGGCGTCTTGAACGTCTTATCGTCGCTCCAAAACTTTTGCCACTTGCCCTCGATCGCGCCGAACGGGTACCCCCCCTCGTTCGTCGTCGTCGACGCGTCTCTCGACGCATCCGCGCCCACGACCGCGCGCGCCATCACGCGTCGCGGTCTCCTCGCGCCCGAGCTCGCGCGCGCGCACAGCGCGCGCGTCCGCGCGTCCGCCGTCGTCGTCGACGTCACGCCGGTGCGCGACGCCATCATGACGCGCGCGCGCACCGTCGCGCGCGCGAGCATCGACGCGCGACGCGCGCTCGACGCGGACGAGGAAGACGTCGCGCCCGTTCGCATGCCCCGCGCGCGGCGCCGCGAGCGTGTGACGGGCGCGGGCGACGGGAAACGACGGGGCGACGCTCGAGGGTGTAGGGCAACTGTGTCGCGCGCGCGTACCGGTATGGGATTTGGTCACGTCGCGCCGTGTGCGGTGATTCAACGTCCACGGAGCGTTACGCGAGCGTTTTTCCGATGGTGGTGACGCGGCGATCGGCGTAACACCGGGACGCGATCGCGCGTCGGGCGTCGAGCGCGATGCCGATCACGCGCGGGATACACGACCCGCGTCAGCCGTACGTCGTGCCCGAGGGCGCGTACGCGTGGGGGGCGAAAGGGGATTGGAACGGGAAGACGGGCGAGGACATGGACGTCGAGACGCAATTCGCGCGCACGACCACGACGGAAGGGTTCGACGGACGAATCGATCACGCGCACTTGAGGAATCATGAGGTTCGATTGACCGAGGAGGAATCTAAGTTTGTCCCGAACGCGAAGAACTTCGCGCCGAGGCCGAAGAATTGGAAACCCGGAAAGCATCAGAATTACTTCTAAGAAGCGTGAACGTGACGTGTCGCGGTTTCGAAAGAGTTTTGCCCTCACATCTTCGCGCCTTGTAACGTCACCGTCAAACGCCGGATGAGTCCGGAGTTAAATCCACCCACGGTTCTGTGTTCGCACAAGTACAGTCGACAATCATCGCCGAGCGCGATGACGCCGTTCGCGACAGGAAGTGTCAAGCTGGCGCCAACGATGGTTGACTTGACGTGACCGGGCATGTCGTCCGGGCCTTCCGAGGTGTGCCTAAAGAATTCGACGTTCCACGACTCGGGCACAATCGCGTTCAACGCGCGCTCAAACTTATTCTCAAACTCGACGCCTCGTCTGCCGACAACCACGGATGCGCTCGTGTGCTCGCAAAAGCAGTGCAAGAGCCCGGTATCGCACCTCGACTCTTTCGCGAGCACTGCGGCAACATCCTCCGTGATGTCAATGAGACCCCGCTTACCAGCGCTCACGGTGATGGTTTTCTGCATCAACGCTTCGTACGGATCAATGACGCACACGACGTCTCTCGAGTGCCCGCGCCCAAATCCGCCAATGTTCCTGTGCTCATTCAGGTACAAACCCTGCCACGTCCCCATACACGGACGACCTCTCGTCACGGGCACGCGAATCGAGCTCCCGATCAGCGTCGTCTTCACGTGCGCCGCCATGTCGTCCGGTCCCTCATCGACGTGTTCGAAGAAGCCTTCGTGATGCCACGACTCCGGCACAATTTTATTCAGCGCTCCCTCCAGGTCCACTCGAACGTCCGGATCGCAATTTTCGTTGATCGTCAGCGATGCGCTCGTGTGCTGACAAAAATACGTCGCCACGCCCTTATCCGGCGCCGCCTTCACCGTCGGCGCGTCGGTAACCAAGTGACAACCGCGTCCAGGCGCTCGCAGCGCCGCGCGCCTGCCCGTCTCTCTCGGATCTCCACCGTACGCGCTTAGCGTCACCGTCATCGCCCTTTCACCTCCTTCGTCATCGAGCTCGAACAGGTACACCCCTTGCCACGTCCCGAGCGCGAGCTTCCCGTCGAGCACCGGGACGCTCAGCGTCTTCCCGACCAGAGCGCTCGCGACGTCCGCATCGCCGTCAGTGATGACGTCCAGAGCCTTTAACATGTCGCGGCGAACCGATGGATCGGCGGCTTCGTTGATCGAGAGCGCGCACGAGCGCTCGGTGGCGACGGAGACGTGGGCGAGACCGACTTTCGTGCTCTTGAGAGAATCACCCAAGGCGCGCGTCACCGCGTCGGTGGCGAGGTATATCGCGCGCTTCGACGTCGAGGCGACGGTGGTGGTGCGGGTGAATGAGGTGGATGGAACGGACGCCATCGCGAGGAGCAATTGAGGCGTCGCGCTGTGATGCTGTGGTTAACGTTGCGTAGATATTTACAACCGAAGACGGTCTGGCCAGTATTATTTTATATAAAGCGGCAATACGTACTGCTTGATACATCAGTGTGCAGTGTACAGTGTGAGCGTCGATTATCGAGCGCTTAAATTGAGCGTGCTCGCGGGTGACGCTCGGTAGGAGGCTTCTTTGGCGAAGCGAGATGGAGAGCCTGATTCTGGACTCGATCCCAGTGGCACCGGTTCGTCTGCGACGAAGGCCACTTCGGTGGCTCGAACGATGGAGACAGGATCGCGCGCGGCCGATCGAATCCAAGAGCTTGACGCCGGGCTCGGGCTGAGAGTCTTTTCTTCCATCATTCGTTTGCGCGTGTTTCTCACAACGTCTTGCACGGAGTACGCCTCGTACATGTAATCGGCGTACAGCTCGAGCGCAGCTTCGTGTCTCGCTCTACTTCTATCGCCGCACGCGTCGTGTGCGACGGCGACACGGAAACCGGCGTTGAAAGCGCCGAAGACGCAGTGTTGCACGCACACGCTCGTGATGAGTCCACACACGACGACGGTTTTTACGCCAGCCGCGCGGAGTTCGGGCGACAAGCATCCTTCGCCATAAAACGCGTCAAACGTGCGCTTGTGAAACACCGCCTCGCCCTCCAAAGGCTCCGCGAACGGTTCGGTCTCGTGTGGATCGATCTCATACTTTGAGCGCCCCGGGTTCATCCTCTCGAACGTTTGTAACCAGGGACAAGTGTGATAGGCGTACGACGCCCGGACGTGGGCGACATAGGCGCCCCCCGCGCGCGCCGCGTTCAGTAAAGTCCGCATATTATTCGGAAGCTCTGGAAACGATCGCACAACCTCCGGGTTCTCACTCCAGTACACCGGTTGCACGTCCACGACCAACAAGGCGGTGTCCGGTCCGAATCCAACCTCGGGCGCGCCGAGCTCGGCGCGCAAGCCGTGGAGCTCTCTCGCGCTCGCTTCTCGGCGCATCTCGTGCGCGCTCACCATCGCCTTGGCACCAAATTTCTCTTCGCACGATGACGACAAAACAACCCGATCGAGCGCGCTGACTAACTGTCGGTTCGCCGCCACGACAGACGCGTCGGCGTCGCGCGCCGTGTCATCGATGTCGTCGCTCGGGAGGGGTGCCAACGTCATCGAATCATCTTTCGTCTCCGTCGTCGCACATCCTCCCGTCTCGCGCTCGCCCGCGAGCATGCGACTCAACATAATTCTCTCCTCCCCTCTCGCCCGTGCGCACCTCACGAATCGTCTCGCCGAACGTTCGCGCGCGCCGTACGATGGGGCGGTCGACAGCGTCTTCGGCAACCGTCGTCGCGACGTTTCGGAATCGGGTCCATCAAAAAACACGTCAATACGTGACACGCGTGTACGGGTGTATACCGTACTAACGGTACACGTAGTACGATGTACAGGACGCGACGACCGGTTCGATGCATCGTGTGTGGGCAAACAGTCATACGCGTGACGCCCGACGGGCACGGTGTGTGGGCAAACAGTCACACGCGTGACGCCCGACGGGCACGGTGTGTGGGCAAACAGTTACACGCGTGACGCCCGACGGGCACGCGCGGGACGCCACCGCAGAGCGCGATGGGGCGATGCCGCGGGTGAAACAGCGCGTGCCCACGCGCGTGCGCTCCAGCGCGTCGGACGTCGACCCCGTGGACGTCGGAAAAGGCACCGCGCGCGCGCGGAAGCGACAGCGGGGAGCGGCGAGCGCACAGAGGGCGAGCGAAGGATGCCACGGCGATGGATTCATCGAGCTCGTGGACGCGACGGGAAAGGACGACGCGCTCGTTTTTAGCGTGCCCGTGCCGTCGCGAAGTGATGTGGAGTCGTGTAGAAGTCCTGGTGACGCGAGTGTGACGGGAAGGATCAAGGTGGAGACGTTGGGGCGGTGTGGATTAGACGTCGCGCGCCTGCAGCGGGCGAAGTGGACGCGGTGCAAGGCGAGCGCGGATAAGCGGTCGTTGGAGGTGTTCGTGACCGATGTGGCGTTCGATGATTGTTCGAGGGTTCTTCTCGCGGACGAAGGTCTCGGGACGGTGCACGCTGATTTGAAGAGGAATTGTGGGGCGCTCGCGCGCGCGCACGCGGCGAGCTCGGAGAAGGCGGAAAGTCGCGGCGCGAGCGGAATAGGATTAGATTTAAACGCGCTCTTCGATGCGGTGAAACCGAACGCGGAAACGTGTCCGGAGTTTGAGGTGATGAATGACGTTTTGCTGCCTACGCCGAGGGGTTACCAGAAGCAGGCGTGCGCTTGGATGATGGCGCGCGAGGGTGCCGTGAACGCTCCTACTGGCGCACTGGACGCCAAGCGCGGCGGCGCAATCGACGCCGAGGCGCTGCATCCCATATGGCACGAACTCCCAAACGGTGGTGGGTACATCAATCGACATCTGGGGATCGTCTCTAAGAGGCGCTTTTGCGCAAACTTCGAGAGCGTGAGCGGTGGAATCTTAGCGGACGAGATGGGTCTCGGGAAGACTGTCGAGGTCATCATGCTCGTCTTGGCAAATCCTGAGCCCGAGCGCTTGAAGCGACGCAACGTCGAGATGAAGGCAGCGATGGAATCAGCCAAGAAGAAGACGCACGTTCAGCGAGCGAGGGAACCGGAGGTGAAGAAGGAGGAGCTGGTGGAAGCGAAAGCCTCGCCCGTGGTCGACTTGATGGAGACGGTGCCAGAAGACACAAGCATCGTGCAATGTCCGTGTGGCGCGAAGGATGACGACGCGTACGATGGACTTTGGATCGCGTGCGAAAAGTGTGAGACGTGGATGCACGCCAGGTGCGTTGGACTTTGTTCGAACCCGCAGCAAGAGCGACATCTGATGGGTTTGTCATCCGAAGCGCTCGAGCGCAAGTTGCACGGCTTTACGTGCGGGAAGTGCATCGCTGCGCACGCGAGCGCGACAGTGGACGTAACGTGCGGTGCGACGCTGGTGGTTTGTCCGTCGGCCATCATTGAGCAGTGGCGAGATGAGATTGAACTGCACGTACGTCCCGGATCACTTAAAGTCATTATGTACGAGGGACAGTCGAGCAAGTGCGTCGCAGGAGGCACGATGAAGGGTGTTTTTTCCGCGAAAGAACTCGCTGAAGCCGACATAGTCTTCACGACGTACGACACGCTTCGTGCTGAGATTGACATCGACACCGCAAACGGGCATGGTTTGGAAGGCGCTGAGCGAGCAAGGAGATACAAACGAAAATACGAAGTGGTCCCGACACCGCTCACGAGGTTGAAATGGTGGCGTGTCGTGCTCGATGAAGCACAGATGGTCGAGTCAAGCGTTTCGAAAGCTGCAGTGATGGTTCGTCGCCTTCCGGCGGTTCATCGATGGGCCGTCACGGGAACACCGATCTCGCGAGGTCTCGGCGATATTTTCGGTCTTCTCACGTTTCTTATGGTCTCGCCGTTCGAGCACGGCGATTTCTGGTGGCGGCGCTTGATTGAGATCCCGTACGCAAACGGAGATCCCAAAGCGCGCGAGTTACTTCACTCCCTTTTGAAGGGATTGATGTGGCGCAACTCACGAGCGGACATGGAGAAACAGCTTGGGGTGCCGCCGCAGGGTGAAATCACAACGATGCTTCGCTCTAGCGCTGTAGAGCACCATTGGTATGCGAGGCAATACTCTGACTGCGTAAATATCGCAAAGACGACATTGATGCGATATGGTCGGCATACAGACGACGAGCATATCGATCCGCGCCAAGCGGCAACCGTCATGGGACCTCTGCTGCGCCTTCGTCAGGCGTGTGACCACCCACAAGCAGGATCGCACGGTCTCGCCGGCGGCATCAGAAGCGGTGCCAACGTGTTAACGATGGATCAAATTTCCGAGAAGCTCATAGAGCGAGCACGAGTCGAGACGGAGGAGGCGCAACGCCTCGTGGCGTTCACGCTCAACGCGCTCGCCGGATTGGCGTGGATAAACAAGGATTTTCCTACGGTCATCGCAAACTATCGCGAAGTTCTCAAGCTCGAAGGCGACGGCCAGCAGATCAACGTTAGATTGGACGCGCTTCAACGTCTTCACGCACTGCACAATCTCAGCTTGGCGATGAACGCGGTGAAGGCGAACAATGAACTTTTGAGGGGAAAGAAAATTGCACCGACGATGCGAGACGAAAGCTTAGAGAAAGAAGCTGAGGCAGAAAGGCGAAAGTACATCGCGCAGCGCGCTGCTGGTATCCACATTGCGGCGAGTGAACTCGAATTGGCGACGAATACGGTGAACAAACACCTCAACAAGTGGCACCGTAGATAGACCGAAGTGGTGGGGGGTCGTCATTGATGAACTCATAAAACCGCCATCGGAATCGGACTTGTCGAGGAAGGAAAAGGGAAACGCCGAAGGTGCGTTAGGTAAGGATGTAACGGACGTCGAAGATGACGATGATGAGCCAGACATGCCCGAGGGAGCGTCGAATCTTCTCGCGCGAGTTTATCAAGCCTTTGACGGGCGATGGCAAGAGAAGCAAGCTCCGTTCACTGATGTCAACGGCCTGCGATTCACCATGCTCACGGATTTGCAAAACATTCAAGCAACGCGCATGGAGGTTCACCAAGCGATCAATGACCTCGCGAAACGCACCAAGCAAGCCGACGAGGTGGAGGTTCGCTCAATCGGCATGTGTGAAAAGTGTCGCAAGGATACAGAGTTTGCTGTTCCTGGCGTCCAGTGCATGTTTTGCAAGTACGAACCTGTGCTGGAAAAGTTTGAGTCGATGATCTTCGGCGTGAGGCTTCGCGTGCAGATGAATCGGAATGCAGGCGGAGCAATCGATTCCGACGATGATGATGTGCCTGAGCCTGATAATTATGTACCGCAAGTCACTCGCGCAGGCCGTGTCGCGGGCGAGCGACAGGATGATACCAATCGTGGCGGTGCGAGCTCGGTCGAGACAGTACTACGTATGATTCTGCCTCAACAGTCATGGTGGAAAGATAAGTTTCCGGACAGCACCGCTTGGACTCAATGCTACGAAGAATCGAAGGCACACGTTGGCGCGCTCGAAGAGATGCGGAAAGAGTTTTACAAGTTTTCGCAACTCATCATGAGGCAGCGAGAGGAAATGGCTGCGCGAGACGAGCTCGACATGTGCGTTCGAAGAATCCGAACGCGAGAGGAGCACGAGCTGCCCTACCTAGAGGCCGCTCTGGAAACCGACGGGAACTCTCGGCCTCGTCGGCAAGTTGATCCCATCCCCGAAGGACTTCGCGCTTCAATCATCTTTCCTCACGACGTTTCCCCTTTGAGCGTGAATTTTACGCAACAAAAGGCGGTGTGCGAGGTGGATTTGCGTAAATTCTCATCTCAACTCAAGTACCTCAAGACGACGCTCCTCAACGAGAACGGGAACGATGAGGCGAAAGATAAAAGAATGGAGTGTCCGATCTGCATACAGTCGTTCAGAGATGCCACCGCGGAGGTATGCGTGTTCCCGTGCGGTCATCGAACGTGCGTGCAGTGTGCGCTCGATTTAGTTCGTCGACGCGAGTCAGAGCGCGTCTCATGCGTCACCTGTCGTGAACGCTCGTACATCGAGGAATTGATGTACGTGAATAACGCCAGTAATCGAAGCGGGATCAGTGGAAAGGACGACTACGCTCGTCGCGCTAAGCGAGGAGACATCGGCTTTCTCACAGATTTACTCGGGACCAACGACGAGATGTTTTTCTCTGAAAGAAGCTGCTCAGTCAGCGGCAGCTGGGGGACGAAGATCGAGGCCATCGTTCGGCGGGTAAGATTTATTCTTGACACGGACGAAAGGACGAAGCTGATCATATTCAGCGAGTGGGATGACGTTCTCAAGGTTGTCGAAAAGGCGATTGCCGCCAACCAAGTTCGCGCCATGCGAGCAGAATCGGGTCCAAAGTTTCGAGCAGCCGTGGACAGATTCAAACACGACGGAACCGTGAGTGTGTTATTGCTGCCGATGAAGCGCGGTGCGCAAGGTTTGAACCTCACCGAGGCTCAGCACGTGTTGCTTCTCGAGCCTGTACTCGATCCGGGAATGGAGGCGCAAGCCATCAAACGTGTCGATCGAATCGGGCAGACGCGACCGACTTGCGTTCACCGCTTCGTCATACGAGATACTGTCGAAGAGAACGTGCAAAAGTTCTCCACCGAGCGTTCGAACGCGATGTGTGACGTATCGAGCGATTTATCGATACATAAAAAGGGTAAGGAGGACGGGTTGACTCTCGGCGAAATACGAGCTCTCCTCCTTCGTCCAACAGAGTTCGACGATGCAATGACGCAAACGCGCGCGGCTGCGCTGGGAGACGCTCAGGACCCAATACACGTTGATTGATATGTAGACAACCATACCGGTGGTGCGAAAGATTAGAAATCACAATAGGTACATGTACTACCGGTACGGTATTCAATACAATTTGATATCACTGACGCAACGGTGCGAGGACGTACTCGCTCAAATTCTGTAGACCAGCCTCAGCGTACGCCTCAGCGACTACCTCGCGGACGCTCGCCCAACCTTTATCGCCACACTCACCCCACGACACGGCTTCCATCGCCGCCGTCGCTCGACGAATCGCGAGCTCTTCCTTTGTCGGTGGTTGACCTCCCTCTTCCATCGGCGCGCCGCTCGCGTCGATGTCGCCTCCGTCCAGCGTACGACGGGCGTCAACCGCGCTTCGCCCCGCGAACCCGCTCAGCCTTTGCATCTCTCGCATCAACTCGCCGTCTTCATCTATCGTCCACCAAGGTCCCGCGGAAAGCGCGACGCGGGCCTGATCCCGCGCCTCGATGGAGCGTCCGTACCGAGCCAGCGTGCGCGCGTTAATCGCGTGCGGACGCGCCCAACCCTCGTACGGCCCACCCGCGTGCCACTCCGCGGTAACCAACGCCGAGATCTCATCGTTTCGCTTCACGTGCGCCTCGATCAGCGCCTCATCCGCGTCCATGAACCGCTCGATGCGCTTCGTGGCGAACACCTCAAACCGACTCGCGAGCCCAGATTTCGCGAGCTCGCCCGCGACGTAATACTCCTCCCCGACAATCTCTCGAAGCGCCCTCACCCCCGCGTCATCGTTTAATCCATCCCGGTCGATCTCCGCTAACACCCGTCGCGCGTACGTCTTCGCCGTCGACGCCAACCGCGTCGCGCCGCGCCGTCCGCTCCGCGTCACCCGCATCCGCGCCTCGCCGTCCGCCTCCCCCACGCTACGATCGCGCGCGAAAAACCCTCCAGACCCCACTCGAGCCACTCTCAAGCCATCGATCGCGTCACCGACGTACAACCCGATCACCGCGTCCGCGTCGTCCGCGCGCGCGGCGATCGGAATCACCAACGGATGCGCGTCCCGCGCGATGACCCCGTCCACCGCCGTCCGCGCGCCGCGCGCGCCCGCGCGCGCGAACGCGGCCGCGCACGCGGCCTCGATCGCCCCCGTCGCGTCGCCGCGGGCGAGACCGAGCGCGCGCAGGGTCTCGACGACGCGCGCGCTCGCGTCCGCGATGACGCTCGACCGCATTCGCGTCCGCGCGCGCGCCGGTCGTCCACGAGCGACGGGCGCGAGCGGTGCGCGCGCGCGGGACGGGCCGCGGGCGCGGGACGGGGGCGCGTCGGACGCGCGCGGCGCGGGATGCGGCGCGCGAACGATGGATGCGATGGATGGACGACGACGACGGATTCGATGGATGGGCGCGACGGCGGGGATGAGGACATCGAGACGGCGACGCGACGACGCATGACGGTGGCGGCGATGGCTGGGGACGCGCGCGCGCTCCGACGGGCGTTCGCGGAGCTCCAACGTGGGCGGTACGCGACGACGGGACGATTGATGACGGCGCGGGACGTCGAGGAGGTTTTAAACGGTGTCGACGCGCGTGGGATGACGCTCATGGAGCTGGCGTCGATGGCGGAGCGTTTGGACGCGCATCGGTGGTTGAGTGAACGCGTGGGGACGCGCGCGATGGGGACGATTGGTGATTCAGACGTGTCGGTTACGGGACGGGACGCGGCGGACGCGTTCGAGGAGAGATTGCGAGACGAACACGCGTTGGAGGACGGGCACGGGCGATTGGAGGCTTTGGAGGAGGTGGATGGCGCGATTGATCCGGGAGAGAGCGGGCGGGGAGGGGTGTTGGGCGATGAGAATCATCGCGCGAGCGTGTGGGCGGAGGCGAGTCGACGAAGACGCGCGCGAGAAGACGATTCGGGCGATGTGCGACGGGTGAAGAAGAGAGAGCGCGAGAAAGAGAGTGAGAATAGACGCGAAGCGGAGCGGCGACGATTGGAGGCGCTGCGAGCGGAGGACGCAAGATGGCGGGCGAGTCTGGAGGTGACGACGGAGCCGAAATCGAGCGCCGCGCGGACGACGGAGGAGTACAGGAAAAAATGGGCAAAGTTGGAGCGCGCGGCGAGAAAGGGGAAGACGCACGAGTTGAGCGTCGAAGATTTTCCGTTCGTGGACGAATCGAAGATGTCGCCGGCGAGCGTTTTGAGAGATTTTCTCATCGTCGACGTACCGAGCGGGAACGAGCGAGCGCAGCTTCGAGAGGAAATGTTGCGTTGGCACCCCGACAAGTTTGCAAAGTATCTCGATTTAGCGGTGCGAGAAGAGTTGCAAGACGTCGTCGAGCGCGTGAACGCGACGAGTCAGGCGGTGAGAGAGGCGTTCAAGGCTTTCGTCGTCGCGCCTTCGTAGCTTGGATTGAAATTGTTACCTAGAAATTTAGAGCGGCGCCACTTCGTACACAACGATGAGTCGCGCAGTTCCTCCTCGCTCACGAACTACGGTGGTCTGCGCCGGAACGCGTCCTCCGGACCACTTCATCACGGTTGTTTCGTCAATGTTGTGCGTCACATGCGAGCACTTCGATCCGCAGTCAGCCCACATGTACGGAACGCTCACGATGACGACTTTGCACAGCTCCGTGTTGAGCATTTTTCGCAAAAAGTCATCAGGCGAACTCACGTGTTCTAAAACTTGCATGCACACGCACAGATCGACGTTTGTGAGCTCGGCACTTTTCAGAGGCGTCCTCATGAAATCCGCCGTGACGTACGAAACGTCGTCGTTGACGGGCGAAACGCTCGGTAGCCCCGACGTCTCTTTATACGCCGCGTAATACGGTGCTATACACGTCTTTTGAGCGATCCAATTCGCGTGCCCGACGAAACTGGGTCTCACGCACCCGATTTCCAAGGCGCTCTCGGCGCCTCTCGCGTACGCCCACATCGCCGTCATCGCGACGTCGTAGTATCGCAACCCCTCACGCGCCGTTCCGATCGGACCGAGATTCCCGAATGGAATCATCTCGAAAGACCCGATTCGCGATTCGCGCGCCGCTGATCGCGCGTCGTACGCGTACCGCTCGAGCGCGTCCTCGAACCACCGTCCGACGAGACATGTGACGCACACCCCCGCGACGATCCCGACGACCGACGACCGCGCGCGCGTCCACATCTCGCCGCGATCGCTCCAACGCTACCTTTTCCCCGCGCGTTCACAGCCCGTCACCGAACGTTCGCGGTCGCGCGATGACTGCGGTGCTATCGGCGCGCGCTTGGCACATGGTTCTCCCAAATGTCACCGAGAAAACGCCAACTGTAACTGCGCCACCCACACCTCGTCGCGTGCGCTTCGATGTTGAAATCACTGTTCCAGGGCGATAAACGCGAGCGTCCGGCGTACGCCTTGGTGGAGCACGTGCGTGAGCGCTCGCGCGACGCGTTAAGACGACTTCACGGCGTCGCATTCGTCGAGAATTTCTTCATCTGACACAGACTGACCTTTTGCTCTGTTTTCATCGACGCTAGGTGTGTAATCCCATCGGACGTCCGCGAGAGATGCAGTTGGAGATTAATCTTCGGTTGTGTGACATGGTGAACGGAGATTTCGTCGCACACGGGAAGGATGCGGTGAAGGCGTTGCGAATCAAGTTGGACAAGGAGCGGGACGCGGAGGCGCTGACGCGGGTGCGTGCGACGGACGATGAGATGACGCGACTCGCGATCGATCGCGGTGACTGACGATTGGATTTTTGTACTTGCATTAGGGTTTATTCGCACTGGAGATGGTGATGAAGAATTGCGGGGCGAAGGCGCACGCGATGGCGGCGGCGAAGGATATTCCGAAAGCCATGGTGCGGCTGTGCGAGCGGGCGCCGAATTTGGACGTGCGCGATAAGTGCCTGGAGCTCACGCAGGAGTGGGCTACGAACTTGAGGCGGTGCCCAGAGTTCGCCATGGCGTACAGTGAGCTCAAGGGGCGGGGATACAGATTTCCTCCGTTGGCGCCGAGGAGTTCGCCGACGACTTCGAACGCGTCAAGCGCTCGGCAGCACTGGAGTACGAACGAGGGCATCTCGGAGGAAGATCGACGGGCAATCGCGCAGGCAATCGCTGAGGCGGAGTGCGAAGCTCAGGAGGATGAGATTCGACAGGCGGAGATGCAGTCGGAGATGCGACGCCGAACGTCTGAACCGCAGCCTCGAGGGCACGCGCTCTCAGGGATTTACGCCGGTAACATTCCGACCGGGCTTCCCGTGGAAGTTCCGCCACACTTAGCGAGTAGTCCACCGAATCATTACGTTGCACGTATCGCGGGTGTTGGTTCAAGCGACAGTGAGCTGCAACGCGCGATTCGAGAGAGCGAGGCGATGGCGGCGGAACACGCTGCACGAACAACGGCGACCAGCGCGCCGGTAACATACACAGCGGCCGACGTCGAAAAGCTCAAAGGCGATGTCGCAGTCGCGCGGCATTCACTCGAAACGTTTACGTCGGTGCTGGATGCGTGCGTCGCGACAACGACGCCGGCGCCGAGCGAAATCTCGAGAGAGTTGGCCACGCAGTGTCGCGCGATGCATCCGCGCTTGATCGAGCTCATCTCCAACGCAGAGGACGAAGGTTTGCTCATGAGCGCAATCGAGTTGAACGATGCGCTGACGAGGCAGATAGAAAGGTTCGATCTGTTGGTTCGAGCGGCGTCAGGGGACGCAACCGCGCGCGCATCGCTCGCGCCGCCAACTCTAGCGCCGCCGACGTCGACTCAAACGGTTGACGATATTCTGAGCGGTTTGGACAGGTTGTATGGCGCTTCCGTTTCGGGCGGCGCGCCGGTGTCCAAGTCAGCGAATCCATTTGGTGACGTTGTGCCGACGCAGGCGGTGCAAACACCGGTAACGTACTCGATGTACGCTGGTCCGTCGTCGTCCGGCAATCCGTTTGAAAGCGCTTCGATGACCGTCCCGCGAAGCTCCGGGCCGGCTTTCGTGCCCGAGATGCAAACCAACCCTGCATTCGCCCAATGTGATGATTATTACGCCCCACCGCAGGGCGCGCGTATGGCTCGTCCGATGTCGGGGAGTCCAGCGTCTCCAGGGACTTCGCCCGGCATGCGAGGCTCGCGACCGGCGCCAGGGACATCGCCGAGCAGAGGAGGCCTCACCCCGTTCGCCGATCTGGCGTCGATCGCAGCTTTTCGCGCGAGACGTACGAGTGACGATGGGGGCGCCGACGGCGACGCCATCGCGAAGATTTAGACACAAAAAACTCGATGTAGTAGAACGGGCAGACGCCTTCACATTCGCCCCCCGTCCTCACTCACCGACACCCCAACTATGCGCGCGCTCACCCTTCCCACGCCGCGCGACACGGTGACGTCGCGACCACGCATTCGCTGCGACGCGTCCACGTCATCGAACGACGCCCCGAGGCGCGTCGGTAGGATTAAATCCATCGAAACCTTCCCACTCAAAGGTGCTCGAGGCGTGTCGATTGAACAAACGACGGTTCATATCGGGACGAGCGTTCCACGCGATCGAGAGTTTGCCTTGTTGCGGAGCGAGAACGAGGAGAGGTGGGGCTCAGACGACGTCGAGGCGTCGGCTGGGAGAATCTTGCGAACAGGAGAAAAGAAGGATGAGGGGCATCACTCGAACAAGCACTTGTTTCATCAGCTCATCACCGACCCGTCGCTGGCAAAATATCGTGGAATCGCGATCGGTTCGAGAGGTTTGGCGATCGAGTGCGCACAGAGCGGAGAGGTGTTGGTAAGGTGCGAGGATTACGACGAGGATGCGTCCGGAAGACGAGCGATCGAGACGTTTTTCGCTTCGCGATTGGAGACGGCGCGCGCGGAGGCGCCGCCGACGTTAACACGGGCAGAGGGACACTCGTTCACGAACGTCGGTGGACGGCCGAAAGAACATGTCTTGCACATAAATACTGTTCCCAGTGTTCGAGCGGTGTACGATGCGTGCACAAAAAGCGCTCCGGAAGGGATGAGAGAGACCTTGGATGAGTTCGCCATGCGCTTTCGTCCAAACATCGTCGTCGAGGACGAATCGGGCCGTCTTCGCGCCTTTGACGAATTCGAGTGGTGCAATCGAAACGTGCGCATTGGTTCGAAGTGCGTTTTACGTGTGAACGAACCCACGATTCGATGTCCCAGTACGCGCGTGCGTTATGAAGATTCCGAAACGGACGTCGCACGCCCGGATGTCGACATCCGAACGGACTTCCCAGACCTCAGAGCCTCCATCTTCGGTCGAGACGCTATCGAGCTCGCGAGTAAGGGGTCATACCTAGGTCTCTACGCCGTCGCCATCGTCCCTGGATCGATTGAAGTCGGTGACGACGTGTACGTCCTGTAGCAAACATACATCGTAGTCGTAAAGCGTGTAATACTGCTTGTTTCAATTTCAGTGGCCCGAGCGAAATGATTAATCGGCTTCGTCATCATTTCCACGCGTGTGCAGTCGCGCTTACGCGCGGGCGCGGCGAGCATCGACGAAAACATCGTCGGTGCCCTCTGCGCCGTCTTCGTGCGCGTCGACGTGCGCGCACCATCGACGACAACGACGATCGAGTGCACTTGACTTTTTTGAATTTTCATCAAAACGGCAGACAGCTCGGCGTTTTCGCGCGTCATGACCTCGAGCGAGGCCTCGGGTTTGGCCTCAGAGATCGCCCCAGACTTGGTTCTCGAGGCTACGCTCGCGGCGGCGATCGACGAGTCGCTCAGAGACCACAGAGTGGACAACGCGTTGTTTCTGTCAGAACGCCTCGTGGCGCTGCGCGACGCCGAGGCGAACGCGTTGTTACACGCGAGATGTCTGTACGCGAGCGGGAAAGCGCACGCGTGCACCGAGGTTTTGGGATCGAGGTTGACCACGCCGAGCGCGAGGTACCTCTACGCTCGGGCGTGTTACGATTTGGGACGACTGGCGGAGGCGGAGCGCGCGCTCAGAGGCGACGTCGGGAGCGGAGGAGAGTACGTGGGTCGGTACGGGTCGAGACGGCGGCCGAACGTCGCCGAAGACGACGCGATCGCGTGTGCGGGCGCGGCGGGGGAGTATCTCTTGGGGTTGATCTGTAAGGATACGGGGAGAAGAGAGTCGGCGATTGCGCGGTTCACGCGGGCGTTGATGGCTGATCCGCTCATGTGGGTCGCGTACGAAGGTCTGTGCGCGCTCGGTGCGGACGCCGAGGCAAAGGCGTGCGCGTCGAGCGGTAGAGAGGATAGTATTCTGGCCATGTATCCGTCGTTGACCGGGAGCAGCGGATTGCTCGCGTGCGCGGCACACGGGACGCGCGGCGAGGTGAGCGGAGGCTCGGCGCCAACGTCGCCTTCGAGACCGCGCATGACGAGCGAAGATCACGAGGCGGCCACAAGCACGCCGGCGACGGCGCCGATGAGAGAAATGCGGGACGTGGGAGTTCCTCCAAGCACCGGGGCGAGCGACCGCACGCGCACTGGGGAGGTATGGGATGCGTCCAATTTACTCACGCCGGCGGTTGGTGGTTTCGGCGACATCGGCAAAGCGGGCGATTCCGTGGGCGCCGCGTTCGTCACGCCCTCGCCGAGCTCCGTCGCGGCCGCACCGCCACCGCCGCAGAAGCTCGCCGGAGGGCGCGCGCCACCGACCACGGGTGCGCCGCGCACAGGGCGACCGAGCACGGCGCTACCGCCCACGATGGGCGAAGACGGCGGCGCAACCGGCAGCGTGCGGACTCTTCGGAGAGCGACGTAAATTCATGGACGAAGGCAAGCTTCGAAAGGTATCGGGTAGGTTGTTTAGCGATGATCCCGCGTCGACGGCCGTTCGTCGGAGTACTAGGATTCAAGCCGCTCGTTCGCAGAATGCGGCGATGTCTCCACCACGAGGCGATGACGAATCGTATCTGTTCCAAGTCCCCGAGGACGGGGAGGTTTCGTACGACACGAGTCGTAGTTTCGGAGACATACATGATCAAGGGATCTGGAGCTGGCAACCCGCAGCATCTGTCCGCACGGGTGAAGGGGTGTTGTTGGCGTTGAACATGCTAAGACCGATTGCTGAGGGATTGAGGCACCTCACCATGTATAGATGCGATGAAGCGATTCAGTCGTTTCAGCAGCTCTCCAAATCGCAGTACAACACTCCGTACGTTTTGTGCGCCGTGGCGAAGGCGCACGCGGAAATGGTGGATTACTCGAACTCGTTGAAAGTTTTTGAAGAAGCGCGCGCGGTAGCTCCGTACCGATTGGATTCCATCGACGTGTACTCCACCGTGCTCTGGCACCTGAAGGAAGAGGTGAAACTCGCGCACTTAGCGCAAGAGGTACAGGCAATTGACCGATTGGCGCCACAGACGTGGTGCGTGCTCGGCAATTGCTTCTCTCTGCAGAACGAACACGAGACTGCGCTGAAATTTTTCCAGCGCGCCATCCAGCTTGATCCAAAGTGTACGTACGCGCACACCCTGAGTGGGCACGAATATTTCGCGAACGAAGACTTTGAGAAGAGTATGAACTGCTATCGCGCCGCTTTGCGCCTAGATCCTAGACATTACAACGCTTGGTACGGTCTCGGGACGGTATATTACCGCCAGGAGAAGTACGTCATGAGCGAGTATCACTTCCGTTACGCGCTCGGCATCAATCCCAAGTCGAGCGTGTTGTACTGCTACGCGGGCATGGCTAAGCACGCGTTAAACGAAACCGATGAGGCTTTGGCTTTGCTCTCGCAAGCCATCGCACTAGATGCCAAGAACCCGTTGGCTAGATACGAAATGGCGGCGGTGTTGATGAGCGATGAAAATTATGAAGCGGCTTTGGATGAGCTCCACAAGTTGAAGGATATCGCGCCAAAGGAGGCGAGCGTGTTCTTCTTGATGGGACGAATCTATAAAAAGCTCGGCATTCAGGAAGAAGCGATGATCAACTTTAGCGTTGCCCTCGATTTGCATCCGGCAAACACGGACGTCAACTCCATTAAAAACGCGATTGAGAAACTGGACTCGGACGATCTTAGCGACGAAGAAAACATTTAGAAGATACGAAATTTGAAAACTACACACACTAATCCCTCTCAGAAATCGCCGTCAAGTGCTCTTCGACTTGACTCTCACTGATGACTCTGAAAGCGGGGTTGTCCGCCGTCACAATCGCAACCTCCAACTCGCTCGCTTTGACCTCCTCCCCGAGCACGTGCTGAAGCGCGCTGATCGCGAGTTGCGCCGTTTCGTTCGCATCGAAGGAGGAGCCAGCCTTGACTTTCTTCTCAAGAAAGTTCACCGCCTCGACCTCCTTCGATCCGGCGCTCGTTGCTCTGTAACCAACATAGTACCCGGCAGGATCACACTTGAACAAGCTCGGTCCTCGGTCCTCATCCATGGAGACCAAAATCACCATAACCGCAAGCGGACGCATGTACGCGTGTTGCGTGTATACCTGGAACTCATCCGCGAGAATATTCGCTAACACGTCCACGGGGACGTCGTACCCGTAGTTTTGCTTAAAATCCGCAGCCTTTCTCCGCGCCTTTTGCACGATGTCGCGAATATCCGCTGCGCGACAGAAACGCGTGGAAACATCGCCGTCAGTCACGTGATCATTCGAACCCGACCGACCAAAAATAAAACCCAAACCCGATGCGTGCGCGATAGAACGACCGAGATTTGCGCGACAGACTAGCGCACGCACGTCCTTTGCCCGTGGCGCACATGCCCACGGTTTTCGTAATTTTATACATGTGCGTCACGTCCGTCGGATCGATCAATTTATCCTACGCAACCGGTACCAATAGACGTAATGTGTCAGTCTTGAGCGTTTCGTTTACTTTCACGCGCGCGTGATCGCGTCGATCTCGTTCGAGTCTTCGCTTTTCGTTTTCGCGTAAAATCAATCCTTTCGCGCACGATCTCACTCAAGGTGTCTCGCGCACGCACCGGAATCTTCTTCTGCGTCACCACACACACGGAGTCCTTGCCTCTGACCCCGATTGAGGTCATCCCGACCGATTTAATCGCCTTGAACGCGTACTCTGCGAGAGATTCAACGAAGCGTGGGAGGACTTTGGTCAGATCGCAGAGTCTCTGTCACGTCGCGCGACGTCGTTCGCGTCGTTCGTGAGCGATCGAGCGCGACGCGAGCGTCGATCGAGGACGCACCGACTTGGTACAGGCGACCATCGGGGGAGAAGACGGTGATGTGCCGGTCGTACCCGGCGGTCGAGCCGCGGGACATGGGACGCGCGCTGGGAACTGAGGCGCAGCCACGCGCAACAATGGCAAACGTCGAGGTCGAAACGCATGCGCGGCGAGAACGTGAAGAAGGCTTGAAAGGGGTATTAGAGAGTGATGAAGGCGCGCGGAGAGGACGGCGTTCATTGATTTCGATTATACGCGCGTACCGCGACGCGTCGCGAGGTGGCTCACATCTCCGGCGCGCCGCGCAACTTCTCGATGGAGAGCTTGATGCCCTGGTAGACGATGCTGATCATGTCTCCCACTGTGGGTGCGCATAAAAGTGCGGGTCGAATCTCATACGCGACGCCCAATGCGGGGATGGGATTGATGAGGCCAGCGATCCAACACGCGAGCTCAGCCGGTTGATCGACGTTCGGCCGCTCGCCTAAATGTGAGAGGATTAGCTGCATCTGATCCGGTTGCCGCTCGCGCTTTTTCGCCACAACGAGGGCGAGCCAATCGTCGACGAGACTCGGGAGTTCCAGTGCCAACGCTCTCGTCTCTACACTGCACGACGACGGATCGATGTCGTCGACCGCGTCCACACCCTCCACCGTTTGCGCACCTGCCCCCAAGTGGTTCTCAATCCACCTCACTCGCGCGCTCGGCGCGTTTTGATTTTCCTCATCCTCAAATGGCGCGCCGACTATGGCGAACCGCTGTCCCGCGATGAGCTCCACCAGGGATTCTCCCGAAGGCTTGACGAGCAGTCGATTGACTGTTACTACGACGCCGTTCGGCAAAATCTGTCCATTCGACGGCGCCTGACCAAGCATGCCGAATCTGTCGCCAATTTTAACATTTTCACCGAGCCATGTGCCGGCGTTGAGCTTTCGCTTCGGGTTACTCGCATCAAACGTCAGCGGCAGGACTTGCTTTGGGACGCTCGCGTCCAAAACGACAATGGGTAGCTGTTCAAGTGTCGCCTCCTGCGCGCGGATCGCCTCCATGCGTGCTTGAAGAATCTGCAAGTCCGATGCGGACAGTTTACCCGCGTCGTTGTCTCCGCGTCCGCCTTCGCTTTCGCGAGCATCACCCTCGTCGCCAGACGCGCTGAGTCGGACTAATCCGCACCTCAAAGTCGATAGCCTCGCGTGCGACATGACGCGAAGGTGCGCGTCATCGATACACGAACGCGTTCGAGATGTTGATGCGATCGCCATAACGCGCGACGCGAGCGCGGACATCCCGCTGGTGAGTCAAGAAGTGATGTGATTATTCATACGGCAAGTCGTCTCAAGGGGCGCGTGTTTTTGTCTTCGACGAAGAGAGTCTCACGGCTCGTTCGATCGAAGCGCCAAATCGTGGCACTTGCACCAGAGAGTATAAAAGCTCCTTGCCCAGGCGATACCGTTTCCGAGAGCCTCGGAGTCGCCCACGAGCGCGGGGTCGGCAATAAGACGAGCGAGACTCACGTGCTCATCGTTCGTCAGCAGAAACTCTGGAGGTTCGTAGCTGGATGCGGCGCCCGTCTTATCTTTGCCTGAAAAGTTCACAGTTTGGGCGACGTGCGACGCACGCGTCAGGATTCCCGGAGGGAAGCCAGCAATTCTCGCCACGTGTAGAGCACAAGAACCCAGCGGCGCTGGTCCGCTTTCAAGAGTGTACATCATGCGCAGCGTTCCTCCGAGACTTTGTACGCCCACGTGGCGCAAGATGAAAGCTTTTTCAGCTTCTACCTGACGAGAAAGGTCGTCACCGAGACGGTGGTAGTGCGTTGCGAACAGCACACGAGGCTTTACTACGCCTTCGATCAGTCGAAGCGAGACTGCGAAAGCAATCGCGTAGCCATCCAGAGTTGACGTGCCTCGCCCCAACTCGTCAAGGATTACGAGCGTGCTGGGAGTCAAATCTTTCATTATTTTCGCCGCGCCGTGCATTTCGTTCAGAAAAGTACTTACACCGTTCGCCAAGTTATCATCACCACCGATTCGAGTCATGATTGAGTCGGTAACGCTGAGCTCGCAAGATGCTGCGGGGACAAGGCATCCCATCTGCGCCATGATGACTGTAACTGCAATTTGCCGAAGGAACGAGCTCTTTCCTGACATGTTCGGGCCAGTCAGAAGCATAAAAGGTATGTTCAATGACACGTCGTTATCAACGATTCCGCACTCGCGCGTGATCCCCTTGGCGTTGTTCACGATGCTTGGTTTGATAAGCGGATGCCAGCTTCGGGTGAGCTCCAAGACGTTGGACGCAGAGTTGACGAATTTTGGACGCGTGAAACCGACAGCGCTTCTCGACGACGAGCAGGATGTGGCAAAGCTCTGTAAAACGTCGAGGTCGCACACCGCGCTCACCACTCGCTCGAAACGAGGGATTTCTTCGCGGAAGGCCGCCATCAGTTCCGTAAAAGCATCCGCCGCAGCCAAGTCAGCTTTGTCCGCGGCGTCCTGCTGTTCACCGTCCCGTTCTTCGTCGTCATCACTAAGTGGAATATAAATGCTTCTAAATTCCTTGCGTATTCGTTCGGATTGGCGTCGAGATATTGGATCAATGTGTTGTTCGCACATTGCCTCACGAGCCGCCTCTCCGTACTCGACGAAGAATTCAGGTGACGGCGTGACGACAAACTGCTTCTTCGAGATCTGCGTGACGATGAGAGAAGACCGCAACTGCCTGAGAAAATCCCGAGCGCCATCTAAATCGTCACAGAGGGACGCTATAGACGAATTACGTTCGGCCAAGTCTGGTCCGAGGACGGAGACGACGTCACAAATTTCCAACATCGCATCGAGGAGTTGCGAAAACGGGAATAATTCTCGTTTGTAAATGCTCCAGAAGCTCAGCATGTTGACGGCATCCAATAAAATGTCTTCCAGCGAGTGCGCCCCTTTCGGTGCGACCTCATTCAGTCCCATTTCGTCCGCGTCTCGCGTTAACGATTGGTTGAATCGAACAATGTTGTACACTTTTGAACACTTGATGCTGAGCCTTGACGCCTTCGTGAACAGTCTTTCGTGATCAAACTTCAATCGCTTCATGGCGTCACGAAGGGCTTGCAGAGTGAAATGATCGCTTGAGAACTCTTGAACGACGTCCAGACGAGCTTCAATCGCTTGGACGTCTCGCAGTGGTCGAAGGAGCCATTGGCGCAAGCGACGGCGCCCGGCGGTGGTCATCGTGTTATTCAGAAAATTAAACAGCGAACCAGTGATTTTTCCAGTGTCTCCCGTCAGTACGTGTAAGCTCTTGATCGCTTCGCCGTCGAGTTTCATGAACGTGAGGTCTCGTGCGAGCGTGAACGCGGATGGTCTCTCGTCAGAACGCACCTCTAACGGTTGCAAATCCGTCGAGGAGACAATGTTCGTGAAGCTCACGCGAGTGAAGACATCCTCGACGATGCCACACCACGAGAGATGACGCATGGCGTAAAACACCGCACGCAGCTCTAACTCTGGCGCTTTAAGAATAGTATCACTAATTGGAACGTCGTCCTCATTTAAGTGTTTAATCGCGCGTAAGACATCGGCGCCTCGAATCGTGGGCAATTTCACTCCTCCGCGCTCGAGCAATCGTAGCGGAACGTTCGCGGATTCACGCGTCCTCGAGTACGCGACGAGTATCCTCCGAGCTTCATCGCCGAGAGATTCCGAAATCACCACCTCGCGAGGTTCGTAGTGCACTAGCACCGTGGAAAGTTCTTCGAGGCTAACTGATCCGAGCGCGGCCGTCCCTGATTGACCATCCAATGCGCACGCACCGAATCGGCATGAAGACGATTCATCCTCCGCGATGGCGAGGAAGAAGCTCGCTCCCTCGTGTCGCGTCAATCCACGATCGAGAGCAGGAGTGAGTACCTCGCAACACTCACGATTGATCACTGATCCGAGTTTCGCCACCTCTTCCATCTGTTCCACTCTCGCCACCGCTCGGCCGCTCGCGAGAAGGCGCGCCGCCCACTCGTCGAACGAATCAACCCGACACCCAACCTTTCGCATAAATCCAGTGTTCCCGCCCGTGAGCCTCAGTCCGACCGCCATCCCCGCGTCCGCATCGACGTCAAACATGTTATAAAACGATCCGTGTCGAATCATCACCACCGCATCCATGAGCTTGGATTTAATTTTCCAGAACTGTTGACTAAAAGCTCCTCTCATCGACCGATCGTCCGTCTTCACGCTCGACGGATCAAACCTCGAAGCGCTCGCCGCGTCGCCCAGTCTGTGCACCGCCTGCTCCTCACTCGTCGGTCGCTTTCTTCCCATCGCATCCACCGGTCTACGCAAGAATTCCGGCGTATCATCCAGCGCCGCGTCGCGCGCGAACCGTTCCGATCGAATCGAAAACGACTCCTCGTCTGGGAATTCGCGACGGTTCGTCTCTCCCGCCACCCCGAGTTTCGCTCGCATCGCCGCCCGGCGCGCCCCGTCTCGCGTCTCCGCGGCGCCCATCTCCATCGTCTTCGCCTCCACCGTCGTCGTCATCGTTCTCGCCTCCGCTCGCCGTCGTTCCGCGACCCATCGTTCGGTGCCCCCGTTGGATGATTCACCGTCTCGCCCACGTCCGCGTTCGCGTCGATGGCGATGCCGAGGACGCGTCCCACCGTCGCTCGCGTCCGCGTTCGCGCGTCCGCGTTCGCGCGCATCATCGCCTTCGTCGTCCTCCTCCGCCTCGCGCGCGCGCGTCGACGCCACCATCGCGCGTCGACGTGCGAGGACGACGAATGCGATGCCGACTTTGACGTCTCGGACCGATCGACGCGATCGTCGATGTGACACAGCGCGACGCGCGCGCGATGCGAACGATGCCGCGGACGACGACGGGGGCGGAACGATGCGCGAGCGCGTGGTCGAGGCGCGACGCGCGGACGCGGACGCGGACGCGGACGCGAGCGACGTCGAACGAGACGACGACGTCGACGTCGCGTGGGATGACGCGGGAGGAATCGAAGGAGCTGTGCGCGCTCTTGGCGGAGGATCTGACGCACCTGTTCGACGCGCGGGGGATCGACGCGGCGTTGTACGCCCGGGACGTGTCGTTCGAGGACCCGTTGACGAAGTACGACTCGTTCGGGGGATACGAGTTTAACATTAAGATGCTCCGCGGCGTGTTCGATCCGACGTACGTCATGCACGACATTTATCAGAGCGGTGATTGGGAGATCACGACGCGATGGACGATGACCATGCGCGTGCCGTCGTTTCCGTTCGTGTGGCGACCGACGCTGACGTTCACGGGGACATCGATCATGGGAATCGACCCGGAGACAAAGCGGGTGAAGACGCACGTGGACACGTGGGATTCGATCGAGAATCAGAGACATCTCAGCCCCGAGGGCGTGGCGGAAGTATTGAAACAGATCTTCGATTTTACGCAAACGCCGAGTTTGGACACCCCTGGGTACGTCGTTCTGAAGAAGAGACGTGATTACGAGGTGAGGAGGTACGACAAGTACTTGGTGGCCGAAACGGGTCCGGGGTTAAACGTGAAGGAAATGTCGTCATCTTCCGGCGTTTCGAAGATGGAAGGTCAAGCCGCCGGTCGCGCGTTCAATTCTCTCGCGGGATACATCTTCGGACGTGCTAACGCGAGCGGAACCGCGATGGAGATGACCACACCGGTTTTCACTAAGAACAACACTATGCAATTCGTCGTCTCCGGCGATTCGGTGGACAAGCTCCCGGCGAGCACGAATGATGAGGTGGTTTTGAAGGAGGAAGTCGGAGGAATTTACGTCGCTAAGAAGTTTTCGGGCGTCGCGACGGAGCAATCGGCGCGAGAAGTTGAAGATTCTCTTCGCAAACTCATCAAGCGGGACGGTCTGGAGGCGGATGGGAACGCGGCGCTTGCGCAGTACAACGATCCTTTCACCAACCCTTTGGTGCGTAGAAACGAAATCATCATACCGGTCTCGAACTTTGTCATGTAAAATTGTCAGTTTTGGTCGCTGCGTACGAGGAAACAACGCGCTCATAACGAGTGCGGGGACTCAATTTGTTTTATCATGATTTGTAATTTTTTTGCATTTTGAGTGGAATCAACTACTCATACATCGTTGATCAACGTGATCAACGCAAACCCGTTTCGACGCGCGCGGGAACCGTCGGACGCGTCTCTAACTGATCGTACTGAAGGGTGAAGTTATCCTTCCGAACTCGGTCCCAAGCGATGGGATCGAACACCCAGAAGGATCCTCGCTCGCCCTGCTCTGTTTGGTTCGCCGCTTCAGTGTTCGCCACGCGCATCAGCCAAGCCTTGAGTTCCTTATGGAACCCCCAACCGCGTTGCACTAGCTCGTCCGCAGCGAATAACTGAGACTCTTCTCCGGGCATACTGTAGAAGATGTAAAACAGCGTTTCCTGCTGGAACTTCGCAAACACCGCCGGATGACAACGGCACACTTGCTGCGAGTACGCAGACGGAATCGTGAGTTCCAAGTCGTTGTTTGGCGCCGAATCATTCCACGGTAACGTAAACGACTTGCACAAGCTGTCGGGAGAGTTCAGGTTCAGGCCGAGCATGGTGAGGTCTGCACCGAGGGCAAGTGTGGACACGTTTGGATTCACCATTCGAATCACCGGCAGCAAACCAAGCAAGCCGTACCGATCCTTCTGCAACGTTCCGCTCGGTCCAGTCGGACTAGCACTGGACTTCACAGGAGGCGGTGGCGCGCCTCCTTCGAACTGAAACCCGCCGGGAGCGCCACCTTGACGCCCCGGAGCTTGCGTGCCGAAACCAACGCCGCCCGAGCTCTGACGCGCCAAAGGAGGATAAGAGACCCCGGCACCGTCCTTTGAGTCCAAGCTCTGCGGAGGGACGAGTCCACCCATGTTACCGGGCCCTTTCCCACCCAAGGCGGGGAAGTCCTCCTTCTCCATGCTAAAGTCCCGCTGAGGCTTGCCAAAATCATACACGCTCTCGTGTCCTTCACCCGGCATTCCGTATCCATTCCCGAACGAGGCCACGCGCTGAGGCATACCACCACCACCACCACCACCAAGCGTCGGAAACTCCGAGTCATCAAACCCTGGCGCCTTTTGATCCTGGTTGAACCCACCCAAACCGCCACCCATGCCCGCGGAAGAACCCAACTCCAGACCGCCCGCACCTTGCATCTTCGGCAAACTGTTCATATCGCCTTGGCTGCCGATCGTAGGATACGCTCGCGGTACAGGTCCAGAGCTCATCATACCAACCGTTCTAGGTGCGGTCATTCCCACCCCTGCGCTCGGCATTGGCAATCCGCTGGACGCGCGTTGAAGGTTTGCCGGGACGCCGCCTTGCCCTAAGCCCACCGGCTGACTTTGCGATCTGTCCAACATCACCCCACGCTGCGCCGCGCCCATGCCCGAGCTCATGCCGCCCTGGGCCATCGTTCCTTGCGCCCCCGCGTTCGCGTTACTCATCATTCCCGGCGGTTGGCCCGGCACGCCTCCGTACGGCAGCGGCAGCGAACCTTGTCGCGCCGCGCCGCCCATGACCGCCCTGGGCATGGCTGGTGCCCCCTGCATCCCCGGTGGGTTCGCCATCGGACGCTGCTGCGCGAACTGCCCTCCGGGACGCGGGACCCCACCGTAGTTCATCCCCGGCAGCCCGCCCTGCTGTCCGTACGGCCCCGGCGGCGGCGCGTTTCCCTGCGCCCCGTATCCGTTGCTCTGCATCGCGCCCGCCCCCCCCGACGACCCACCGATGCGTCAAGACGACGCGACCACGTCACCGTCGTCTCACGCGCGCACCGAGCGCGCGATCGTCGTCGTCACCGCGCGAAGAGCGACCGGAATTCGCCCGCGCTCGAGTCTCAAGTCGAGATCTCCCGCCTCGCGCGTCGCCCGTTCTCCGACGCCCCCGCGCGCGTCGCCGCGCCCGAGCGCCCGTCGTTCGGCGCGTCCGTCGCCGTCGTTCCCGCGGCGTCGACGCGCGCGTGCGAGTCTCCGGCGCGACCGCGCTCGCACGTCGTTCGACGTGATCGAGCGAATCCTCGGTCGACTTTTGAGCATCGAATCCTATGTAGATATCGTATTGTGAGACTCTTGTGAGGGTCGTGACCCGTGGTTTAGAGCGATGCATCGCGCGACCGCGCGCGACGCGCGAGACGCCCGAGACGTCGACGCGCGCGCGAGCTCGCGCGCGGACGCGGTGTCGAACGAGGGTTGGTCGAACGCGCGCGGACGGCGCGGATGGAGGTGTCGTTGAAGCGAAGCGATGTGCCGAGACGGCGGCGGATGGAAATCGTCGCGGCGATCAAAACGACGCTGAGCGATCCCTCGATCGGGGCGAGAGGAGACTCGGGGACGTTGAAGCGGATCGCTGAGAGCGTGTCGTCGAGGATCAGGGACGCGGCGACGCACGTGGTGGTGGGAAGATCGGAATTTAGCGCGAATTTGCGATTCGCCAAGGGAACGCTCGCGTACGCGACGGCTCGGGCGACGAGCAAGGGGCCGACGCTGCGAATCTTGGTGTTCGATTCGCTCACTTTAGGGAGCGGGGCGAGTGGATCGGAGCAGTTGGCGTTTCAGGCGATGCGCGAGGAGAACGATGAGGCGCCGGCGGCGAGACGGAAAGGCGGGGCCACGTGCGTGAGCGGATCCGAAGGCTTGCCGAACGCCGTAGTGAATACCGCGCTCAGCGCGCTGAACGACACAAGCGTGGACGATGATGACGACGAAGCTCGAGCGTCGGGACTTAGAGACGCGCTGACGAAGAAGTTTGGATCGTTTTGGTACGTCATCAGCGACGATAGTGATTTCGCCGTGGCGTGTCGAGCGTCCGAGCTGCCTGCACAACATAGCGATGACGAAGGTCTAGTTCGGGTGGTGATGCGATTCGTACGCGGGAAGACCACGTACGAGGTGTGGCACCACATCGCACCGTTCGATAGGTTTGGTCTCACGAAGATGACGTGGTCAGAAAAGGCAAAATACGCGAGGTACGGGATGATCTTCGTTGGGGGCTTGGCGACCATGTGGTACAGGAGTAAGTGCACCGAGTCGCCAGACGCGTTGGCTTGCCAAATTTTGCCCAAGACGGTGCCATTCATGCTCGGTCTATTTATCTTTTTCGTTGTGACGGCGCACGTGGACGCGGCGGCATGGAAGAAGCTCGGCAAGGAAGTTTAGTTTGGTTGCAACCGTAGCGTTTTACAAAAAGTCACTCGTCATCATCCTCGTCATCATCCTCTTCGCTCAACGCGTCCGGACCTTCAAGTTTATCTAACATGCTCATAAGTTCCGCTTCGGTTTCCTCGTCAACACCGTCGTCCTCATTCTCGCCGTAGCGAGGCGCGCTTCTTTCGAAGGTGATCTTCGCTGTCTCACCGATTTCACGGTTGACGTCGATGAAAAATCCACCCTCGCTTTGAGCCGCGGACTTGAACAAAGCCCGCATTTCGTTCCACTCGTTCAAGATCGTTTGGAGAGCATTGCTCGACGCCACCACAAGCTCCACAGATGTTGCGCGGGCGTCAGTGTTGTCGATCCCACACGAGTCCGGCACGTGCATTAGCAGAACCTCCGGAGCGGGTGCGATCGACATGTAGCGCGCCACCGCGGATGATCTTTTGCGCTTATTTCGTGCGTTCAAAAGTTTGATATACGCACGAGCGACTCTAATGACGGCGAAATACAATTTCACCTGTCCCGGTCCGCTCGTCTCGTCGTCATCCTTACCAGTCAACGATAACGCCTCGTGTAAAAAGTCTGTGTCAACGAAGTCGGCCCGATCGAACATATTTTCCGTTATACTCTCATTTGACATTCTCACTGGCATGCGAGCGTAAGCTTCCATGTCGTAATCGTTCTCCTCCTTGTTCAGGTCAAATGCCGCCTTTGGAGGACGCCTGAGGAGTGAGGGACCGGCATTCTTTGCCACCGCCTTCAGATCGGTCGAATCGATATCAAGCATGCCGAACAACATTCCCTTCTTCTTCGCGTCCTTCTCAAACTCCGGATGGAATCCACCGAGTCCCAGGGCACACTCGAAGAGCGGTAAATCGTTTTCACCGAACGAAGCTACGATTTCGTCTTCAACCTCGGGCAAGCGCTCGGCCAGCAACGCCGCGAAATCACCGCGATAGTTCCCGAGCAAGATGGTGCCATCGTGTGAAGCGGTGACGCCGACTTCGTGCTCCGGTAACCCTAGTCCGTCGTCTCCGAGCGCGATTTTTCGAAAGTCGTGCCGAAGCAAGACGATCTCCGCAGCCATCTTCGCGGTTTCCACTCTCGCGCCTTGCATGACTCGACGAATCGAAGTTGCGCCCGCTATTCTTCCGATGAGATGGTTCACACTATCATACTTCTCCTGAGTCTTCTTGGGCTCGCCATCAAAGGCAGTCACCGTTGCTCGAGCGATATCGATGATGCGCCGAAGAGCCTTTTCGCGAGTTTCCTCGCAGTGCGCGATATCCGCCGGCTTCATGTGCGAAATCTCCATCGCCTTCATGAACACATACGCCGGAATATCGAATGAGGTTCGCTTTAGCGATAAATCTAACTCGACGCACAGCTCATCGAGCGACGCCGACTCAAACTTTTCGAGAGGAGGCTGTTCAAGCGCCCACCACTCCGTCGTGGGATCCTTGCGCCACTTCTCTATCTTCCGCTCCTCCTTTGAGAGCTCGATCGACGGCCCGTTTCTGCGATAAATCGTGTCACATAACTTATCCGCGAATTCATCGAATCGCGCCCTCAAAGCTCGACGCGCTCGACCCTTTGGCATGTTCTTCACCGAGTCGTCGAACGCCTTGCGAACCATCTCTTCGCTCCAACCCTTCTCGCCAATAAACCCCTGGAGGTACTGCGCGATCTTCACGATGAATCGATCGCTCTCCGCCTCTGAGATTTCATCTCCCTCATCGTCCGCATCCCTCTGTCTCGATCTCCGATCCGACATGTCCTCTCGCTCGCTCAACGCTCGAGCGCTCAGCGTCCCGGCTTTTTGCTCTGGCGTCCGCTTCGCTTCGTCTTCTTCAGCTCCTTCGCTCGATTCAGGTTCTTCGCGAAGTCCTTATTCGCGGGATTCCTCTTCCCTCGTCCCCCCTTCCGATTCGCGAGCTTTTGCGCCGCCTTCGCCTTCTTCCCGAGCGTTTGCTTCTTCGCCGCGCTCGATTGCTTTGCAACTTTTTTGCTCGCTTGCGTCACGTTCAGTCGCGCCCACGCCGGGACGTCGTCGGGGACGTAGTACTTGTTCACGTGCACGCCGTACGGTTTACCCATGCGATGCGCGCGCGGCGCGAGCGTGTCTCCGTGAACGCGTCGACGAGTGCGGTCGCCACGCCCACGATCCGGCGGCGCGACAATTGTGGCACACAAAGTGTGTGCGAAGAGACGCGTGATGATGATTACGCGACGTCGACGGGTGACCATGGGTGGCGACGGTGCGTGATGACGCGATGGAATGAATGATGACGTGATGTGATGTGACGCGACGCGCGCGCGTCGGAGCGTTCGGAGGGTGACTGATTTGAATATCTGTACGTGTCATGTATTGAAATGAAAACAGGGCGCGCTCGCGTCGTCGCGCGTCGCCGACGTCGGGATGGGACGCCGCGAGACGGGACTGAGGTGCGAAAACAGATCACTGCATCGGCACATCATTACGTCGCCGGGGCGTTGAACGAGGCGGCGAGAGACGCCGTCATCTCCGGGGCGAGGAGGTAGGCCAACGCGCCGACGCCGATGACGTTACTATCCGTCGCTCTATTCTTCACCGTCTTGACTCTGGCGCCGCTCCAACGTGTTTGCAACGGGATGGTGCACTGGAGTTTATCCCACTGCCGAAGCCATGCGGTCAGTTTGATTGTGCCTGCGATCTTAGGAGGATCTGTGCACTGCGATCCTTCTCGACCCGCCGTCACCTTGGCGAGCAAGTTACCGGCGTCATCAGTATACACCTTGATCATAGCCATGGCGCCTTTGTTACCCCCATCGAGAGTCGCGACCCAGTGGGCTTCTGTCGCTGTATGTGGCTCGAAATACGCGCGTTCGACTGCACCCATGCGTAAACACCGTCCATCCCACGAGGAACCGCACACGCCCGCCGACGTGAACACGACGCGTCGAACGTCCACGTCCATGCCCCACGTGCCAGCCTTCTTCATCGTCCAAACGTTCGTGGTTGAAATGAACGCACTGTCCGAGAACGCATGCTCGAAAGAAGGTACCTTTGTGTCACCTTTTCGAGCAATGGTATACTGCAGTTTTGTCGCCCAAAATTTATACGTGAAAGCCGTCAAAGGACGATCGTGCCAAATGGCGCTCACATCGTACTTTGCGACTGAGCACTCTGTCCTGACGCAATCGTGACCAAATTTATAGCGTTTCGAGTCGATCTGACGAACGGACAAGCGACCAGCAGAGCTTTTGACGACCTCCAACATTGCAAGCTTCATCTCGCTGTATGGATACGGATCGACAATAGCCATGATCCAACGAGACACATCCTCAGTTTCCGCGAAGCGTTTATCGCGTTGCACCAAGGCGCGCCCAGAAGGACCTTGTCCATCGGATTTGAGCGGTAAAGCAGTGCGAATGGTGATGAGGCGGGCGTCGTCGCCTTCCCCCAAATCGAGAGGCTCCGCGCCCTCGTCCACGGGCACGTCGTCCGAGAGCGGCTGATCGACCCATTGAGTCTCGACGAAGCCCTCTGGGCACATCGTATTGCAAGATCCGTAGACGTACTCGATGTTTGTTCCCTTGTCCAGGGTGACCACGCGGTTGAAGTACTTGCCGTACCTCTGACTGCACGGCGCCTTGGCTAGCGGCGCGTCGTGCTTGCCAACCTCGTACCTCCACCTCCCGGTCACCGGATTGCGGAACGCAAAGCCGTACTCAAAGTTGACATCGTTCGTCGTCACGCGCCACGCGCGTTCCTCGCTGTCCAAGATGACGCGATCCATCTTCAGCGCGTGTTTGGACTCGAAGAAGGACGTCGAGTGGTAGTTGTGGCGCACGAGGTAGCCCTCCGGCGCGCCGGTGTAAAAGAACTCCGCGAGCCCCAGCTTGGTCGCCCTGTCCATGCACTGCGTGTGAAGCGTAAACGTACGCGTCGCGTGCATCTCACCCCTCGCGGGCTTCGGCGCGATCAGCGGTCGACCACGCGCGGGCGTCCAATGTCCCCGGCCCAATCCTCCCAAAGACTGACGAGCGCACGCGAGCACGCTCACGATCCCGACGCAGACGCCACCGCCGAGGGCGACCCAGGCGCGAGCGTCGCGCGACGTCTTCGTCCTCGCGGACGCGAGCAACGGCGTGGACGCGTCCATGCTTCGTGGACGGACCGTCTCACAGTCCAGTCGTGGGTGTTGTTGGACAGTCCAGTCGTGGGTGTTGGACAGTCCAGTCGTGGGTGTTGGACGCGCGACGGGTGCTCGCCCCGCACTCGCGCGCGCGTCCGTCCGCGATCGACGCGAGGGACGATGGACGCGATGCGAGCGTACGGCGCCGCGCGCGTCGACCGCGAATCGGAGGACGTGGAGGCGTTCACGTCGACCGAAACGACGAGTCGACGACGAGCGCACACGTTTCGTGCCGTCGGCCTCGCGGTCGCGATTGGTGCGCTCGTCGCGTGCGGGGCGATGACGCACACCGCGCGCGGTGGAAAAGTGTTCGCGATCGGCGACGGGCTCGACGCGCAAGCGGACGATGGGGTCACGGGGGTGGACCCGACGGCGCCGCCCGGCCCCTCGAACTTCACCTCGTGCCTCGACGCGTGCGGCGCCGACGTGAAGGACCGAGTCATGATGTTACTAGACATGCGCTCGTGCGGTGAACTCGACGGGGTGGATAAATCGTGTTTATCGAACGCCGCGTGCGACGGCGTGCGGGCGAACGTTGAGGAGGAGTGTCCGGACGTTCTGTAGACGAGCTCACCGATCGGTCATCTGCGCGGTTCGGCCGGTGGTTCGCCGTGCGCATTTCGTTCGTTGCTGTCTTTATAATCCAATACAGCTGTAGTTTTGTTCCTCCGTGCGGTCAGCACACCTCTTCAATCATCGCCGCGCGTCAATCATCGTCGCGTGGACGGAGAGGCGGAGAGACGCGCGCGCGCGGATGATGGGAGACGAACTGGAACGGGTGCCAACGCGTAGAAACGAGCGTCGAGGGTTCGGTCGAGCGCGTGATCGAGCGCGCGAGGGCGAGGGGAGGTATAATCGTAGAGCGTTTTCTCGTCTGTGTCTTACACGCTCTCCGTCGAACCACTTCTGAACCTCGCGACGACGCCCGACGCTTACAAGCCGAGGAAGGACGGGTAGGCGCCCGGGGCCTTGGACGAGCACGTCTTGCCGTCGGCGGTGCCTTCGCACTCGATCGCCATATCGTCGGACAAGAACTTCACGCTGCCCTTCTCCGCGGCGTTTTGGCACCCGAAGATGTTTTGCGGGAATTGGCAAAAGCCATCCGTCACGAGGCGCGAGCGCTCAAAGTTCGCGCTCGACGTCGCCGCGCGCTTTTGATCGTTCAACGACTTATTCGCTTCCGTGCGCGCGAGCAAATCGGCGGTCAAATCCGCGTGCGCCGGCGCGACGGACACGGTCGCCGCCGCCAAGCCGGCCAAGCCGAGCGACACCGCCCGCTTCACCTTGTCCTGCTTCTTCGCCGCCGTCGGCGCCTTGGCCTGCGTTCGCGCTCGACATCGCCGCGTCGTCAGTCGACGCACGTCCGCGCCGATCGCGCGATCGATATCGCGCCCGTCGACGCTCGACGCGCGCGTTCGAGGCGACGTCTCGATCGCGCCCGAGCCCTGAGATACGGTGCGTATCCACCGACGGCGATCGCTCGACCCGCGCGCGCGGTCGCTCGCGCGTCTTTCGCGAACGCGCGGACGCACCGCGATGATGTTCGCTCCGCACACGGTGTACATGACGTCTTCGCGCGCGCGTTGTGCCGTCGCGCGAGGCGAACGCGCGCGCGATCGACGCGGGCGCGGCGCGATCGGGGCGTGGATCGTGCGAATCGTCAATCAGGAGTGATGACTCGTGGATGTGGTACTCGCATGGTGACGAGGATTGGTGACGCTAGACGCGCGCGAGGCGACGCCCCGGCGCGGACGCGGATCGGACGACGAACCCATCGCGATCGACGGCGAGGGTGGCGGTAGTGTACAGATGCAATCCATCGCGTCCGTGGATCAACGCACGCGCGCGATCTGGGCGAACGTCGGGGCCGATTTCGCGAGCGACGGCTTCATCGGCGCGTCGGGCTCGTCGACGTCGACGTCCTCCATGTCCTCGTCCTCGCACGCGTCGGCCCAGTTGCGCTGGTTGGAGAAAGATTTCAGCGTCGGTTTGGGCGTCATGAGATCCAGCGGCATCAACGGTGAGCGAGTGGCGAGGAAGTGCTCGTCGCGAATGCTCCCGAAGAGAATCTGCGCCATCGTGGGCTTGTAGTCGGCGGGCGGAACGTTTTCCTTGCCATCAGCGGCGCGTTGACGCGCTCGTCTCGCCTTGACGCGCTCCTTCTGACGCTCGCGCTCCTCGGCGAAGATTTCATCATACGTCTCCTTGTCCACTCTCGCGCGCACGATGGACCAGAAAATACCGCCCGTCGTTCGCTTGCGTTCGCCGTTCGCCGTCAATTCGCCGCCGTTGCGTTGCGTCGCCACCGCTTCCTCGGCGTACGCCCGGCACGTGGACTCCCCCAGAGCATCGATCGCTCGCGCGAGCAATCGCACTTTCGGTTCATCCAACGCTTGCGCGAGCTCTCTCGCCGAGCGGCTCGCGTCCGCCCCTCGCGTTCCGTCGCCCGCCTTGCGTCGGTTCGCCTTCACCGCCGGCGACGCCTCGCGGTCGCGTTTATGCGTCCCACCGACGAAGAAATCGCCCAGGCGCGTGAACATCTTACGCAGCGGTGGTTTCACCGTCCCCTTCACCGGTTCCACGCTCGCGCTCGTGAGCACGCGCGGACCGACGGTGTCCACGTCGACATCGCGCCCCAACGGTCGTCCCGCGTTCGCGTCCACCACCTCCACGCCGTCGTCGTCGAACACCAATCGCGCCACCGGGTGCGTCATCGCGCGATGTCGTCGTCGGTCGTCCACCCGTCCGCGCGCGCGACGTCGTCGTCGGTGCGTGCGGACGCCGCGACGCGATTCGAACGGGTGATGGAATTTCAAATTTTCAAATTTTTTAAAAAATGCACCCACGCCGCGCGCCGACGAATCGTCACCGCTCGACGTCGACGGTGATGAAGACGTACGCGCAGACGATCGAGCTCAGAGCGGATGGGGTGGAGGAATACGTGCGATTGCACGCGGCGGTGTGGCCCGAGGTCCTCTCGTCGCTGCGCTCGGTCGGTGTGTTGCAAATGAAGATTTGGACCAGTGGGCGACGCGCGTTCATGTACATGGAGACGACGGACGCGTTCGACCCGGACGTGGATTTCCCTCGACACATGGCGATGTCGGAGAAGTGCGTGGAATGGGGGGCGTTGACGCGGACTTTTCAATCTCCGGTGGAAGAAGCGAAGGAGGGGGAGTGGTGGTGTCGCATGGAGGAATGTTTCGACATGCGCGCCCAACTGTCGGCGCGGGAAGAGGACGCGTCGCGCGCGCCCGTTACTTGATACCGACCACCTGAATCCCCACCGTTCGCTCGCGCGGGCCGTCGAGTTCAACGAACATCACGCTCTGCCACGTCCCGAGCGTCGTCTTCCCCTCGCTCACCGGTACCACCGCGCTGTTCCCGATGAGCATCGAGAGCAAATGCGAATGACAGTTCCTCGGTTCCTGCGCCCGCCACGCCTCGTCCCCCCCCGGCCAATCCGCCGGTCCGCGCCGTCGATCGAGATCGTTGTGTAAATAAAAATCATCCGCCGGCGCCAATCTCGACAGGTACATCCGCGCGTCGTCGATCAACCGTTCCTCGTTCTCGTTGATCGTCACCGCCGTCGTCGTGTGTCGAGAGATCACGTGCACCGCGCCCTCGCGCACGCCCGCGCGCTCGATCGCTCGATCGATGTGCTCGCTCAGGTCTTTAAAATCAATTCCACCCAGCGTCGTCCCGAGATCGATCGTCTCGTAGCGATAGACGTGCTCGCTCGCCGCCGCGCGCGCGATGGGCGCGCGTCGCGTCCATCGCGCGCGCGGCGTCCGCGTCCGCGTCCGCGTCGTGCGAGACGTCCCGCGCGCGAGCGAGGACGCGATCGATCGCGGCGTAATATGACCCGTCATCCGTGCGCTCGACCGCACCGCGCGCGCGCGCGTCGACGCGTGACGGCCGATCGCGCGCTCGACGAGCGGGCCCCTCCGCGCGACGGGTGGGGCGATTGCGACGCGCGCCGATGCGCGCGACGACGCTCTCGCGGACGTCGAGCGCGACGGCGGGTCGGACGATTTCGTGCGCGCGCGTTCGAGGCGTCGCGTCGGCGTCCGCGGCGCGCGGTGGACGCGCGGGCGCGGAGAAGGAGGACGACGCGCGCGTCGTGGGGTCGAGGTCGTTACGCGCGCGAACGACGTCGATGGGACGCCGTGGATCGAGCGCGACGGCGCGACGGCGAGAACGAGGGGTAGACGCGACGGCGCGCGCGAGGATGGGCGCGAACGAGGGCGGGGGGGGATGGGGGCGGATGGATTCGAACGCGCGACGGGACGCGTCGACGCGGGCGTCCGAGGCGCGCGCGACGGAGAGCGCGGCGACGCAGACGATGGATGTGCGACAAAAGTTGAGTATTTTATGCGTCATGTTGGCGGTGTTCTTGCACTTGCTCGGATTCACGGTGACGGGGCCGATCACCCCTGGGTTGGTGCGCAGGTTCGACGTCGCGGCGGAGCACGTGGGATATCTGACGAGCGCGTATCCGTTGGGGATGTTCGGGGCGTTGTTTTTCTGGCCGCAGCTCAGCGACAAGGTTGGGAGGAAACCGATCATCGTGACCTCGCTCATGGGCGTCGGCCTGGGGTTGGTTTTACAGGGCGTGTGCGTGCGTTCGGGATGGTCTCTTCAGACGTTTCTCCTCCTGCGCGTCCTCAGCGGCGCCTTCGCGGGGGCGAGTCCGGTGGTCAAGGCGTACCTCGCCGACGCCTCGACGCCTGAATTTTTACCCAGACTCATGGCTTGGCGTGAGGCATCGTGCACGCTCGCGTTCATAGTCGGGCCCACGCTCGGTGGGGTGTTGTTCTCGGGTTTCAGCCTGTCCGCGGCGATTAGCGTCACCGGGTGGGCATCCGTCGCGGCGGCGATGCTGGTTTTGCTCTTCATGACGCCTCCGCAAGCGATGAAGGCGGCGATGCGAGAGACGAGTGGGAATGAAGCCGACGGGGTCGACGCGTCCGCGGCGTCGATCGACGAGAACACGGAAAGGAAGATCACGGGAGACTTCATCGCGAGCATCCCAAAGGAGACCAGTCGCCCGAGGACGTCGCTACCGGGTGTGTACGATCCAGACGCGCTGAGTTGCCCTCTCGGCCAGCAATACTTACCCGCCGTGGCGACGATTTGCTTTACGAGTTTCCTTTACAACGCGGGACAGTCGACGTTTGATTCTTTTTTCCCACTCTTGCTGTCCAAGAAGCTGGCGTACACGCCGACGCAAATCGGCGCTTTGCTCACCGCGCTATCGATGGTCTCCTTCACCGTGAGCGCCACCGTGTTCGCACCGACGCAGAAGCTCTTCGGTCTCACGAAAACCACGGTTATTGGTCTCGCACTCGTCGCCATCGGTCTCTTTTCTATCGGTCAAGCCGTACCCGCGTTGGTTCCTCCGGCGGCGTTCGTCTACGTCGCCGGTCTGCCCCTCTTCACGCCGGCAATTCCAATCTTGCTCATGCAATGCGTACCGCCGACGAGGCGTGGGTTCGTCATGGGCGTTGACTCAGCGATCAACGCCGTGGCTCGCATCGTCGCTCCGATCTATTTTGGGCGCCTGTTTGCCGTCAATCCAACGCACGCCTTCATCGGCGCCGGATCCGTCGTCGCCCTCGCCAGCGTTGTCGTCCTCACGCGACGCTGGATCGTTCTCACCACCACGCGCGCGCAGGTATTTTAGGAAGTTTTCATCTAGAGAATTAGATTGTCAATTCATAGATTGTTCATCTATGCAGGACGAACGCGACGAGCGCGCCTCAGAACCCGACGCGTCGGATGGTTCTCACCGAGCGCCGCGCGTTCACCACCCCATCCTTTCCTGACCCCCCTCTCGTGCTCGCGATCGAACACGATGCCGAAACGGTCCCTTTACGAACCGGATGTCGCCTCTGGAGCGCCTCATTTGCGCTCGTCGAGCACTTGTGTCGAAATAAACACGTCGTCGAGGAAAAGCGAGTGTTGGAGCTCGGCGCCGGCGTCGGCGCGTGCGGCCTGGCGTGCGCGCGCCTCGGCGCTTCGAGCGTCACTTTGACGGATTTCGACGCCGCAACCTTGACTCTGGCGCACGCGAACGCTTTGAGGGACGGATGGTTCGACGGGACGAAGGCGTGCGACGTGAGCGTGCGGCGGCTGGACTGGGGCGACGCGGAGACGTACGACGAGAACGGCCGTTCATACGATGTCGTCGTCGCCGCGGACGTGGTGTACCTGGAGGAGCACGCGCGAGAGTTGGCGCGAGCGGTGGACGCGCACGTGAGCGCGAGTGGTGTATTCGCGTGCGCGTTTGGCGTGCGCAAGCCAGAGCTCGCTGAAGCGTTCGCCGAGGCGCTTCGCGAGCACGGTTTCCTCGTGAAAACGCGAGCGCTGGACTACGTGAGCGAAGACATGCGCGCGACGGCAGCAGAGCACGCGCACGACGGCGAGATCACGTCGAAGGGGGGATATAGGTTATTAGAAGCGACTCGCGCGGACGAAGACGAAGACGCGGATTTAGCACTCGCAGATTTCGCAAAGGATTTTGAGGACTTTGAAATCGATGTGAGTGAGCGATCGGCGCGTCGTCCACGCGATGAAAACGAAGAAGACAGAGGGACGACGATACGCGTCGATTTCAGCGACGCGTGCGCGTGCCTTGTGGACGTTGATTCGAAGGAAATTGCAGAGGGAAAACCGAGCGCCGACACGGTGCGTCGCGCGGCGGAAAGTTTAGTCGTGCACGGATTCGTGGTGATGCAACCCGCCAGCGAGTCCGATGCGCAGGCGATGGTGCCTCGCGACGTTCTCGAAGAGTGCAGAAGGGCGAGTGATACTCATTTGAACGAGCTCCTCTCGCGGGTCGAGGCGCAAGGCCTCAACCCAAGGCTAGACATATTTCGATTCGCCGAAATATGTTCAAGAGCGCGAGGCGGGATGCGATACGATTACACGCGACCTGATAGCGAGCGGGTGAGGGCGCTAGAGACACTAAAATGCACTCGCGCGATTCACTCATGGGAGAGTTTACAGCGTTTCGCAGCGCCGTGGGTGGAACCGGCGCTTGCAGAGGCTTATGGCGCCGAACGCGATTTCGCCGTGAAATCCGTTGGATGTGTGAGCTCCGAACCTGGAGCGCCCGAACAGCACTTCCACGCCGACGGTCGCGTGTTCGGCATATTTAACGTTTTTGTGCCAATGAGTGCGGTGTCCACAATCGAGGGTCCGACGGAGTTTATTCATGGAAGCCATCAATGGGATCACAACGCCGCGCACGTGACGACGCCCGATCAAAAAGCCCAAGCCGCGGCGCCTCGATTTCAACCCGAGCTCCGCGTGCCTGGTTCGTTGCTCGTTTACGACTATCGCGTCATGCACAGAGGCGGCGCAAACGCCTCGACGAGACGCCGACCGCTCGCCTACGTCATGTACGGTTCTAGTGGCACGCGCGATTCCTGGAACTTCCCGCTGGACGACTCGATTTGGGAAGATTAGAATCTAGAGCAATAGATTTTTTAGACAGAGGCTAGAAAGATAGTCGTATGTTTACTCGACCTCCTCGAGGTAATCCGCGATCTCGGACGTACTAAGAATCCTAAACTTTCGATCTGCGCCGACGATGCCGATTTCAATGTTGTCCGCCGAAATTTGTCCGTCAAACCCCTCCTTCAGGGTCAAAATTGCGGTATGAATCGCGTCCTCAAGCTCAATATCGTCGCTGTATCGTTTTTCCAAGAACGTCTTAGCGTTGACCATGTTCTTACCGATCGCGCTCGCCTTCCACGCGAAGTACGATCCGCTCGGATCCACCTGGTACAGGCTGGGTCCGCTTTCGTCGTATCCAGCCATGAGCAGCGACACCCCGAACGGTCGCACCCCTCCCTGCTGCGTGAATTCTTGCATCACCGTCGCCGTCTCTCGCACCAACTGCGACACGGGAATGGACTCTTTATACGTCCTGTAATACGTCTGCGTCTCCTTTCTCGCCATTCTCGTCAAGACGCGGAAATCCGGACCCATGCCGCTGTACGCGATCCCGATGTCATCCGTCAGCGTCGCGATCTTCTTCACCGTCGACGCGTCCACCAACGTACTCGGAAGTTTCTTCTCCGTCGCCAACACCACCCCATCCACGGCTTTGATCCCCAGCGACGTCGCCCCAGCCGAGATCGCCGCCAACGCGTGTTTGATTTGCACCAACTCCCCCGACGGACTAAACGTCGTGAGCGAGAACGAGTACCGCCCGTCGCTCATCGCGGGTGAGTTCGAGCGAACGCGCGCGGTGCTCTCTCGCCGCGTCGATTCGGTCGCGTCGCGCGACGCGCGGTCGTCGGTCGTCGTCGCGATCTGACGTCTCATCGCACGTGCCGCGGACCGTCCGCGGCGTCGTTCGCGATCGTGCGCTCGCGCGACCGCGCGCGCGCGACCGCATCGACGCGCGCGCGCGGTCTCGGTCGGACGACGCGCGCGCGCGGTCGACGCGCGGACGTCGGCGCGCGCGCGAGGTCGTGCGAGCGACGACGACGGTGGGAAGGATGCGCGCGGGCGCGCGGGCGGCGCGCGCGAGGTGGACCGAGGTGCGACGACGACGACGACGACGACGACGGGAGCTCGAACGCGATGCCGTCGCGGGGGGTGATGAGAGCGCTCTTTTTGCTAATCTTCTCGCCGAGCGCGTCCGCGGTCGACCGCGGTGGTGGACCGGGAGACGGGCGCTGAGGAGGATCGAGGGAAAAATACATGTCATCTTTGCTCTGACCTCGACGACGGCGCGATCGATCTCGATTCGACGCGCGCGGGCGTAGGACGGGACCGATGGTTTCGAGGACGACGCACGTGCTCTCGAGCTCGGACGTCGTCGCGGCGGACGCTCGCGTTTTTCTTTTCTTTTTTTTTAACCACAAAGCGCGTGGGACGGGTTCATTGATCGAGGCCGGCTTGATACCCCGGCTGTGCTCTGAGCCATCAATTTTTTAAACGCGCGACATTAACACCTGGGAATATATCGGGGTTCCCGCCGTATCAGTCGATGTCGGAACCGTGAGCGATCCTTGGGACATTTTTTTGTCTCGACGAACGCCGCGTCGATACCGCGCCGACTTTGGAGACTGACGCTCGCTCGAATCGCAGTTGTAAATCTATGTATCGCTATTGAACGCGCTAATCTTTGCTAGTTTCCTCGCCGCGAGCGACATACCTCTCGTGAATCTCGAGATTACGAGACATCTCCGCGATCGACGGCGCGGGCGCCACGGCGTCTCGTAAATCGAATCCGTCGTCCTCATCCGCGCCCTCGCGCGCCTCCGCGCGTGCGCGCAGTTCGTCTTCGTGAAGCTTTGCCCCTTTGTGCGCGTTCAAAGAGTATCCTATCGACTTATCTACTAACGTCGCCACCTGCCGAACGGTATCCTCGTCCTCGATCGCCATCGGGGTGAAGCGCACGAGCCCAAAGTCCTCGATGACCTCGCACAAGTCGGCGGTGAGCTTTTTATACTTGGCCATACGCGGATCGTTCCCGATGTGTTCCACCAGGTACTCCAGGTCCATGACGTCCGCGTAGTAATCTAGGTTGAAAGCTAACTCTCCGTATTTGTCCATGATGTCTATCTTGCTCAGAACACTCACGTGTGGGGTCTCCAAGTGTAACATCGCCTGCAGCGTCGTCAGCAGAGCCGCCACGTACTTCCCAGGGTCGCAGCACAGGTGCGAGTCCGTCAGGTGCACCGTGCACAGGCGATAGTGCCACTCGTTCATCATCGTGCGTATCACGTTTCTCAGCGATCCGTGCACGTTGAACAGCTCGAGTTGTCCCGGACAATCGAATATCAAGTAGTGCGTCTCCTTGAGCGGTTTCAGCGCCTCCTCGAGCCAATCCGCGTTCTTCTCCAGGTACTCCATGCAGTAAATCATCGCTCCGTTCGGTCCGAGACCGAGTTCCTCCTGGACTTGATCGACCGTGATCAAGTCCTCGATCGTCACCTCCGCGTCGTACGGCGCCACGTCGTTCGCCGGGTCTAAATTCACAATGGCCACTCGACGACCGTGCATCTCTAAAAAACGCTTCATCCCGACGCAGTACGTCGTTTTACCACTCCCGGGAGGACCGGTGACGAGCTGACCGAAACCCATGACGGAGGGCAACGGGGCCGATCGTCGAAATCGATCGCGTGAGCGATCGGGTGAGCGTCACGTTCGTCGCGCACGCGTCTCTGAGGGAAGGGTGTCAGGAGGACTGAGAGGGTGCATTTCGTTACACGCGCTCACCGACCGCCGATGAGACTGGCGATGAGATTATGCGGCGACTGATACGAGGGAAGTGAACGGAAATCATTCGTGGCTATGGCGGCGGCGAAAACATCGCACGCCCGCTCGGCGCGCACGCACAGACTCTCGACGCCCTCTACGAGACCGCGCGCGCCCTCGGTTTGCAAGAGCAAACGGCGCTGGGTTCGCTCGCAAGCCTCGGCGAGCGTGCCCACCTCCGATTCACCGAGCTCGGAGGTATCCACCACGGGATTCTCCGCGGTGACTCTCTTGGACGATCCTTCGAGCATGCAAGACCACTGCGTGGACTCGCGCTCGAGCGCGTCTCGAATGTCTCGCAGCGTCGACTTGCGACTCTCAATCTTCGCCGCGACCGTCTGCGGACCCTCCTCAAACTTCACCTCGTCGTCGATGAGCAGCTGCTCGACACGAAGCTGGAACTCTTGCAATGCGTCGCTCACAGCATTCGCCGCGACCGGGTCCTCGGTCCTCAGGCGCGGAATCACCGCCGCGCACTCCGCGTTACACACGCTCTCGCACAACAGCTGCATGCGCTCATCCTCTGGCATGTTATTCGGGAGTTTTTCGTGGAAATCCTCTCTTCCGCGCGCCTCATCGCTCGCCGACGTATCGTTCACATGTGCACTCGATGCACCGACACCATTCGTTCGTCGCGCCGGCCACAGCGGCTCGGCGAAGGTCACCGCGGTCGACGTTCCGCCTACGTCGCTCCGCCTCTTCTTATACTTGAACCCATCCGCATCGACGACGACGCGCGCCTTGCTCAAACCGCCTGTGATTGATACACGCACGAGATATCGGTCAGTATCACTCGCTTTCGCTCGACGCGCGCGCGTTCGTGCGCTACAATCGTCGCTCGCGTCTTCTTCGCGCACCCTTCTTCAGCGCGCTCTTCAGCGGCGTCGGCGTTCTCGCCTCCTCATCGTTCGTCGTCGTTCGCAGCGGCGTCGTTCGCGAAGAAAACATGTTTCAACCCCTCTCGATATTCCTTCGAGTCAGACCCAGCGCGTTCGAGTCGACCACGCGCGCCGTCGCGTCGATGCCCGAGTCGTTCGATTCGGTTCCCCTCTGGCGGTTCGTTTCCAACGGATCGATCCTCGCGCGTTCGCCGCGCCTTCACCGCGCCTTCACCGCCCACCGGACCGCTCTCCCGGACGGATCGCACGCGCGGGCGTCGCTGGGGACGTCCGTCGACGCGCTCGCGGACGCGCGTCGACGAGGTGTGACGCGGCGAGACGCGCGTCGCTCGAATTTGAATCGCACACAGTCTCACGGTGACACACGCGGACCTTTACGCCCACGCGCCTCGCCTCGCGCGCCCGTCGTCGCCTCCGCGCTCGTCCGCGCGCGCGCATCGCGATGGATCCCGCGTCGTCCGCGTCGTCCTCGTCCTCGGACGCGTCGTCGACGTCCGAGGCGGAGACGACGCGGGGCGTCGTGAAGGCGGCGAGCGACGCGGACGCGGGCGACGGGCGCGATGATTTCCGCGCGCGGTACGACGCCGTGAGCGACGTGCCGTGTCGAGTGACGTCGATAGAACTGAGAGGGGTGGAGCGAACGCGCGTTGAGTTGATCGAGCGAGAGATGGAACGGGCGCGAAGGGCGAAAACGCTGGATGAAATCAAAGACGCGCTCTTCGCCGCGGACGCGAGACTGCGAGAGTACGATATATTTAAGGATGTGGCGATGGTGATCGATGCGGATAACGCGAGTGTTTTCAAGAATATCACCGGCGCGGACGACGTTCCGGGGGCCAAGGTGGTCGTGAGCGTGGAGGAACGGGATCTCTTGCACGCGCGCGCGGGAACTTTCATGAGCAAGCGGGGAGAGGGCGAGCTTGAGGCCGCGATCGGTCTGCGCAACGCCATGGGACTCGGAGATAAGTTCACTCTTGAGTTTACGCGAGGAGCGAGCTCGAGCTCGGCGTACTCGGCGGGATACGAGCAGCCGCGCGTGCTCGGAAGCGACGTCAATCTGACGACGTCGTTGTACCAGTCGCTTGAGTGCTTCAAAAAGCTCAGTTCTTTCGACGTTACCTCGCGAGGTTTAACCGTTGGTCTCACGGGAGACGGTCCAGGAACTATTGATTACACCATTGAGCATCGTGACGTTCGCGATCCGACGCGCCTGGCGAGTCGAGGCGTGCGCAAGCAGCTCGGCGAGTCGTTGAAATCAGCGGTGACCCACACGTACGTTGACGACCGGCTCGACCGGCACGTCCGCCCGACGACGGGTTACTTATGGAAGGTTCGCAGCGAACTGGCGGGGATTGGCTTGCTATCGAATCCCATGGCGACGAAGTTTGCAAAATCTGAGTTCACCACGCACGCCGTGAGGACGCTAAACGCTAAACGCGGAATCACGGCATCTCTGACGGGTCGTCTTGGTGTCTTACTCCCGTTCGGTAAGCCGGGTGAGGACGGCGCGATCGAGACGTGCATCGCGGATAGATTTTTCTTGGGTGGGGTCGGGTGCTTGCGACAGTTCGAGACGAGCGGCGCGGGCCCGAGCGATGAGCGGCGCGGGGAGTCGCGGATGGGACGCCCATCCGATGACGATAACGCGTCGAAAGAGCCGGCCCTGAAAAGGGACGCCTTAGGCGGCGATTTTGTTTGGAGCGTCACGGGCGCGGTGCAGATGGATGTTCCGGGTGAGAAGTTCGAGGCCATGCGCGACGCTGGGATCCACTTTCATGCGTTCGCGAGCGCAGGGACTTTGTTACCACTTTCCGCACTTGCGGGCGGCGCGAAGGATGCGACGAAAAAAATTCGCGACGCGACGCGAGCATCCGTCGGTATTGGTATTGTCTGGCCTCTGCCGATCGGTCAGATTGAAATCAACTACGGCAAGGTGTTACGCGCGACTTCGATCGATCGAGCGAAGGATGGGTTCCACGTTGGACTTGCCGCGCACGTAAACTTGTAGTGGGACAACGCATTTCGTTCTTCCCTTGCTCGCAGACTTTGCTGGTGCATTCACTCACGCTGATTCCGCAAGGCAAGCTTCCGCGAGCTCGAACTCTTCTGTCAACTCCGTCGCGCTTTCGTCCATGAGCTTTCGTGAGCGCTCGTCGATCGTTAACCCCTGCACAATTTGCCACTTTCCGCCCGTACACGTGACTGGAAACGAGTACACGAGCCCCTCCGGGACGCCGTACGAGCCATCAGAGACGACCCCCATGGACGTCCACTCGCCCTCCTTGGTCCCATTCAGCCAATCATACACGTGATCGCACACCGAACTCGCCGCACTGAGAGCGGAAGAGAGCTGTCTCGCCTCAATGATCTCCGCGCCGCGACGGCGCACGGCGTCGACGAACTCGCCGTCGAGGTACGCGTCATCCCCGATCACCTCGCGCGCGGTTTTCCCCTCGATCGTCGCGTGATTCACATCCGGATACTGCGTCGATGAGTGATTACCCCAGATGATGACGTTCTTCACGTCGCGCGTCGCTCGTCCGCTCTTCCCGCCCAGTTTTGCCAAAGCGCGATTGTGATCGAGACGCGTCATGCACGTCACGTTCGCTGCAGGAATTTCCGGCGCGAATTTACGCAAAATATTCGCGTTCGTGTTCGCTGGGTTGGCGACGACCACGATCTTCACGCCTGGTTTCGCCTTCGTCGCCAACGCTCGCGCCTGTTCGCGGTAGATTGCGACGTTCTTACCCATGACGTCCTTGCGTTCCATCCCAGCCTTTCTGGGAAAGCCGCCAACCATGATGCACACGTCCGCGTCCACGAACGCCTCCTCCGGATCGACGTGCGCGCTCACCGACTCCACGAGCTCAAACGCCGCGTCCTCGAGCTCCATCATCACCCCTCGCAGCGCCTTCTCGGCGAACGGGACGTCGAGCAATCGCAGCGCGATCGCCTTTTCGCGCCCCGTCGCCGCGCCCGCGCACACCATCGGGGCCAGGGCGTAGCCGATTTGTCCCGCCGCGCCGGTGATGACGACGTTCACCGGTCGTCGCGTCATCACGAACGCGCGCGCGAGACGATGCCGAGGACGATCGCACGCGCGATGGACGCGCGATGGACGCCCGGCACCTCGGCGCGGTCGCGGACGCGGGCGTCTCGATGGGAGGTGATGCAAGTCAGTGCGTACACGTCACCGTATTAAAGTATGTACAATTGTACGACACGTCACCGTATTACCGCGGCACGTGGAGGAGGATTTTTCGTGGAGGACCGCGACGATCGTCGCCGCGCTCGGACGCTTTTTCGACTTTTTCAATCCACGTCATCGGATTCCGAGGCGATAAAGGCATTTTCCGCGGGTGCCTTTATCGTCGTGTGCGTCGTCGTGTGCGGCGTCGCGCTCGTCGTGTGCGTCGTGTGCGTCGATTCGCGATGGCGCGCGATCGCATCTTCGTGCGCGGCGATGCGCGCGAGCACCGGGAGCACGCGCTCGCGCTTGATTGTGCGAATGCGCTCGGTGAGCGTCTGGATCGATGCGCTCGAACCCGGCGTCACGCGTCGCATCTTTCGTGTCGTCCCGAGCGGTCGTCCCTTCGCTCGCGGTTTCGTCTCGGTGGACGATCCGGAGCGAGAATTTTGCGCGCGATTGCCCTCGCTCGCCGCGCGCGGCGGGTGCTGCGTCTCGCGCGTCACCGGTTCCGTTCGCTCCGTCGTCCGTGGGTCGTTATCCATTCGGTTCAATTCGACGAACGCGGCACCGTCGCCGCGCCGATGCGGTTCGCGCGTCGACGCGCGCGCGCGCCGGCGAGTGAATTTTGTATCCTTCCGAACGCTCGGCTCGATCGTTCGGGTGCGATTCGCCCCGGGCCGCTTTCGCGGGCGCCAGAGTGCGTCGGTCGCGTCCGCGTCGGGGACGTTCCATCGAAAACGCGCGACCGACCGACCGATCGCTCGGTCGCGAACCGTCACGAATGACCACCCGTCGCTCGACCCCGGCGGGGGGGCCGGGAGGGTGCGCCGAACCCTGATGTCCATCGCACACGCCACGGGCTAGAATGTCGCAATGTTTCATCACTGAGTACACGAATACGGTGCATAAAAAACACATGACAGCGTCGCCCGCGCTCGGCGTCGACGCGCGCTCGTCCGTCGTCGACGCGCGCTCGGCCGGCGTCGTCGCGGTCGCGGGTGCGCGGGCGAGGGAGCTCGTCGACGCGTTCGAGATCGACCGAGGGCGCGCGGGCGTCGCGGGCGAGCGAGAGGGCGCGCGCGATGGCGCCGAGAACGCGCGCGCGGGCGAGGGGCGACGACGTGGCACCGGACGACGGACGCGCGCGGGACGGGACGACGACGTCGGGACGCGCGATGCGGACGACGATCACCAACGGACGATCGAGCTCAACGTCGACGAGAGCGCGCGCGGCGGAGATGGCGGCCGCGAATGAACCGGAGGACGCGCAGAGCGACCGGGGGACGAATAGCGACAATTCGACGAACGAGTACACGTACGGAACGTCCGACGGTAGTGACGAGGGGCGGCGATTGCTCGTTGGAAGTGAAGGGAGAGAACCGATGCGCTTCATCAATCCAGTGAGATTGATGCGATACTTGGAGCGAAAGAAGTGAGCCGGGCGAACACCCACGAGGCGAACGCGAAGCGCAATTGAGTCCATCTTCAACGCGACCTTCAGCGTCTCTCCCAATAACTTTATATTCGTCGACAGATTTTACGCTTGGCTTTACTTTACGGTCACGCTGTGGCTCGAAAATTATCTCATGGTACGGGGCGTGCGCCTGGACGGTGGACACACGGTTTTGCTCAAGGACACCGCAGACCCATCGATGTGGTTGTGGAGAGTGTACACTCGATATTTGCCCATCGCCATGCTCGTAGATTCCATCATTTTGTTTTGTTTCTTCAAAGTCGATGATAAAGGACGAGCGATATCGCATCTCGCGGACATGGGACTACTGTTGCGACACGCAGTCAAGACTATCATGCGCGAACCGCGCGTGACGATGCGAATCACCCAATATCCGTACCCGGGCCATGTCTTTGAGTCGCAGCAAGTCGTCACACTCCTCTTGGCACCGGTACTAGCGCCAACACTCATCATAAATGCGTTTCGAGATTGGTCTCTGGCTGGGGCTTGCGTGTTCAATTTCGTCATGTACCCGATGTTCTTCCTAAATGTGCAGCACGCCCATCCCGCGTTCCTTGTCGGACGAGAAGTGCTCCCCACATCGTCCGGATGGATGATAGCCGGGATTGCGCCGTTGGTACTTCGAGCTATGATTATTTTGAACGAACGTGCGATGGCTATATTGGTGAAATCAAAGAAGAACGGCATTGACTCGGTAATCATCAGGAGCGGGCCATTCTTTCGCATCTGGCGCAGAGCAACCTATGCCCTCGCGCCGATGACATCGAGCGAACGAATGGCTATGTGGAATCGTAAACGGTGCGATTCTTCGAAAACACAAGGAGCGGTGAGCCACGAAGATCTGGTTGCAATCGCGCAAGCGATGAACGTGACCTTTGACGACTTGAGCGAAATGTTGGATGGGATTCGCATCACGGTCCAACCTGAACAAAAGGGTAACCGAAACCGGCGAGCCGTCGAATCTTTCATTCGCGCATTTGCACAAACGTATGACGACCAGATTGAGCAAAACCGGTACGCATCCATCGATATCAACGTCACACGGCAAGAGTTGTGGCTCCGAGGAATTCCAATCCGGGCGGATATCGATTCCATCGTGGAGAGGCTGCAGAGTGCTGCCCAAGCCTGCGCTGACTTTTCTGATCTATCGATAAGTACTGTCACGTTTGCCTCGGTCAAGTGCAAGATCACGTATTCTCGAGTCAGTGGGCCACTTCACTTTATGCACACGGCAACGACGTCGGTTAAAAATCCGTGCGCTCTCGTGGGCTCAACTGTCGTCGCGATCGCACTGGGGAGTGGCCACGTCGTCGGTTTCATGGGTAAGACGGGAGGATCTTTGATCAGTGCTCGGGTCGGTAGTGGATCATCGCTGCCCGCCATGGGTGGAAGAGCCGTGAGATGGATTGGCAAATCGGTTGGCACATCGTATCCCAAGCAGAGCTCCGGCAACGAACGTGACTTTGTATCACGCAGAGCTGACAAACGACCAATGGGAGAACACGATGACGACGAGTTACACTCGGACGATATGGAATCATATGAGCTCACCGTTCTTTCCCTGTACGCGCCGTGGCATCTGGCTGATCAAGGACATTTCGAATTCCAACTCGCTGCCGATGATGGCAGCTTGTCAGGGGCGTATGCGATGATGCTGACGTCTAACGAGGCCGTTATAGAGGAAATGAACGCAGCGTTCGCTTATAAATATCTGAGTGTGAGCGAAAGGAAGTTCTTACTCGTAGTCGCTCACACACTGGCTGATGAGTACGATGAGCGGGTCGAGCGTCAAGTGGCGAATATTGCTCGGACTCGGAATCTCCCACACCTTGCGTGCGCGCTGGAACACCGTCGTGATACGCACGAAAAATCGATTAGCTCTTAAATTATTCTGCATGTATAAATAGTGTTTCTGTGGAACGCTCGGTTCATTCCGATCCCAGGCGGCGAAAGTTTGGGGTAGCGGCCGTCGCGCCTGCAAACTGCGTCGACGCTCGGAGCATTTGATTCTTCACCGCCGCCGTCACAGGTTCTGCGTTATTCATCAGTCGCAATATAGCGGGAAACTCCCCAAATCTCTTCGATTCGTCGAAGTAATCGGCTGGATCCCATTTAGGCGACGTCTCATCGGCAACGACTACGATTTCGGTCTCCGACGCCGCCCGCGGATGCTTCGCCCCGCGCTGCACCCTCGCCCCGATCTCAATCTCCGCGCGCCCGACGCACAGCTTTAAGTGTCTCTTCTTCGCGTAATCCACTAGTATGGCGTATCGCTCGCGCGTCACGTCGTCCACCGTCCCGTTCGCTCGCGCAAAGGACACGTCGCCGAGCGGAAACCACCGCTCGTCGCCCGCCTCTGACTTGCGTCTGGCGAACAAGAAGTGTTCGTCCCTCCCGTCGCTCTTCAGGTCGACGTCGCGCTCGGAGATCGGTCCGAGAGCGCCCGCGACGTTCTTCCCTCCCGACGCCGCGCGCGATTTCTCCGAGTTGACGTCTAAAAACTCCGCGCGTCGACTTCGCTTACCCTTGGCTCGAACGACGACGGCGGCACGTCTGCGGACCGACGACGACGACGACGACGACGACGACGACGACGACGACGACGGGACGCTCGAGTGACGACGGGCGATGCCGCGCGATGCGCACGCGTTGGACATCGCGACCGGCGCGCGCGACGACGCGTGCGGACGCGGGTTCGTTCGCGCGCGCGGCGACCGGCGGCGGGCGGTGCGTCGACGCACTCCGTCGCGCCGCGCGCGCGGAACGAATCGACCGCGCCCGGACGCGCGACGACGTTGGAGGGGGGTACGCTCGAGTCGCTCGATCGACGCGCGCGCGGAGGACGACGCGGAGACGACGGGGAGACATGGAGACGAACGACCACGCGAGCAGGCGACGGGCGAAGAAAAAGTCGAAGAAGCGCGCGGCGACGAGAGAGACCGCGAACGAGCGAGAGGGCGTGAAGCGCACGAAATCACACGCGCGACCGGGAGACGATGACGGGAGAGAGGCGACGACGGGGACGAGGACGGGGGACGAGACGAAGCGACTCGCCGGGACGGATAAGGACGCGAGAGACGCGAGAGAAGACGCGGACGGACTGTCGACGTCGTATCTCGCATCCTTAGACGAAGGCATGAAGCGATCAATAAAATCATTCAGAAAACGGGCGCGGGACGCGCAAACGCTCCTCAAGCGGGCGATGAAGGTGAAGGATGTAAAGTTTTTCAATCGCCTCGTGAAGGATTTCGGCAACGACAAGCAATACGGATTCGCAAAGGAAGCGTTCGAACGAATCGCTCGAAGCGGTTTGACGCCGAACGTGTACTCGTACACGAACATGTTAAACGCGGCGACGCGTGTGAGTGAGGTTGGGCAAATGCGGAAAATTTGGAAGGAGATGCGAGACGCCGGCGTCGAGCCGAACGAGGTGGCGTACACCGTGCTTGTCAAGGGCGAATGTCAGGCAGGGAACATTGATCGCGCGCGGGAGATCGTTCGAGAGATGATCGACGGAGGCGTTGAACCAAATCAACGCACGTACGGGACGCTCTTACGCAACTGTGTGAGGTACGGCGATGTGGAGAACGCGGCGAAATTTGTGCAGACAATGCGAGAGCGAAGCTCGCCTCCGGATGCGACTGCGTGCGAGTACTACATCAAGACGATGTGTGGAGAGCTCATGGTTCAACAGACGCTTTCCTTCATACGTGATGTCAAACGAGACGGGATTGAGGTCACCGCGCAATCTTACGTCGCCCTCGCGACGGCGGCAAGTCTGGTCATGCCAGCTGAGGAAATAGCGATGAAGGCGTGCGAAGACGCTCGAGCAAAACTCGACGCGGACGTGCGCGATGCGCCGGGAACGGCGAACTCTAGGTATGACGACGACTACGGCGACGGATGTGATGACGACTATCGCATACGCGCGCACGAGGGCGATGACTCGGCGGCCGATGTGCCATCAAAGAGCGTTCAACTGTTTCTACAACTGCGGGCGCAGGATGCGTTGCGAGAGATTGAAGCGGTGGAGTCGTACATCACAGACATTCCTCTGAAACGAAGGGTTCAAATCGCTGAACTAGCAGCAAAAGGGGGCGAGCAAGCAACGAACGTGCGAATATTAGGCGGTGGGGGGGAAAGCGATAAGACCGTGGACGCCGCCGACGCTGGCGCCGACGTGCGCATTGAGATCTGCAGTGGTCACGGCGACTGGATCACGCGACGGGCGAAATTGGATCCAAAGATTCAATGGATCGGAATCGAAATGCGTCGAAACCGAGTTTTATTGACATGGATGAAAGCGTTGCGGTTAGGCGTGGAGAAGAATCTGAGACTCGTGTGCGGCATGGCTCACGACGCGCTCGACGTCTGTCGCGCGCCGCCTGGATCGGCGACTGAAGTCTACGTCAACTACCCTGATCCTCCCGAGTGGGTCGGTAGTTCGCAAGTTCTAGTCCAAGATACGTTTTTACGTGACGTTCATCGCGTTCTCAAGCCAGGAGGGCACCTAATTTGTGTCACAGATGATTCCGCGTATGCGATGCGCATGTGCCGAGAACTCAGAAAGGCTCGATCTCTCTTCGAGACGACAGAACCAGAGGGCAAACCGTTTGCGAGTGGCGTTCCCGAGGACTACGGGGCGAGTTATTTCGACTCGATGTGGACACTAGGCAATCAGCGCGATCGATATACGCTTCGTTACGTCAAGATTTAACTAGCGAGCAGCGTCGGGCGCTCGATGTGAACTCACGGACGTTGGTTTTACAACAACGATGACGCGCGAGGACTCGCGATTTCACTCGCGCCCCGCGTTCGTGGGATTCTTGTACATTATTATCATATATGTCGCCCGACCAAAGTGCCGAACGCGCGTTGTTCGTTCGAACGACGTCGTATCGTTTCAAATTGAGAGTGAAAAGGCGTGATCTGGCGAGAGCCCCTTGAAGGAGAATTCTCTCGGATTAATCTAATCGTGAGTCGATGATATCAAATTCCTTTGCTTACTTCTTGTACTTGGCCATGGCGGCCTCGTAGCGCGCCTTGTCCTTGGCGGCTTCCTTTTCGTACTTGCTCTTATCCGTGGTCTTCGCCCACTGCGCACCGAGCGCCTTGGCGACGTCCGTGACGCCGAAGCTCGGATTCTTCTTCAGAATCGCCGCACGTTGATCCTTGGCGAAGAACATGTACGCGCTGAGCGGTCGCTTCGGGGCGTTCGGGTCCTTGACCTTCTTCACCTTGGTCGCCTTGGTCGTCTTCTTCGTCGTCTTGGTCTTGGCAGCCATCTTAGCCATGAGACACGCGCGTGATTGTGACGACGCTCGCGATCTGCGACGCGTTTTGCCTCGTGCGCTGGCCACGCGTTTGGACGCCGCGATTGATACGTTGCGCTGGGTAAATGATATAGACTAATGTACATTTAAATACGAAACATGGATGCGAGGCACCAATCAGGAAGATATTTTGCTTTTTCGTGATTCAAAAAGCGAATCACGCATCGAGACCGCACGACGCCTCGGCGACCTCGCTCGCTCGGCTACTTTACGTGTCTGCCACCTTTGTCTCCATCACTCGACGACCTCTTCCCACCACGAACACATGCCTAAACCGTCGGCGTTGAGATCGCCGACGACTAACATCGGAGCGAACGAACCGTTCGCTTTTGCTCCGCTGTCAGCGGTAAGACTCGCGAGCTCCTCCGCGGTTTTCGGAGAGTCCGGAAAGCGCGAGCCGACGACTCTGAAACGCACCTTCTCGCCCACCTCGAGCTTAATGCGCTCACCGTTGTAATCCCAAATCCACGCCTTTTCATCCTCATCCCACTCGCTCGGATCTTGCATGTTGCTCGGTGGGATGAAGACATCATCAAAGAATCCTATGGAGACGTGCGCGCCGTGCTCGTCCGAGCTCTCGAGCTTTCCCTCGAGAACCTCGCCCGTGAACGGCTTGAACAACACGAGCTTAAACTCCACCTCGAAGCACACGCACCCTTCTCCCGATAGCACGGCGCCGCCAGAGATATTCGTAATCTCGTACAGGGTCACGCACAGTCCTCCGCACTCGGCCAGAACCTTGTCCACGTACAACGATTCGAGCTCCTGCGTCACCGCCTCGAGCGTACTCTTTCCCAGGTTCGCCGGCGCGATCTTCACCGCGCTGTCGCTCAGGGCGACGATCTGAAACATCGCGAGCGGTGATGTGAAGCTATTCGTTCTCTCTCGCGATATCACGCACGCTCGATCGAGAGTGACGACTTGAATGTACCCCTCTTCGTTCGCCTCGCACCGACCCCGCCGCCGAGCGAGGCGTCTCGAATCGCTCGACGCGCTCGTCCTCGACGCGGTTATCGTCGATGCGCTCGGGACGTTCAACGCGTCTTCGATACTCCTCCCACGCGCGCTCTCGCGTACGCGTCGGGAAGTGCGCACACCGCGCCCGCGTCCGCGCGCGCCGTCGCGTCCCGTCAACCTTCGCACGAGGACGTTGGTCGAGCTCGGACTCGCGTGAGGATGAGAAATTACTCGTCGTGGCCGACGTGCGTGACCTCACGCGGCGACGCGGCGCGCGTTCGAAGGGCGATAGAGGAGGACGAACTGGCAGTCGCGATCGATCCGTCGTCTTCTCGTCGAGAGTTCTCGAGCGAGCGCGCGTTCGTCGTCCATCGTCCGTCATCGGTTCAACAGAAACTGACATCATCGACATTGTTGTTGAACGCGGAAGATAACGATCGATGACGCGATCGAGGTCAGCGCGTGCGCGATTCGTCGCTCAGACGGTGACAATCGTGGCGATGACGCTCGCGTTGAACGGTGCGAACGCCACGCCGGTCGAGCTCGTGGGCGTGGGGGCGACGTTTCCGTACAGCGTGTACGAGGAGGCAATGAGCGCCTACGAGCAAGCGATGGAGAACGTGACGATGACGTACAGGGCGTTCGGGAGCGGGAGTGGACTGTGCAGGATAAAAAATAGGACGGTAGAGTGCCCATCGGATTTGAAAGGGACGGACGAGGTGGATTTTGCGTGCAGCGACGCGCTGCTGGACCCGGTTTCGTACTCAAGCTACGCCGACTTGCAAATGTTTCCAGCACTCGCGGGCGCGGTTGCGATCTTATATAACCTTCCGGGAACGACGGTCGCCATGAATCTGAACGCCACGACAATCGTCGGAGTGTTCAATGGAACCATCACGCGCTGGAACGACGCTGCGCTGCAGGCGCTGAATCCCGCACTGTCGCTTCCGGACGAAGCCATCAAAGTCGTCGTCCGCGCGGACAGCTCTGGTACAACGGAAGTTTTCGCGACGGCGTTGAAAACTATGGATACCGATCTTGGGATACGATTGGGTTCCGACTTGACTTTACCGATTTGGCCAATGGGGAGCTATGAGAAGCGCACGTCTAGCATCGGCGTGGCTTCGTACGTGCGGGCGACGAATTACTCGTTGGGTTACGCAGTTCTCGCAGATGCGAACACAGTGAAC